CCTTGGAAGTACTGCTAACCTAAATTGCGTTATCTAGGGGCCAATTATGAGCCAGAAAACCAGCAACTGGAATAAAAATAGAGCCATAAGATCGTAGCCGCGCGGCAAGGTGTGAGTGAGGCTGTTCATGACATCCATGATGGCGGCTAGGTTGTTTTCGCCTCAGGCCAAGAACTAGATACCTACCCGATCATAATCTCAACCAACACCTCGCTTCCTCATGCAACGTTTTGCTTGGCCAACGGTGGTCCCCATTAAACAATCCATTCTATTGCTGACTTTCATTCCATCGCTTTATACACAGAATGACCAGGGCACGGCCTTTAATGGCTCTCTATCGACAACCATGGCCCAAGTCGTCAGCCGTTGCGCCACGACTCGATCCTTCGATCCCAGTGGAAGAAGGGAAGACACCAAATTATCATGCTGATCGATTCTACCCCATTCAACTCGGTCAAGTCCTCAACGGACGATATCAGATTGCTACAAAGCTTGGCTACGGCGCCAACTCCACTGTGTGGCTTGCTAGAGATCTTAACCGGTTGGCTGCATCTTCACCGGGTTCAGAATGACACGATCTAACGTGCTGCAGCTGGCGCTGGTCACCGGAAAAATATGTCGCCGTTAAAGTCAATGCAACCAACCAACGCTCACGGCGGCCCAAGGGAAACGAACTCGACATTATGAGGCATATCTCTCAAGTGAACCCCAAACATAAAGGTTGGCATTTCATCAGGAAGCTCTCTGACTCCTTTGAACTACAAGGTACATTGGGAACCCACAGCTGTCTTGTCTTGGAGGCTTTGCGTGAACCTTTGTGGCTCTATCAAACAAGGTACATAGGCAGCGTGATACCTCCAGATATTCTAAAGATCCTAGTACAAATGATCTTGCATGCACTCGACTACCTCCATTCGGAATGTCGCATCGTTCATACAGGTATGTTATAGGCTACGTCGGCTCCTTGACCTTTTTCTGACCTCACATAGACCTCAAGCCTGACAACATCATGGTGAAGATTGAGGATCCTTCGATTTTTGAACGAGACACTCAGGACGAGTTCGATAATCCGTTGCCGCAAAAACATATTGATGAACGTACAATCATCTACCTCTCTCGAAATAACTACGGGCCACTTTCTGTCCCGACAGGGACCATTCAGATTGTAGACTTCGATCTGTCTGTTCGGGCAGAGCCAGGTCAAATTCACACCGGTGCCATTCAGGGAGAAATATACCGAGCCCCAGAGGTAATACTTAATGCAGGCTACACATACTCTGCCGATATTTGGAGCCTAGGGGTCATGGTAATGCCAACTATTCCCATATGTCTCTATATATTTAATGCTAATTCTTCAGCAGTTATGGAACTTACTCGAGGGAAAGAGTCTTTTCAATCCTACAGCCCCTGGCAACGCGGATGAATATGACGACCAATCGCACCTGGGCCAGATCTCTGCCTTGATCGGACCTCCACCGCAGAGTCTATTGTCAAGCGGCCAAAGAACTTCCATGTTCTACAAACCCAACGGTATGTGAGGCGGATCCTGAGCAATCAGATGTCACTGACCCGTGTGTGTGTTCAGGCGAGCTCAAGAATCCTGGCCTTGTTCCTGCCCCTGGCGATTGTAGCTTTGAGAATACCATCAGTTGCATGAGCGGCGAGGAGAAGGTCAGGTATATTCGATTCATCAAGAGAATGGTGAAATGGAGTCCAGAGGAAAGAAGTACTGCAAGAGAGCTGCTTGATGACCCGTGGTTGTATGAAGATTTCCCCCAAGACTAGACAAGCAGTCCGGAAGGGCTGTCGCGTTTGGTGAGGGCGACATAGCTATTCCGACAGTGAAGGACAAGCAGGCAGAGATCCATGGACATAGACTCTGAACAGTAATGGTCGGTGTCGGATTGAAGCCGTCTTGCTGGGTCAGTCGCGTCTGCTCACCAACAGTCCGCAGAGCTACACTTCGGGTTCATGACGCAGCTGTAGAATGCCTTTGAGAGACTTTGTTGAGTCTCAGTTGATGCAGGCTCATTATCGTGATCCTTATAGGTGATGGTTTGCTGCCTGGGGAGAAATTGCATCGGGTTGGCTCAATCGCGAAGCAACACTTGACGAGAGGCTACCATCGCAAGCCAGCAAATCGTGAGCTCTATAGATATTACTACCTTGGTCCCAATTTCCAATGTACTGTCTCATAGTGACCATATTTTGGAGGTCAGAACTAGCTTGTTGCTGTCGTTATCGCCGAGTTACAACAATCTGCCACCGCAGCATCAGCCCCAGACACAAAGGGCCAAAATCACAAAATCGCAAACCTCGAAAATAGCATAATAAAATGACATCGTCTGGGTCGCTCGAGTCTCAAATTTCAGTAAATACTATTATCAGCTCTATATCAGTATTATTGGCGCCAATATTGTCCAATAGCAAACCGACTTTCTGCGACTGCCTACCCTGTTGTTTGCCCTGTCATCGATTGCCCCAGCCAACAGAAGGACGTGTCGCAGAGCCACAAATCGAAGAAATAGTAGGAAGAAAGACACTATCTCAAATATTCGAACGTTCTAAACCGATGAGCCTCTTTATTTTGATCGCATCTGCCTTGAGACTGTCGATATCGACGAGTTTCAGATTGGCAGTCTGGTCTCAGACGCCCAGCAACCAAGGATGTGTCGCAAAGTCGCAAATAACGGGAATAATACAACGTGATAATGCTATTCCGATAGAGAGTACCCATTAAGCCAGGAAAGACATTCATTAGAACCATAAACATGCTTTTGTTGCCGGAAACGTTGAGTCGCGAGTGAGCAGTTGACAATCTCATCCAGTCGCAACACTAGACGCACTTATCACAAAGTCACAAAAGGCAGAAAATGCGGGCACTGATAGCACTGTCTTATTAAGAAGAGTAAATTATGGTCCAAGAGATCTTTTATTGAGTTAGATAGGCATTGACGCCGCTATTCTTGTCGAGTTATGCGCCAGCAGTCGGTGATGGTTGACCCGGACGAGGTTGTCACAGAGCCTCAAAATCTTGAGAATACATTGTTTGATACAAAAAATAGAATTAGAAAGGCTGCATATAGTGGTGAGTGAGTTAAGTCAAGTTCTAAGTGCGCTGTCGCTGACAGTATCACTGGGCTTGCAGCGCAGAGTCTACCTCGACCCATTCAAGAAAACATTGTCGCAAAGCGACATATCACAGAAATGATAGACTTCAGTACCAGTCGCTTAAAATCTAGGACATATGTAATTGCTGTATCTAGTTGTTGAAACAGTAGAAGCAGTATGGGAGTCATCAACGCAGAATTGCAAGCGAGCAGTCTGCAACTGTGTACCCAAAAGGACCGCACTGTAGGGCGTGTTATCGTAGAAATAGCATCTACTAGTACCTATGAATCAATCCAGAGGTATCTATTTCTTGGTACTGACTCTCGACTGCTCTCTAAAGGCGTTGTTGCCATCAATATCGCGAACTTACAGTTGAGCATCTACATACATCCACCGTGCTCGCGACGAAACAGTCCAACGCAAGAAACACAAAGCAGAAAATCGCAGGTAAGATGAGATATTTCAATATGAAAACAGTCTATAGAATCTGAAATTTAATTATCTGTATTTATTTGAATAAGAACATCATTAATGCTGCTGATATGGCTGAGTGACAGTCCTGCGTTCAAGGCCCGTCTATGTGTCGACGAAAGAGTCGCCCAGTTTCCACAATGATGAATATAATGCAGTTAAATGAGCGCTAATAGATTAAGGGATATTGATTGTGTATGTTAATGTTCAGAAAAGCTAAGTCTTTCTATAGAGATGTCTTGTTCTGATGTCCTCGCTCCTGCGATGTTCGCTTCAATCGCCACTGAGGCATGATAACAGGTCACGTTGATTTGAAGGCTTAGTCCCCTTACTTTACAAGTTAAACGTGTCGGACGGCCTGTAAGCGAATATTTACCGGGTCCTATCTCCAAGTCAGAGCTGCGTTGTCATTCTGTATCGCATGCCCTGGAGCGCTGAGTTATTGGCGATGTCCTCAACGTTGATGGCTGCGACGACGATGATAATGAGATGTGCTGCACAAGGCTCAAACGAGTACTCCAAATAGAAGGTACCGAGGTCCTCTGTAGCGATGTTTTGCAACTGAATCGTCTCGTTGTGCTGCCATTGCGTATCCTGCTGCCCATTCATCAATCAGCAATGAGACAGCAACGTTTGCACACGACGAGCACAAGATTATCTTGGCTGACACGGCACGTGGCGTCGGATACCCCATGAGTGCACGTCTGAATCATCGACTATGAGCCGTGAGGGCGCGTCGTTACTCCGCAGCTCAATCGTACTGCCGATACGATATCGCTCGCTACCTCCCAAAGAAGTCAATCACATGAAGGATACCAATGGCGAGAGCTTTAAACAGAGATTCTAGATGAATATCGTAGTGAGATTGGTAACCGTCAGGCTGCGATGTCGGCAAACAGTCTCAAGTTGACAGATCATGCTTCAGCTGCACAGGATCGGATGCCGACACCCCTCAGTCAACTGTGCTACTCAACCTCTCAGCCTATTTTAGCAATGAGGCGATGACAGAACCAGGACATGGCTCTACTAAACCAGCAATACCTTGAACGCTTTCCACGAATTCTTCGCAGAAAGAGAATGCCCATCTGATGCCTCAACATCCGGGGGCACTCGCCTCTTTGACAAGACCTGAAAGAGCTTGTATATACTTACTCAACTTTTGAAGACCGAACTATAATGTTGACAATTCATAAGCTTCAGTACAATACGGTCTCCGATATAAGCCAATGGATAATGCACATGCTGCATGTAGATGCAAATGAGATTCTGTGTGGATCCTTCGCACTCTGTATATTGTATCCAGTCCTCTGTCTGTGAGACGTCCTCCATTGTCTTGGCCGAGTTCTCTATTAGAAAAAACTGGGTTTGGGGCTTATGTACACCTTGTCCGCATTTATACCCATTTGAGACCATTTTGGTTACGAGTCTTGTCCCGTGACCCTTCCTCCCCGTGACTCGATATACTGCTCCCTGGTCTGGAATTCGAACTGAGGAGGTAGAATAAAATCGTAGTATAGATCAGCGGGAATTTTGCAGCCAAAACTTCTTCCGTGATAGTCCCATCTGGAGATACGGCGTCCCACATCATCCATCCCTTTAGTTTCCTCCACCAATACGTTGGGGTCTACCGGGACCCCAGGGTGAAAATCCGAACGCAAAATCGACGTCTTATTAACCAAGTGCTTGACCGCCTCCCTGAATCTGGGGTCAAGGAAGAACTTGTCTGGTGTGGCGGACAACTGATTTGTAGTCGAGCTGAAGAGGTCCAATTCGCAGCATTTATCGAATGCTGGGCCCTCCGCAAGGGCCATGTGAATGCACCCTTGGAAGACCTCGGTACAGAGATCGCCATAAGATCCACCCCACAAATTAAAGATGAAGGAACCTGAGGGAATATCTAAATCCCGCATTGAAAGAGCGTCAATGAGCCAAGACTCCAGAGTCAGGAGGAAGGTAGGCCCATAAAGACTTCTAGGTTTATCCCGAGTCATCCATTCCTTTTCCGCTCCAGCGCAGCTATGGATGCAGCCGAAAACACTGACACGGCGCTCCACCTGAAGTAGTGGGTTTTCCTTGTATAAAGGGACCAAGCCCCGGGCGTGAAGTGACGGCATGTTGACTGATGGCGAATCTTCATGCAATGTGATCCTACGGATCCGTGTTCGCTGCTCAACGGGCAGCCTGTTCAAGAAACGTATTGCTGTAGCGGTGGCAGAGAATCTTATTGTATCGCGATAGCGGTAATCAAAATGACCGATCAATCTCGTGGGATTCTCATATTCGGCATCGTATTGACATCTTTCGGCATCTTCTGGACGTGGCCCAATGGGGATATCGCCAAGTTCCCGGTAGAACTTGTCGGGATAAGCCCAAAGTTCTGGGAGCTTCCACACAAAATCGTGAATATTTAAAAAATCCAATGCATGGGCAACATCCTCCCTTGAAGGAATGTCCCAAAGATTGAATTTGAACCCGAGAAAATCTTGCGGATGGTACTTGCCAATCCAATGGGGTAAGGTCTTGTATACCTGATTATTAAATTCCGTTGGTGCCTCTTTAGCGATGAGACGCAGACAATACGAGAGTGCATCTCGGACATCCCCTGACTGCTGTTGCCATCTATCATGTGAGTCACCTGGCAAACTCCCACTTGGGTTCATGAAGACTTGATAAGATAAGTAAAAATATCATTCTGGTAATCAATGAAGTTACGGCGGCTCGTACGACGAGTGGCTCAAGGGCATCGAGTGGCAGGCCGAGAGGGTACTGAGGAAGACCGAGCCGCTGCGACTATGTTGAAGGTAACAGTATTAGCATAGGTACACCAACTGAAAAGGGCTTGATGTAAGACAGAGTAGCATACACACCAGGCTCGTCATGATCTTAAACCACGAGAGCGCGACTACCCGTGACAATAAAGTCAGTAGCAACTCGAAGGAGTGTCGAAAGGAAGGGCAGTTGCGGGCTTACAGATGAGAGGGACGGCGTACCGCGAAATCTGCTATCAGAGGATGGTCAATGGAGGAGAAGACGAAGGAAGAGGGCGAACATACGGATGAAAGAGGGGTAATCGCGGGGTTCTGCTGAGACATGTCAGAGCCGTGGCAAACGGGTTTGGCTGAGAGAGACAGAGGCAGAGGAGAAGGAGGCGATGGCGGAGAGGTGAACGACGTACCGGGAGGAAAATGTATTGAGTCTAAGATCGGTCAGCGACATGAACATGTAGGCAGAGGAGGCAGGACTTACTTTGTGTAGGTTCGGGCGGGCCGCCAAAAGTCAATGACCTGAAGTCGTGACTGACTGAGTAAGTTGGACTGGGATGAGAGAGTAAGGTTGAAGGAGGACTTACCGTCGGCGAAGGAGGGGGGAAATAGATCACGATACACAGCACGTGACCAATCTACAATCATAAAGACCCTGATGGACGACATAAGCAACACTCGATCGGAATGGAAGCGAGGGAAACGGTGGGAGATACTTGCGGCCAAACATCAGTGCACCATCAATATAAACAGGGGCCTTATAGTTAGATGAATGACGTGAGTGAGGAACCCTGAAGACGCGAAATGGAATGGATGAAGAAGGCATAAACCAACAGAGGAATGCAAGGATTGAGTTATGGGTGAACCTGGTCCGGCAACCTCATCGTCTTCCAAGTCTCGTGTGTGGGAGCTTAAGAGCCCCCGTAATCGACATAGAACATAGAGTCTAGTGGAGCTAATGAAAACTGTTCAAGCCCGAAACACATCATGGCCCAGTGAACAGCAACCTTCAGGTTAGTTGTCAGAAGCGTCTCCCATCCGAAATGCTTGACCTTCCGAATCAACAGTAACCTGACATCATGGAGATCAGGACACTCCATGAACATGTGATGAAACGTCTGGTTGGGGTGCCTGCAGGTACAAGTAGCTTCAACTCGGACCCTGACGACCGTATCGGAACCAGGAGACTTGACCTCCCTGAACACGTGGCACTTGTTCAAGTACCAGTTGAGTCCAACGCACTCAGTCCGCAGTTGCATGCCAAGTGTAGACTCGGGTCGCGTCATACCTCGGTAGTAAGCTAAACTCTCTCCGCCCCATTCCTCTTTGAATGCGGGAGGCTGATAAGTAGTGGTCTTCGTATCTTTTCGTTCCCTGCGGTGGGCTTCCCATATCACTTTACTTGCCTCGATCGCCTGCCGAATCGCCTGTTGTCGGATGGCCCTGTTGCGGTTTGCCGGGATTATCCAAGCTTCAAGAACTGTTATTGTCGGCGGACACTTCCAAGTATCTTGAAATCGTTCTCCGGATTCTTTGACTAGCACTCGCGCGTTGCGCTGGAGGACGTCAAAGGCGCTTTCGTTGTAGTCATGAAACTTCTCATGAAATCTTCCATCCTCGTCGTGTTGGGGTACCTTGTTGAACCAGAAGTCGTGAGGGCGCACCTTCAAAGACTTGGCGCGACAAGACCTTGACATGCCTAGAGGAAGATTTCGATGCTGTCATTGTAACACTCCTTCTCCAGGACAACTTGTGCGGTGCCACGTATTACACCGGACAACAGCTTGATGCACTTGTACTGCAACTTTTGGAGTCGTGCTATCTGGCCAGCTGGCAACGAGCGGTGCAGACCCGGCAGACCCCGTTCGTGTGGACGCCAGACAAACCATGCTGCGCAAGCATAGGAAATAACAGGCCGAATCTTGCAGATGTAATACAGCCTAGTCTTCTCGAGCGTCATCCCCCAGTTGGCCCCAGATATCCGTCTTTGATACATCAATGCTGTCTCAGCCTCCTCCTCGATACGTGTCAAGTGGTGTTCAAAAGACAGCTTGGGATCCAACATAAGCCCAAGAACCAAAAGCTTCTTCTGTTGAAGATATTCTGGGTTGTTCCTGAGCTGGTCGATGTCGGGCAGTAGCGTACATGGGGATTTAACCTTTGGCGCGCCGGCCAACCCGAGGACCACGCGTTTCCGTTGGTCACTCTTCTGCTTGGCGTCACTCACGCCACGTCGAAAGTGCATCACCAGTGACTTCTCCGGAAAGAAGGAGAGATGAGCGTCTTTGGCCCACTTCATGATTAGATCGTGGAACACCTTCAAGATAGAACAGTTCTCCTCGTAGGAGGGAGAGAAAGCCATGATATAAGTGCCGTCCACATAGGTAAAGACATGAACCTCAACATATGGCCGATCCAGCTTCTTGATTTCTTCGGCAAGCATTATAAGCAATGGTGCCGTGTAGAATAAGAAGAGTAGGGGGGACAGCGGGGATCCTTGGGGGATGCCAATGTTGACAAAAAAAGGGTCTGAAACGCTCTGGGGCAGTTTGAGAACGATGGAGCGGTCCGAAAGAAACGAGTGAATAACGCGGAGGAACCATGTAGCGACGCCGCGGTCGGCAAGAGTCTGGAGGAGTAAGATGCGATCAACACAATTGTAGGCTCCAGATATATCAAGTACAACCATCGAGACGTACAATCGAGATATGCCGCCTTTTGGTTTCCAGACACAGGCCTTCCGAATGACACCTAACATGGCTTTGAGAGCGTCTGTTGTTGATCTGCCCGGAGCACCGTACTGAGTATTGGGAAGAAGGTTGTGATCCAATGCAAGCTTCTTCAGGTGTTAGGCAAGAAACCGCTTAAATAGCTTGCCAAGGCACGATAAGAATGCTATAGGTCACCAGCTACTTGGGTGGCCATAGGAAGGCTTAGAAGCCTTAGGTAACATCACCGTAATGGCTTTCCTGAAGGCTGCCGCGTGGTATCCATGCCTGATGCATGCATTGAAAAGTTAAGCGATGTAAGGTGCTACCAACGTGCGACATAACTCGAGGGCTTCGTTGGGGACTTTGTTCTCCACTCAGGCCTTATTTTATATTCATTCAGTCCAGATGTCTTTTTTTCCCCATTTGTTACGAGAGTTGGCACCAGCAAGAACGTCTTGCCCACAACAATCCGATCTATGGGTATTTTAGTTCAGACTTCCAGCCAAGCTAAGCGATTAATATTTCCTTCTCACTCGTCTAAAACTTACTGAACATACATAATCAGGTTTAGAGCATAAGATCATGGTTGCTCTTCTCAACTCGACCCGAGGTCACTTGGCCCTCTTGAGTGGCACCTTGCTCACCATCTCGGACTTCACCCAACCAGGCTGTAATATCACCAAGCAGACGAAGGCACAGGGGTTGATCGACGCGTTCAACAGGATTGAGCAACTAATGGACCCTGATCTTGCTATCGAATTGGGTCATTTTCTAATCCAAGCTTGGAAAACAGTCCCGAAATTTTGGGACGCTCGCGACAAGTTGGGTTTCGGTAATTGGATGGCCATCAAACCCTTCAGCAAGAAAGGCTCCCGTCTCTACTACCCATTGTGGGTTTTCAATGCGGTTTGAAGGAGACCCAGCTCCTACACCATCAAACCCCTGACTTAGGCACTCGAGGATTTGTGTGGCGTACATTTTCTGTATGATGAGGTTTTCTGTCCTCGAGCCGTCCAAGACCAGATTCATTTAGAAAGCTGCTCCCGATAAGGGCTGTAGTCTGGGAAGGGAAGTCCCGGAGGGGCACAATCGCTCTTAGTTAAACAAGTAAAATCGCGGATATACTTCTGCTTTTCTTGCTGTAAAGAAAACACAATTTCGTGATGGTCAAGTGCGGGCATATTGATAACATTTTGAGGCTGGCATTGCGCGTTACCCATCAAAGTCGCCACCCAAAGCGCCTTGCTGCCGGGGCTTTTGCGATAAGCCTTTTGGGCCTTGCGTTTCATATGTTTGGCGTGGTGATCTAGTCGAATATCGGGACCCGCGGGAGTCGAGAGGCACTCAGTCGAAAGGATGTTCCGCAGGCGAGGATCTAGCAGCTGTTGTCGTAGAGCGGGATTTGCAAGATAGCTATCGACATGCTTCTGTATAGACTCATAAATAATCTGAATGAGTCTCAGTGCAAAGGCATCAGAGTGTTGACGGGAGTCCAGTGGCATGTCATTGAGATTGCGAAGACCTATTGCGATGGCTTCGAGGAAAGGCTTGCTGTTAATAGAGTTCCAGAGCAGGATCCTACTGTTATCTTAGTTATATCTTATATCCAGGACTGTCCTTATAGAGCGGTAGTTACTTAGTTTTTAAAGTTATTTTAAAAAGACCTTAAATACTTAATTAATATTAAAGAGTAAAGGTAATATATAAAGTAATAAAATAGTATTTTAAACTTAAATTTAATATAAGGTTTTATAAAATGTTTTTTTAATTTATATTTATATAATTATTTAATAAACTTAACTCTTTTTTATTAAATTTACTTAATCTTATATATTAAAAATCTATTATATACTTTATTATAAATTCATATATTAAGGTATAATTAGCTTATGCGAAAAACATACTAGTAGCAGAATTAATGCCTCAGTCCCCATTCCCATATCCACCTTATTTCTTAGCGACATTACATCAATCTAGCTTGCCAAATACTGGCCTCTTGCAAACATAGACGCACACACACAACAACAACAGCCATGGAAGAATACATATCAAGACTTCGTGGTGCCCAGGAAATAAGAATCCTTGAAAAGGCTCAAACACGAGCGGCAACAGTTGCATTTCGCGATGACATGTTGATGTCTAGTCCCCCAAGTTGCTCTGCTGCAGACTTCAAGAGGCCGCGCCTCCGGAAATGCTTTTTTGATCCGGCCACTATTAATTGGAGTCACTCCTCACGCGTTGGTGGTGGAATCGACGGATACATATGGAAGGTGTGGTTCGGAGTGGATGGCCCTTATGCCCTCAAGGTGGTAAGCATACCAGATGTCTATAATGCAGCTAGCCTTTTCTCACTCTCTTTCTCAGTTCTGGGATGCCAATCAGCCGAACTTTCATCACTACTTTGCCGCCCAGAGGGAATGCCAGAATGCTGCCCTTCTTCAAATGCTCGAGACAGCAATTCAACAAGCGACCACTCCAATTATGGTGAATACCAGCCCAAGAACTAAAGATGAAGCTTTAGCCAACCTTTACTGGTTTTCCAACGAAGGCCGCCAAATGAATACATCGGCTCAAGGAGCACATGTTGAGGAGATAGTAACGACTCCACGCATTAGGAAGTGCTATGGGTGGACGAGGTTTAGTGGCCACTCATTATTGGAGTTGCCCAAAGACCTAAAGCCGCCGGTTCTGCAAGTAGGAAAGTTTTGCCGCTCGATATCGACGGAGAAGGAATATACAGCAATAGTATATGAATATGTCGAAGAAGGAGAAAATCGCACAGATGTTGTGGAGGAAGCGGACAGATTCTTTTGGCTTGGTGGATTTAGCCATAGTTCCTCCCGTGCTGCAAGGAATTGGAAGAGGGGGAGTCCTTGTGGATTTGTCGGATATTATTCATGCTGGTGGATACGGATGGTATGCAAAACGCTATGGGCCATGGAAGGCGAGTAAGTTGCTAAGACCATAGATATTTTACCTATATTAATACTATTTTAAGTCAACTGTATTTAATATTAAAGAGATAGAAAGTTAAGTCTAGCTAGATAATTAAGAGCCTTGTCTTATCTTTTAATCTGTAAAGGACGACACCATTTAGGCTTGTTGCTATAGGCTAACCCCAATTTGTCTAAACCTTGTACGCTGTACAGGATTCCCACAAATTGGGTTAGCTGGACTGGCCGAGAGGCAGGGATACACAACACAACTATTACAAATAAGCACAAGAACCCCGCCATTTCAATCTCCTCCCGCAGCAGGTTACTGGAATCCTCTGCTTGCTGGGGTCCCCAAGCACGTGAGTTCGGCCAATGCTACAGTAAGCTTCCTCAGTCATTATCTTTCAGCTGGGAGAGAGCATCAACCGACAACCATCGATCTGCGCTCACACACCTGGCAGTAAGCACAGACGTCGTTGAACAGACGGAACATTTTACGCCTCTCGTCAATAACGCGTTGAGCCAACTATCATGTACAGCCACTATCTACATGCCCTCTCGGTGCTAACTGTACTTAGTGAACCACTCCTTCCGAGACGAGACACCCGGGCTCATCTTACAATCGAGCTCTCTAACCGCTATAACGAGCATGCTTCAGTTTAGCCAAGTCGGTCCCAGGCCTGGCATCGCATCCACCTGTAGATCTTTACATACCGCTGTACAAGCAGGGTCCCCGTGGAAGGCCTCTAGCATGGCAGCTGTATCTGAGTCTTTCCCTGGATCAAGCAATCGCTATTCAGAAGATGCCAGCATTTTGTTGGCATTCTTATCTGTCCTTGCGGTCTCCGAGAGAGTTCCATTGGATCTTCTCTCCCGTGGAGCTGCACCTCGGAGACGCTGGAATACACGTGGCGAAATAGAAGCGGTAGATGCTGCTGCTGCTGGTCTGAACCCAGAGTTGTATAGCTTGCTCTCCGGCAGCTCAAGGTTGAGTGACGCCTTTCACGAGCTAGAACTGTTGTCAGCTCTTTCAAAGAACACGGACGAGACCTATAACTTGGACGAAATCGTTGTGAGTCGTATCCGTGAGAGGTTGTCACCAGAGAGCCTCTTATTCTTTAGGTCCCAAGCCTTGATTGTTGTATATCGAGCAATTCCCTGGAAATATGTCGAGCCTGCGTAAGTTTAGCCACCAACAGAATCACCTTCATAGCCTAATAATAGTCACAGAACCCCCATTACGAAGCTATTCCTACCGCATCTCAGATACACCCTACAAACATTTCGTGAAGATTCTATGTACTTGCCTGTGGGCGTCAGAGCCGACCTTGTCCTTACGCTCCTGGAGGCATCGAGATTTCCCAACATGGCGTGGAAACGTTTCATGGTGGAGCAAGCAGAACTTGCCGCGCACGGCCTGGAAGACCACTACATTCACTATTTAATCGCGCAATCACGATGTCTTCTGGATCGGATTTCTGGAACTACGGACCAGACTAGGAGCTGCCTTGACGATATCGGCCAGGACACGACATCAATGACCATAGATAACAGGATGCATTCCGTAGCCGGTCAAGCATCCATTCAGCGTTCTTTGGACTGCATCCAGACTGAAGACTTGTCTACTGCCAAGAGAGTATTGGAAGACTGGAGCCCCCTTCACAGGATCCCCTCATCCCTTGAACGCGTCGTCGAGTTTCGGAAGAACATCTTGCTTGGAAGGATTCTACGGTACCAAGGTGCATTCAGAGAATCGCTGACGTATCTTGAGAGGGCTCAGACAACAGCAGCGCAGGAAAACGATCTCACCTTTTATGAAGACTTTCGTGATCTTACCTGCGATCTTGCAGATACGCTGCGAGAGCTTGATGAGCCTATGTCTGGTGAAGGTCACCTTCGCACAGAAATCACCCGTCGAGACCGCAGTGGTATCTCGACGGGCAAATCTCTATTGCAACTATCTCTTGCCGAAGTCTTATTTGCCCAAGCACGCTATAGAGAAGCTGAAAACATCTGCTTGGAAGTTGAGTCTCGTCCCGGCTTGTTGAAACTCGAAAAGTTACGTTTACACATCACTATGGCAAAGATACGCCACGTTGACTTCAACTATGATGGCGCATTTCTTTATTGGAAAGAAGCAATGAAAGACATTGCAAAGTTTCAAATGACTGGCGGGCGTGCAACTCGAACGATCCTCTTATCTATTTGCGATACCCTCCGCAGTCGAGGCCAAGCGAAGCTGATGAAGGATTCCATGAACCAGGTGGCATTACTTGATGCTGGTGCTAAACCGGAAGGTGCTGAGTGCTGGATCGCGGGACTGCGCCATTGGTCACAGTATTTGGATTCCAGAACTTCTCGCAGTCACATGTAGCAGATTATTGCTTTGATATTTGCTGAAATCAGAAGTCTCTGTCACACCCTTCAAGTTTCCTGCATACAGGCTATCGGAAGTGCTAATGTAGCATGGTAAGATAATTGATATACCCTTGTAATATAGGGATGTAGAAAGACGCAGCTCTTATTGGTACCCAGGACGAAAGCTTGCAGTTTCAGAGAGGAGGAGGACTAGCCTTTGATAGACGCTTTATAACTATACCTTACTCATCGCAGGCTTACAGGTCATACAAGAACCGTATCAGTTAGGATTTGTCTATCGTTACTACACAGAAACATGTTTTCAAATGGTTACCTGCTAGTATCTGTAAGCTGGCAACTCTTGATAGCAACGGGACCTATCCTCGAGCGAGTATAGAAGTATAGAATGTCACATCGCTTTGCATAGTAAGGTATCACTTCACCAATGAGAGATTGATGATGTCTTGCTTCTTGTTGTGTAGCTTACATATCGAGATCAAGGCGGCAGAGTCCCAGATGGTCACGAAACGACTCCGACAGTACGGTATGCATGAAAATGAAGCCATTGATTGGAAACGTTGGTTCTAGCCTTCCATGATCCGCCTCAAAGGTGATTGCTTGAGGATAAGTGACAAGATGACTTGTCAGAAATCGGACAACGGCTTTGGTCGATAGAAGTGAATACCAAAGAGAGTCCTACCCACTCCCTACCTCAAGTTTCATTCTAATGCCAAGCTTCCAAACACTCTCTCGATCTGAGCCCAGCCTACGTGGACCTGAATCTATCATCCTGGGATTGTAAGCAAGTCAAAAAGAAAAACAGGTACGGCTATTCGAGCTAATCTTTTCAAGCTACTAGATATAAGAAACATGCCAACACTTCTCGAAGCTCTTACAAAGCGGAATGTGGCGGTCAACTCTCAGGCCGTTGTAGGAGGCTCCAATACCACAACTGAAACATATATAGAGCCGGGCGGGTGGAGGATGTGGGACGAATTCAACTACGACACTCTAACCCGAATATTCCGGCGAAAGCTTGCTTCGGAGTATCGTGGCTCATCGGAACCACGGGCCTTGGAGCTAGGTTTGATCGTCAGCAATGAAGAGACATTGGAAGACCTCTTGAGGCGATTCGTGAGTCCATGCGTCGATTACGCGCTGGAGCAGTAGCAGGGCCATCCACATCTGGGGCGCGGAAGCCGATGTGGGTTTGAGGACAGGCCTGACTGGTCAGCGATCTCGACTGAATACATAATCGAACACGGACAGTTTGCCAACATTCTCCCCGGAGACACCAAACTCGACGCGAAGTGGTCGCCTTGGATGTCTGAAGACACGGGCAGGTTCCACGAATGGTAAAAGGCCCTGGCCCAAGAGCTGACATATATGGCTAGGTACCGAACTAGATACGGCTTCATTATAACCGATGCCAATCTTGTTGCTCTCAGGATTACTCGCGAGCTTATCGGCGCTGGCCTGGCCCAAACACGTCCGCGAAGGGAGGCCGCTGTTTTTGTTGGCCATCAGAGACATAGTTCAGATGCCACGATGGGGTCAGGCGACGGCTCGAGTTCAGTTTACAGTGATGATAGCCCGTTGGAATGGAGCTACCATGACCCCGAATATGCTATCATTCCCTGGAATGCGCATGGGAAAGAGGTTCTGACCATTAAGCTAGCTCTTTGGTCCTTGATTATGATGGCTACGAGTGGCGACAGAGGTATTGATTACTCATATCCCCCGTTGGATAGCTGGCGATTCAATGGTGAGCGATATGTTCATAACACTTCAGGTACCACCAAGTCGGAGCTGTCTGAGGGTGATCATCTGTTGCTGGAGCCTAATGACATGAGCTGGGAGGGGGACGCGCATTACACACAAAGCCAGGATGTCGACGATATGCTTCCTTCAACCCGCGCTGGCGGCACTTCCAGTGTTGGCCCTTCTCAAGCATACCAGCCAATTGAGGTAGAGGCCTCTGTTAGAGGATCCTCTCGACAGGCCGATCAGGGTCCGGACGATGACGACCAAAAGACTGAAGTCGGGCCTTCTCATAGGCACCATAAGCGCAAGAAGGTCCGGATCGAGGAGCATTTGGTTACCAGAAAGCTCTACTATCTAAATGCCAATGGAGACAAGGTCGATACAAGTAGGGCTCAGTAGATCAAGGTGGACGGCGGGTATGAGTTAAAGGGCCGGAAGAATATCTACTTCACAGAGCAGTTCCCACATTAGCCTAGGTTGGAGCAGCCACCATCGCAGCAGTCGCTTTGCATTCACTTAGTGAAAACGAGCATGACGCGATGCGGCGATCGGTTTGAAGGAGAACTTTATGAAAGCTTTTCGTAAAGAAGGTCCAAGTGCAGAGAAATTGTTACAAGAGCTTTTGGTTCCGCCATTTAACACAGATCGTTAGACAACACGTAGTGGGGTATAGTCTGGAGTCTTGTAGTTGTTTTTCTATCAAGTATTGCTATATATAAGTAATGGTCCAATTCTAGTATTGGTTACTGACTAGCATTTATTGGAACCAGAGCTGAAATCGACATGCAGCTAGGATGGGCGTTGATGTTTTGGTTCCGATGCCGTCTTCGCTCTTCTTGTCTCGGAGACCTCGGCACAGATGAGTGGCGTCACCGATCGCATGGGCAATGTCGAGGAGAACTTGGTGAAACTCGAAGACCGATTATTTGGCCGACTCGATGGGAACGAACATCAATCCCGAAGCAGGCTACATGATGGCCAAAATTCACAATTAATTGGATTTCGGTCTGAAGTTGAACACGCATGCCTTGATTGAGCTCACGCAGATGATGGTCCAAGCCCAACGCGGACCCTGGGCCAGAGTCGATGCCGCCAAGTTGCAAGAAGCTCCATTGAAAGGACAGTCCAATTTCATTATCATATCGCTTTCTGAATGGGCCACTAGCGATGACCTTCGGAAACAGCCTACGAACCTAGAGAATCTGTTTCACCTTGAGCGTGGCTGCTCCAGAAGCTTCTCCAAGATGAGCTTCATGAGCCTGGCGTCAAGAGAAAGGCTTCGCACCAGCGGCTCATCCTACAAACCGAGCTTTTGAACACGGCGAAGCGACTTGCACTGACAGGTGTCACGTATTCAGTCATAATTATGAGGTCAAGGAAGTAACCATCCCCTTATGTGGTCAATCATTGTCAGGGTACGCTGAATGAAGTGATTAAGGCCCTACAGGCTACTGGGCTTAGGGGACCTCGCCTTTAGGCTGCATAGGTACCCAACCACTTCCATTGCTAGCGATTATAGCGCTAACGCGCTGCGTTGCGGCCTTTGTATAGAAGTCCATCAACCGTTCACTTGCGACGGGATGTGCAAAGAACTTCAAATGCTGCAATTGTAGCGGGGCCTACAAGACGTGCGATACATGTTGTAGCTGTAACCCTATTAATACATCTATCTATAATTACTTGCCTACATAAATGCCTTACTCGGACTACTTCTCTTGCCAAGAGGGCCACTGATTCTCATAGTACCTAAGCGCCTGCGTACTGTTGATGCTAAGCCAGAAGGCCCTCCTCCGTATACTGAGAGCAAGCCCGTTCATTTTTCAGCAGCCCGGAACCTATGAGCGCGTATTTCTCAATATGACATGATCAAAGTACAGCCTTAGGCACAAGACAAACGAAGACTAGGTTTGTCGCGGGATCAAAGCGCTGTTAGGGACCCGTTGGGGTGCATACATGTCGCATTCAGTTGTCTACAACCTACCTGTGATATATTAAACCTCAGAAAGTCTTGCGCAGCCACATCTAATAGTTACTTCGAGAAACCTACCTATTTTCCTCCCCCGAAAGTCTCGATTGAAGCGCTAAGTGGCTTCCGGATAGGCTACGAGAGGGCCATCATCAGTCCGAAACTCGACGACGTCAGCCAGCCTGTCATAGATCAGCCCAGGGGGGCTTTCTTGCTTGAGTGTGCCATCCATTAAACGCCATTTGGCGACCCAGTCAAAGCCGTGGAGATGCTCGGTCTCCTTAGCCAAGGCCCGCGCATCTAAGGCGACACCAGTATTGAAGTCAGCAGACAGGACTCCAGAAGTCCGATTCACTAGCTCATCAATGGCTTTCACGTCCTCATCACGCATCATCCATCTGCGGGTGTCTTGGGCGCTTAAAGCGTCGTGAGGGAACGTGCCGTTCGCGTCCAATAGCTTGTACGCTCGATGCCATGCGATATCTCGATGCACTATTCGCTGGAGGAGGTCTGTGCAGAAGTCCTGGTGTGAGCCTGCCTCGAGACGAAACGTGAAGGATTTGGCAGGGATTCCTACATCCTTCACGGCGAGGGCATCCCTAATCCAGTAGCCAATGTTGCGAGAGAGGTGAGGTCTGATCCACATGGGTTCCATTTGTATTCTCTCACCACGTTGCAGATCCATGACCAGAGAGTAAGGGGGATCCCAGACTCCGATAATACAATCCAGCAAGCTGACGCGACGGGTAATCTGTAGCGAGGGGTTTTCATTGACAAAAGGAGCGAGACCGCGGGCGTGGGTGTGCGGATCGCTCACTGAGTCAAGGTCTTCGTGCAATACGAGATGCTTCAACTGAACGCGCTGACAGGGAATGCGTTTCAGAAAGCGGATGGCATTAGCGGCAGCTGAGAATCGTATCTTTTCTCGCCAATAAATACCAGAGCGAACGTGTACATTGGTATCAGGACCATCCATACCGGCTGCATCTTCATCGTCCTGGGCATCGTTGTGGTCGTCGCTCTGGTCGTCGCAATGGTCATAATCTTCATCATCCTCGTAATCATCCTGGTCATCTTCATTGTTGTCAAACTCATCATCAGAGTCTTGCCTTGGATCGGCGTAATGCCACCTGTCCGGACACTCCCAGATCCCATCAATATCCAAGAGTCTAATAGCATTCTTTACCTCGCTCTCTGATGGAATAGCCCAGTTATCGAATCGAAGATGTAAGAAGTCTTCAACTATGTCTGACCCAGCCCAGTGCGGAAAGATCCCGCGTAGGTGATTCGCGAACTGGACCGGTTTCTTGTCTGCGATGAGCCGTAAGCAATACGACAGAGCATCCTGCACCTCTGATTCACTTCCAAACCAGGTCTTTGATGGATGGCTTCTACTAAATCGATCGCGATGAATCCTTGAGAAACCTTCATATTCGTGTTCACCCCACTTGAAAATATAATTGACGGTAGTAAGGAAGTCTTGAACCGCGACACAGCAGCGACGGCCCTTCAATCGCTCCACGCGCGCTCGCTTAGCACCAGATGCAGATTCGGCAGCCATGACTTGGCTGAGATTGTTATTGTTGTCATCCAAATAATCAAGTCGATGATTTGTCGACACATCCTCGAGCTGGTTCGCAAAATCGGGATATTTCAGAGCGAACTGTCCATACATGTCGGGAGTCATGAACTCTGCTAAATGAAGGACCAAGTCAGCCTCCAAGTGGCGATAGTACGTAGTGACGACATTGAAGCAGCCAGCTAGACTTCGCCAATCCTCGCGATACAGCGTCGAGAAGGTAACCGAGTTGAGGGACAACGGGAGATGGCTGGACTCGTTGGCGATGGTACGGCACGTGAACATGAAGGAAAAGTCAATCGGTTGACCGTCGCTCGTCTTGAGCTTGTCGGATTTCGCATCGTAAACGTATCCGCCGTCGAGTTTGAAGTAGTCGCGATAGATGTGAAGGCGTAGCTCCGACGGGAGACGGAGGAAGCAGCGTTTGGTCGACATGGCCCAAAGTGAAATGGCCGAGTCAAAACTTTGGGGTTTGCACGAGGGAAAGCGTGTGAACCAAGAGGGGGAGACGCGGGGCTTTTATAGTGCATTGTCGGCAGAGCAAAGTCCACGTCACCGCCGAACCTTGAGGGAATGAAGCTATCAGCGACGAAGCTTATGCATGCACGGTCGCTTGGGATTGGATGCTTCAAGATGGATGAACTTTTTTTTATTCATCCTTTTTTATTCCCCCTCATTCACCCACGCCTCAGCCTTCCTCCATCGTCGCCCTCCACCATTCCTCCCCATTCCACTGACGTCCCTCCAGACGAGTTTGTGGGCACAGCACGCCTTATTATATAGCTTTGACCTAGTGACGACCAATAAATATGATCCAGGTATTCCAATAAGCCACAAAAGTATCAACAGTAAAGTCTCTGGCCAGACTGAAGTCTCAATAAACTTAATCAATAAGGTTACCTTTAGGCTGCAGCATCTCAAGCAACTCTAATCATGATAAATATATCGCCTGACCAGCAGAAGAGCTTTAAAAAGCCCTTTTGAGGCGATCTCCGTATCAGCGATGGCTATGCGAAAGAGGGAGGAAGAAGTGTACTTACCGGCTGAGCCTGCGAGTCCCCCGCAACTTCGACCTTTCCTCTTTCATTCATCATTCAAAGCTGTGAAGTTAGGAATCAGCCCTGAACCCCAATAATACGGTATAATAGCTTACATACTCGTGTCGACGATCGCAAAATCATTAACAAAGCAAATAAGCCTCCGCTTTGTCAGTTAGAATCACATCTTGAGAATATGACAGACCACTTACTTATCAGCAAGTTCTCCACCCCGACTACTTCCCTACAAGGTTAGCAAGGACGTTTAATGCCTGGAAATATCACACAGACATACCATCAGATCAACAACGCTGACCTCAATCATAGTCAAGATGGCGAACGTGCCCAACGCGCAACCGGTAGTTACTAGTTAGAAGGTACCCATTAGTAACTGCACAAAAAACATAAGTCAGAGGTTCATAAGGTCCTTACTCAATCGACTACGCCTGCAGCACATCTCGACTAGCTACAGCTACCCCAGAAACGTCTGCAACAGATATATCACAGCCCTAACAAGGACTATACTCCCTGGGGCTAGAGTGAAGGTCAAAAGCGAAGCCATTCAGTTATCAGCAATCAGCCATAATCAGCAGATAGATAACCAGTTGCTCACTAAATAAGAGGTTATATTAATTTAATGCAGTTCTAGGACCAGGGAATAACTTATGCCTAATTATCTTTAAGTGCAAGCTCCTCTGCCGCGTGACTAGGAGCTTCCGCTATAGAAGGTGGCTCGACAGGGAGGTATAGAGGCTAAGCACCCTAGATCTAACAGATCCGTACCTTGGTATGCTGAGGACCCTAAAGTATCCGTATTATTCAAGTCGCTGGCTGTATGAACTAATGGTACTTACGAGCACAGCCTCTAGATCTCCAGCATCATCACGCTGCAGGCGTGGTCGCCGCCAATCTGTAAGTGGGCTGAACTTAACAGTTAGCAATAAGTCCAATCAAACGGAATAGCCGGCATAATATACAAGCAGATATCTGCCTTGCAGGGCGGGGGCAGAACCTTCCATGGTATAATAACGAGGGTATTGGCCGAGCCCCGTGTGATACCGACAAGATTGTATGCCCTCGAGTTTCAAAGCCAATCCAGAATCGACCATTGTGGTAGTCTCGATAGGGTAACTGCAGGATGCGATGAGCTCGGTGTCATTGAGTAATGGTTCCGACAGCTTGGGTTGTGGCATGTTTCAGCAACGCAAGACGGCCCTTGGTATAAGTATGACACTCTTCTAATTTCATGAAACCATTCATGACTTGGTGTATTTAGACGAGGTAGTCTCTGAGATGGATGCATGTTGAGCATTATAAATCGACTGTATTGAAGACGGATACAGGAATTATTCTTTTTGTGATTCCGCCGTGGGCAAGGTCGACTTTTGACCGACGAAGAAACAGACCCTGGAGTGCCATGGTATCTCGTTCTTTTCCAGAGCAAATACGGGTCCAATATCCCGACTAAACCAGAACTAGAGGAGCTCTGATCAATGTAGATACAGCCTAGTTCAGGTAGCAATCCGGACAGACGCTCTGGCGCAAAGTATTGTGCGCAATTTTGTCGAACAGGCTGAATAGCTTGTTTGACGGTGAGAAACGGAAGGTATATTGTCCCTTTCTTCTTATCGTAACCATGGGGAGTGTGTTTTGGGGCCAGATTGGGATTCGTAAACGTGTCGTAGTTAAGACTCAGGTAGTACTGGTCCTTGCTTCGAACCAGTGTAGCTATAGGGGCGGCGTAATTTCCAACAGAACAGGGCGTGCGGTGACTTTGATGACGGCAGACTATGAGGACTTCTCTGTGTGTTGCCCCCCCATCCGGGACAAGATCTCGGATGAACCTTTCGAAGTCATGCCAGTAGATTACCTTATGCTCACAGAGACGGATATAACCTGTCCTTGCAATACACACTTTCTGACCAGCAGAAAAGCATAAAGATGGATGCTTGACTTTACACGCAGTGCAGAATTCCCAGTCCCATACATTTCTGGCTGCAAATTTACAGTTTAGTGACATGCGCTGTTTCTTGCGGGCGTCTTTGCATGCGGTACATAGACTTTCGTTTCTGATGAGGTCGCCGAGCCCTTTTGAGTCTTCTCTGTTGATCTTGTGACCAAAACAATGCTTTTCCTCGGAGTAACCACGCCTCTCCCCCCATTATGAAAAGTACGGGCGTGGCTCATCACAACATGCTTGCCACAAAGCATTGGGTTGCGAACATACTCTGCAGCAGTCGTCGCTTGAGAAAACGTGCGAAAGAAATTGACGATCCTGCGTCAGTCGTCTGAAACATCTCGAAACTTGACGAAGGACAAAGAAGGCGAATATGGAGGGTTTATCGTTCCCTTGATAGATATGATGAACAATAAGTATCATGACCTCGTCCGGTAGTCCGTTCAGCTCGGGTCTTGTACTTGGGGCCAGAGTAGTAGTAAGGCCGATCAGATCGATTTCTATTGTCGATATTCGTTAATTCTATAGGAGTCCGGGGTATTTTATGCTTACCTGACGGCCTCGGCTTCGCAAAAAAGAGGCTAAGCATTGCTTGGAGCCGGCTTAGTATTATGAGTAGTATAATCATGATGGATCCGGGTTCGTCTTTGAAGTCTTTGCGACTGGTTCGTCGAATAAGAAATGGAAATAGAAATTGATTAAGCGGAAGATTTTACTCCACATCCCAGGACTGAGGGTTGTCTTTTATAAAAGGACGAGTAGAATTCTTATCTTTTGCATATTGCATAATAGAAAATTCAAGACCTTAAACCATTTAAAAGTTCCTTTGTCAGCCAATCAATCTCGCATTATACATAGTCAAGTCCTGATGAGTTGAGTTTGGAAAAGAAGGAGACCAAAAAGTATGTTGACCACGAGGCGCTTGTTCACGACACAATTTCAGTACTCTACCAAAAGGAGGCAAGAAACTTCAGAGATTTTTTTTTACAACAGTGATAGTGTATGAATTAAAAAACATTTTACATACTAACTTTTATTATGGAGGTCTAAAGTTATATTATCTACCCTTGACGAGTGATTGAAAGCCTGGGGTCTGCTGTCCAAGCCACGGATTAACCTTTCAGCGGCCCCGTCTCAAATGGACCCACTACCGTTCGGTGATGTGATGCGGGCAAGAATTGTTCGGCGCTTAGCTCAATCTCCATCAAGTCGGCCTGGCGAATTTATAGTCATGGACTCACCGCATGACGCGCCATACTATTGTATGGCTGATACAAGATGCCGTCTCTGTCAATTCGAGTTGCGAGAAGGCGACTTGGTGATCTCGCGTCCGTTTACCAATCCATACCACTTGACTTGGGTTTAGCTTACATAAAAGCAGATATAGGAAGTCAACGATTTTCTATGGATTTCAAGCTCCGTATGACTGAGACTGTACACGATAGCTACGAATGGATCAATCTACATACTTGCGCAAGACGACGGTGCATGATGCAAGGTCGCCGTGTGCCATTCTTTCACCATGAATGCTTCTGCTTTAGGCTTTATGACATATCGGACGCCCTGAACACTTCTGGAGAATGGAGTTTTGCACCACCTGCAAGCGAGATCAGTCGACGTTCTCATCGTATCAAGAACCTGCTGGCCCCAAAGCTTAGAGACCAACTTCAGATCAGACTTCCTCCCGAGACTCTGATGACTATTGCTGGACATCTTGTGCGAGAATGTGCCGCTGTCACGGCTGAAGAGCAGTCGCTGGGCACCGCGGTCTCTGATACCACTATTGACGTTACGCGAGAAATATACGCCAATTATACTGCCGTCGATGGCGTGCGTTATGTCAAGAGTCTTTGCAATACGGCGCCAAATTCCGGTGACCAAGATCACCCCACGCTACTGAACAAAAAGAGTAAGCCAATTGACAAAATATGGATCGCTGAAGATCATCGTGGAATTCGGTCTGTCGTATTCTGTGTTAAGGATTCCCCGCTGGTAGGGCCAACACCGATTACGAAGTCATGGTGGAGGTCTCTTACTATTTCGAACGATACGAAAGAGATTGCAATAAAATCTGATGTAAGTACGATCTACCTATTGATGTCTTCATCCTAACTTTTTTTAGGGTATCAAGCTGCGAGACATCATTTTATCTGGTGACACTGAACCGAAACCCAACAACAACTTTGTTAGTTGGGCAGATCCCTCACACCCGGAGAATATCATTGACATCATGACACTTGGGACAATTGACGTTTTCCCCGAGAGACTCAGGATGATGTCCTTCGTATGCAATGCTCGTGGAACAACAGGATACACGGCAGTGACAAGTGGAACATCTGTTGCAATGATCCATGCTCACGGACATGACGATACTAGCTTCTATGCAGATGTGGATGCTGCTTACCCCCGCGACTTCTTTATGCACATGCCTCTAGATGATGGGGAATATGTTACTGAGATATGTCGAAGGCATGGACTGGGTGCAGGGAATCGGCCCTCGGCGTGTTTTGTGGTAAGACAATGACTACTGCCATCTTATATGCGATAACACTCGGAACTAACACTCCCCAAGTTCACAACCAACAAAGGAAGAAATACACTTTTTGGAACAAGTGGTCCTCCGGAGTCTTGCTTAGCACTTGAAAGGATCTTTACACCTGCAGAAAGCGGAACCACCGTATGGTTCAACGACTCATCATCGGTGCAATCAAAGTCACTCAGATATCTTGCCTACGACGTGACTGAACCGCCTTCTCAACGACCCTTCCCAGCCTCATCGGTGCCAAAAGCCCCGTACTTTTGGACTACGAGCACTGAGTCATGGTTCGTTTCATCCTGCAGCATGGAAGGGCTTGTGGCTATGAACCTCTGCAGGGATACGACAGTTGTTCATCGACCCATCATCGGAATTTTGGTAGAATACGACAACGGTCACCGGGAGTGTTTGGGTCAATATCGATTTGACAGGACCATGGAGAAGTTGCGGCTGGATCATGCTGCAGACCTGTATATTGGCAGCCTGAGGACCACAGGATCCTATCTGTACGTTGCGGAAATCACCACGTCTCCACCTTATGAAAGTGGTATCTCTTCTTGGATGCGCGTTTCTCGACATGGTAGACTGGAATGGTGGTCCTCACTCCGTCATTCTATCGTGCGTTATACATCAACCACAGCACAGTTCACCAATATGGAAACAAGGACCTAAATTCAGACTATGCTAAGAAAAAGACAAATTATTCCTCGTCAATCTTATCCGATTCTGTCGCGGGTGTAGTAAGTGACGCCTCGTCGAGAATTTACCCATGCAGCCTTGCCCTTGTATGTGACCTCCCTCCAGTCATCCTTGGTGGTTCTCTTCTGGTTGCCATTGATATCGTTGAAGAAATATTCTGTGGACCTCCCGAAGTGACCAACCCGGCTGACCTGAACTTTGATGAACTGATCACTGGCAGAAGTTGCCTGCCCGTATCCACCGGTGGCTGGCGTTGAATATTGACCGTAGTACGAAGTTGACGGGCCGGCCTCACTCTGTGATCCGCTTGCATATCCGGCTTGGGTTGCAACCGATCCATAGCCTTGCTGAACAGCTGGATAACCCGAATAGTCCACCTGACTGTATTCAGTCTGCTGATGACTAGCCAGAGGGAGAGATTGACTCGGAACAACTGGTGCTCGACGGAGCGGAGGGTAGGCTTTGACCGTTTCGACAAATCTGGAAAGGACCTCAGCCTCGTAGGAGTCCGCATTGACGTATTGAGACCGGCTTGCATCAGCTGGGCCACCGTGAAATGGTACAAGGGATGACAGATCCGATCCATAGACACTCCAGACACGGAACGAAACACCAACTGTAGTCATGACATATACAGACTCTAGATCATTGGTTCTGATGCATCTTCCCGCTGCATCAAGGGCTTGACTCTCTACCTCCCTCACACTGCCTGATGGTCGTTTAAACTCTATCCAGAGCATGGCGGATACAGTGTCATGGCTTGCGTCATACCTCTCCACTACCGCGTCCACTCTTCTGAGGGATTGGTCGGGAGGCATTTCACACAAGACCCAGTAAGCGTCTTCATGGAAGGTTCGCTGTAGCCAAACCTGCCAGAATCTGGAGGATCTATGCTCGATATCCAGCGAAGCATCTTGGTAGAGCTTTCGAAGAGGTCCAATAGATGGCACGATGCTCATGATTGATTTGTTGTTTTGGTCGGTAACCCAAGAAACGTAAAATGTCTGAAATAGACGGTGGTTACATGGACTAGAATGCCGAAGGATTTAGAGGAGTGTTGCATATAATTTTATCTAAGGACTGTAGAACAAATGCTTTCCGCATACCCGTTTTTATAGATAAAACATTGGCCTACGGAGCTTAACCAAAGCAGCAGACAGATTTAGGAATCCTTTGCCGCCCAGATGAAACATGATAGCCGCTGTCGTTATGAATACAACCTTGGTATTGAGGGCCGCATTTTCCCGTCCCGTGGGTCGCATTCCCTTGGCCAATTTCCGTAAGATTTGATAGGATTGAATGTTTTGTTGGTCCGGATTTAGAAAGTCAAGTATATAAGTGAATTTCCAAGCGCTTAATCCTAGAATGACCTAAGTTTAGAAAGACTTAAAGAATCATGACATAAACCCATTGAGTGCAGATCAATGACAAATCACTAGTTTTAAGCGCCGAGGTTTCTGAAGGGAACATTTAAGCGCCTTCAACATTTTGCAGGGGATATAACTGGGATAGCCATAATGCTCACATTTTAGTGAACATGCCGCTCAAGGCGGGATGATTGCGCACGACTATCTCCCCTCAGGCTATTTCTTCAGTTCGAAATGCTTGAAGGTTTCAGCCAAGGCAGAATCCCAGGTTTGTCATCAACCCGATACAAACCGAGCTAGCGGTAGCGGCTGTGCCTTAGCGCAGGTTCCCTCCCGCCAGGAAAATAGCTGTGAGCTGCCAATCGAGAAGCAAGGCAGATACCATTGACAAATGAATCATGCCTTAATTAAAAATGATAACCAAGGAAATATCTTTTCGGCACAGAAAACTAGCAAACACCTGGTAAAAAGGAAGCTCGGCGTACCAGGCAACAGAATTGTGCTTTGTCGCCCAATCAGAAAATAGCGTCGAATGGTTTCGACCAATCATGTGGCTAGGCAGAATTAACAGGCAGGCAAGGCAGCCATCGACGTCAATTGAGGCACAAACACCCGGGCTGACTCACTACGGCCTATCTACTGCATATAAGACGTACTGTAGTATCGGGCACTTCTCATATTTCTCTCTCTACAACACTTTTTCCATCATCGTCGTCCAATACCATTGTAATCAGGCTAGAGTGCTGCGCCTCAGACGTGCTTACCCGGAACCCTCACTGTGCTATCGCTACGACTTACGGTTCCCCATCGCCTCATTATTTCACCCCAGTTTCTCACCTGATATCGCTGTCGATTTGAGTCTTTGACAGCATCAGCCGACAGCGTCTTTTCCCCACGTCATCGAGAATAAGAAACAACATGTCACTCTTTGGCGGTTCAAGAATTGGTAGTCGTAGGGTTACCCCGCCATGCGGCTGCTACATCTTCATCCAGGACACGCCCAGGTACCTCCCTCAGGTCCAGATCAAGGCTCACACCACTATCCTCGCCACAACATCTCGCACCAACCTCAACCAGACTTTTGTCAATCCCAGCGGCGAAGCCATTGATGAATTGCGCTATGTCTTCCCTCTCTACGACGGTGTCTCCGTCGTCGCTTTCACCTGCACAGTTGGCTCTCGCGTCATCAAAGGCGTAGTCAAAGAACGACAGAAGGCTCAGCAAGTCTACAATGAAGCCAAAGCCAAAGGACAAACCGCTGGTCTTTTCAAACAGTCCCTTGAAGCAGCTGATACTTTCACCACCACTATTGGAAATGTCCCAGCCGGTGAGAAGGTGCAGGTAGACATCACTTACCTTGGAGAGCTCAAGCATGATGCTCAAGTTGACGGCCTTCGTTTCACTATCCCAACACAGATCGTTCCACGATATGGTGACTCGCAATCCCTCCCTTCGTCGAATGTCATCCAGAAACAAGGGATCTCATTCACTATCGATGCAGAGATGCCTGACGGCTCAGCCATCAAATCCATTCAGTCCCCGTCTCATCCTCTTTCAGTAGAGATCGGCACTACCTCTACCACGAAGTCTCAGGATCCCTCCCTCCAGAGAGCTTCTGCCACCCTCCAACAGGGGACTACCCATCTGGAACAAGACTTTGTTGTCCAAGTAGTCGCTACAAAGTTAGGAGAACCATCAGCTATTCTGGAAACTCATCCCAACATCCCAAATCAACGCGCCATCATGACCACGCTTGTCCCCAAGTTCAAACTGCCTGCCGACAAGCCAGAGATTGTGTTCATCTGCGACAGAAGTGGAAGTATGGGTGGCCAGATCCCTGGCCTCAAAACAGCTCTCCAGATCTTTCTCAAGTCTCTTCCAGTTGGTGTCAAGTTCAACATCTGCAGTTTTGGCTCTCATTTCAGCTTCCTCTGGGACCGGTCTCAGTCCTACAGCCAAGAGACACTCGACAAGGCTGTTCAGCACGTCGAGACTTTTGACAGCGACTATGGCGGTACTGAGATGTATCAGCCATTCGAGGCTACTTTCAAGAAGCGCTACAAGGACATGAACCTCGAAGTCTTCCTGCTCACAGACGGCGAGATTTGGGACCAAGATCGACTTTTCCAGCTTATCAACAAGGAAGTGGCTGATAGCAAGGGTGCTGCGCGAGTCTTTTCCCTTGGTATTGGCGCAGGTGCCAGCACCTCTCTAATTGAGGGTATTGCCAGAGCTGGTAACGGCTTTGCTCAGACGGTTGCTGACGACGAGAAGATGGACAAGAAGGTAGTTCGAATGCTTCGAGGAGCTTTGTTTCCTCATATTTCGGATTATTCTCTGGAGATCAAGTATGACAAAGGAGATTCTTCGGCCGAAGATGACTTTGAGTTGGTTGAGAAGGTCGTTGACGCGCTGAAGATTGATACTGTCCAGGACGAAAAGAAGGCCAAGGAAGTGGAAGCACCAAAGAAGCCCATCTCCTTGTTTGACGCATCGACCAAAGACGATGATGATACCGAGACGACTGAAGCCCCGGATGTTGATAACAAGTTTGACCATCTTCCTCATGTTTCTTCCCCTCGTTATCTTCAGACACCTGGCACTATTCCCCCCCTCTTTCCTTTCAACCGTACCACCGTGTATGTCCTTCTCTCCGAGGAAACTCCTTCACAGCAACCCAAATCTGTCATCCTCAGAGGCACTTCTAGCCATGGCCCTCTCGAACTCGAGATCCCCATAACGGTAGTCGCCGAGAAAGACTCTGTCATTCATCAACTCGCAGCACGGAAGGAAGTGAAGGAACTTGAAGAAGGTCGGGGATGGCTCAAGTATGCCAAGGACTCTGACGGCAAACTCCTCGGGGAGAAGTACGATGGCCGCTTCTCTGACATGGTCGAGCGTGAGGCTGTGCGCCTTGGTGTCAAGTATCAAGTTGGAGGCAAGTGGTGCTCATTCGTCGCTGTTGAGGATAACGGAAGCGAAGTTGAGCAAGGAGAAGCCCAAGAGGCTGTACCTGATGAGCCTTCGCGGCGCGCCATGCCACAAATGATGACTGCTAGCTTCGGTGCCGCGAGCAGCGGCAAACCTTTTCTTTCGTTTCTCAGCCGTTCTCGCAAATCAAACCAGCCAGATACTCGTAGCGCAGGGTTTGGGAGCTCTGGCAGTGTAGCATTCGGAGCTCCAGCTACAGCTCACTACGATGACTTTTCTTCCACGGGTCAAGGTGGGGGTCTCTTCGGAAGTTCTACGTCATCCAGCACTGGCGGAGGACTATTCGGCAACTCAAACGCTCAAGCCCGCAGTTTCGCCCCAGGGTCTAGTGCATCATCTGGTAGTCTTTTCGGAGCCGCGCCGCAGAGATCGTTTGGCACAGCTGAAACTCTGTTTGGCAGTGCTTCTATACCTCCCCCTCCTCCTCCTCCTGCAGCACCAACTGTTCAAGCCGCAGCACTCGCACCCCCCGCGGCTGCAGTTGATGAAGATCTTATCGATGAGTATCGGAAAGAGATGGATGAGGCTGCGGCTATGTCGCTGGACTGTTCACTAGAAGGTGAAGAGTCTGATGAAGACATGGGGTTTGCATTGATGGATGACGGACCTCCTGCTCCTGCGCCAGCTGCATCCTCTGCCTTTTGCTCTATACCTGCATCTTCTATTCCTACAGCTCCCAAGAAAAAGTCCATCGGCGACATGGAGCCTTTGCAAGCTTTGACTTCTCTTCAGACATTTGCAGGTAGCTGGTCGTGGAGTTCGGATCTTGAGCGTGTTCTTGGCGTGACCTCTGAGCAAGTTTCCAAATTGGCGCTCCCGGCTTCGGTCAAGGACCATTCAGAGAAGGACGATGTGCTGGCTACCGCGTGTGCTGTGTTGTTCTTCAAGAAGAAGCTGCAGGAGGAAACGGATACTTGGGAGATGCTGGTTGAAAAGGCAGAGGGATGGTTGGAGGATAACATTGGGGAGGGTGGTGTTTCTGAGCTACTTAGTGTGCTCGAGAAGTTGTTTTAAATAGTTTATTTATGGCCATATCTTGGAGAAGTGTTCAAGTAGTTAGTTAGCAGTATGAAATGACAATCTAGTTATTTATGCGTTCACATCTCCGTGTGTAGTAAGAAACTCAAAGAAATCCACTGCGCACGATTCTCCGACTGATGAAATGAAGAGTATCTTTAAGACAGGCCACATAAATTATTGTAAATTGATATTTCTTTCTCTACTTGTAGGCCATAATGCCGGATAGAGAAATAAAAGGCTGTGTCTGCCAGGGACGCAAGAACAGAATACGTTGTGATGTATCAATTGAAAATCGCATCCTGGAAGGTTGGGTGCCAGGATCGTGGATCGTTATCCTAGAAGGTGTCGCATGTAATAATATGTTCCGGTAATCAATTACTTATTATGTTTTATCCTATCCACTTATTCATGTACGTAAATTGGATAGGGGAAAAGATTCTGGTGCAGGTTACCTTTACCTCCATCAACAAAGCGGAGTGACAGGGATTAGAATTTCCTATCCTCCTATCCATCAATTCACACATCTACCATTTCAATTGATTGATAGTTAAACATCTCAACATCTCAACATCTCAACAAGCCAAACAGTACTGGACAATCACATTTCATTTCACAATCTGTTATTTCTATTTTCAACTTTTTCCCCATCTTCACAGTTTAACTTTTATACTCTTGTTGAAAATTGTTTTTATTGCGCGACATTTAAGCAACACTTTTGCTAGAGTTGTGCTCGATTCATTCTCATTGTATTAATCCCCGATGCTACAGCTTTCTTTTTTACTAATATGCTTTTCTAATCGTTATGGAGTTGAATAAATTAGACTTTCGCGTTTGCAATTTCCTATCCTCCAATCCTACTATGCGATTTGTTTTTCTCTTATCCGTCAGGAAAAAGTCAAAACTGGAAGTCAGGTCTTGACACCATCACAGCCATTGGCACTGCAATAATGCATGATACCGACTACATCACATATAAAGTGAATGAACCAAGCTAACTGGCGATGCACACACTTTACTATGCGCAGCTTCTTTTCACCGAGCTTAAAAGTTAACTGACGTGCACTACCTCATTCCTTACTGACACAACACGTAGCGATGACCTCAAAGCGTTGCAAATGTGACCAAGTCCTTTAGGCCATAGCTGTAAAAGCAGCCATAAATTCCTCAGTCACAGTCTCAATCCATTTCGAGTCATCCTTCACTGGCTCCCATCCCAACTCGCGACTCCGATCGCCCCTTGTCTCAGACCTATCACCGATCAGCAATGCGCAGGAAAAATAACTATTCATCTTACCTCGAACACAGTCCAAGCTCAGTGAGATGCTCATCACCATCGAACCAAGCTTTACTAACCTCCTTCAATCCAACACTCTCCGGTTCAGCGGCGAGTTTGCCTCGTTGATGGCCAACTCTTGCAATCTCCTTTGCTATGCCAAGCCAAGACTGTTTGCCATGGTTTGCAAAAAAGAAACCCTCTTTACCGAAGGGTACATCCTCACCTTCGAGAATCTTGGCCAGAATTAGGGTGTAAAGCGCTGCAATGTCTTCAACATGCGTATGATCCCAAACTCCCAATCCGTCCCCGGCGTACATTGCCCGTCCTCTCTCAAGGGCAGCCCTGACCATTGTCGGAATCTGTATCGACGACTTATTAAACAAGCCTGTTCCTCTGCCATAGATCAGAGGTGAGCAGATGATATACGTCTTGACATCCAACTCTTCCCCAAGTTCAAAAACCGTAACATCAGCAGTCCGTTGATGATACGGCTCAATTCTCTCCCTCATCTTCTCGTAAGCATAGACATTATCTTTATCCGAAAACACCTTCGTCTCAATGTAGACTTTGGAAACAGGTCTGTCGCCAAAGTTTGAGGTTCCCGAGTTGTGAATGTAGTGTACTTCACGTCCTGTCTTGTGCTTCCGTTGCGCAAGACCGCGAATGAAGGCTTGCGCTGAGGGAACGTGATAGCCGTTTGCGGCGTGGATGACGATATCGTGTGCTGAAGCTACTTCAGTGAGGAAACCTGTATCGTCGAGGTTTGTGAAGAGAAGAGGTGTTATTGGCAGGGAAGAGAGAGTCGAGGCTTGAGCTTGAGTGCGGACCAGGGCCGTGATGGGGAATTTTGCAAGGGAAGGATTTGCGAGGATCGCTGTCAATACGCTGCCACCACTGAAGTTGTAAGAAAAGGTTTTCAAAGGATAAAAGGGGGCACTTACACGTAGCCGGTGGCGCCGGTGATAAGAATTCTCTGAGTTTCCATGTTGTCTGTGGTTAATTGAACTTGTGAGGATCGTTGATTATCATTCATCATCACTGTTTGACTAGGGATACCGGCTATTTTATACTTTGAACAGAGGCTCAATGTCACAAGTCACATATACTGATGGAGTGTAGGGAGTTTCCCAAAGGAGAAATCGGAGGTTGTATGGACACGGCTTCGGGGTTAAGGAACCGGACTTAGCAACACTGGATGTCTCAAGCGGATTTAAACCATAGGTTGCAGGCTTGACAGGGACTCAGATTGAGAACGTAATGGAGGAGTAAGACGATAAGGTTGATTGGCTAGTGCTGTCTTTGAGCTTATCTCTGCTCGGCAGGATGGACCATTCCACGCTGAAAGTCCATCCGCACAAAGTGAGAAAACAGAGTGAGGCTGAAAGTGGATGTCAATCTTGTCCCCTTCCAAAGCGGCATATTTGCTTCTTCATACCGTCTTTGTGAGATGCCACTTGAAGTATTCTCGCAATTATACTGCTTATTTTGGTCGCACCAGTTGTAAACATTTGGACATTGGGCTTCTTGCATCGGCTTCTAAAAAAAGACAATCTTGAGCTTTCATCTTTTTATCCCACAACCTACCGTACGGAGGTGTCACATCAACAGCATCATTCCTGGCACAGACATGGATTCTACAAGAAGTGAGGTAGGTAATTCTCATGCCGAGGCCCTATTGGATTTGAAGGAGTTCCTGTTCACCAGAGCATACATCATAGGAAAAGAGTCTTTAGCTGATGGGATGTGCATTGGAGATTGAAATCCGAGAGAAATGCTACCTGGGTTCCATGCGGTAGAGAACATCCATGGGGAGTCGACAAGGGATGGAAACCACCTTACTATAGGCTCCAAGTTTTCTCTGCTGATTTAAGCTCTCGGCCACAAGTCTCAACTGTGAACAATACATCTGACTCAATTGATGATTTCCTAACATTCGCTGCCACCTCCATCGCTGCCTGCATTTCCCACTCTAGAGACTGCAGTAGATACTTCACTAGAAACCGAAACAGGAGCTGCTTCAACCCGCTGGAGGGCCTCTTCCTCCGCGATCTCTCGGCCAACTCCCACACCAAGTGCATAGGTCTCGCGGGCCAAAATGGAGTTGAAGAGGAAAAGGCAGGATAGGAAAAATGGAGGTGGCCGAGAAAAAACTAGCGAAATGGTGCGCTCCAATCCCACTTTTTTCTCCAATCCGCCTTTCTCCAATTCTACTGAACTCCCATCCCCCAATTCAATTAACTCCAGCTTATCTTACATTTACTAAAGTGAAAGGAGATGGGGAAAACTAAACTTGAAGGACAATGGTTTTTTACGGACATGCTTAAGGCGAATCTAAGCACCAATGCACGGATCCCACCTCTTCACCGAGACACAGAGCATCGCTTCCAACGACCATCATGGAGGCAGACGAGCCATCATCGCGTGGCTGTGAAGAGGGTAAGGCTCGAAATTCAACGCAAAAAAAAATTTCACCTCAAGCTAACAGGCTTCTCAGCAGGACTCAATCCAAAGCCCATCCTGAAACAACCACAGGGCATCTCTAACCCGCCAGAGCGGAGCCAGCATGCCTCTGATGAGCTTGATACACCACTGGACACCCATGTAGGCCCCGTGGGGTCCGGTGTCACAGATGCTTCAGCAGCCACTATTGCGGCAACCTCGAGTTGTGATGATGCTATCAATTCGCCTGGCGTCAGCGATGGAATCATGGTCTCTGTTAATCCACATGCATCAACAGCTCCTGATTCCGGAGGCTTGGGTGATGTCGGTAATGCCATGGCATTCATCACGGAATTCAATACAGAGTTAGACAGGGTTATTGGTCGATTCCAGGACGAAGACTCGGTGTCTTCTGAGTCACCTGCACAAGGGCTCGTCCCATCCCCAACCAGCTCTGTTGCTTCATCCTCTGCCGGGGCAGTCATTCCGTCTATCAGCATTCTTCCTGGGTCAAATGACAACGCAACCGACTCGTCTGCTGCCAACGCGCCTGCTGCATCTCCTGCTGGGGTGGCTGTCTCCTCCACTGGCAACACGGCTAAGTCGTGGGCTGCGAACCAACCTAGCGTATCCCCCTGGACAATCGTTCCATCCGCTGTCAACTCTGCTGTGCCAGTTTCTGCCAATACAGCTAGCAACATACATGGAATGTCTCTTGATCAGTCTTCCATGAATGATCGCACGCGGGCTGCCAAAGACTTGATCGATTCGATCTATCAAGCACAAGACACGATGACCAGTTTGGAAACAAACTTTCAGTCCATACGACAAGAGGTGAATGATTTACACAAGCAAAAACCCTCGAGGTGAAGAAAGTTCGCGAGGACCTGCACGCCGCGCCGAGAGGTCTTTTGGGTGACATTGAAGCATTCCGCAAACGACAAGACCGTTTCAAATCGATCTTTCAGAGTATTCACAACAGATCAATCGATAAACACCGAGAACGGTTTAATGCAACCAACGAGGAAATATCGACAGGATTCGAGCAGATGAGAGGCTACGCAGGCGAGTTTCGCTCCAGTATCAGGAAGGTTCTGAACAGTCGCAACTATGTCCATAACCAGGTAAAGCGTGTTGAGACAAGTATCACCACTCTCCAGAACAAGGTAAAGTACATTGAGGAAATTATCACCGCTATCCAGAACCAGGAGAAGCGCGCCGAGGAAAGTATGAACGCTATCCAAAACCAGGCTACAGGCACTGTGGCAAGTGTCAATGCTCTGTCAGGACGGGTATCCGAGATGGAACAGACACTTACTCTGGTCCCAGCTCTGGTTCGGTTCTGTGCTTAACTAAGAGAAGCTCTCAAGTCCATTTCTGGCCTGAACCAACAACCTGCTTTCAACAATAGTGGCAAAAAAAGACCTGGTGAAGCATCCGAGGGAGGCAATGGAAAGCCACCCCGACCTCTGAGGGATATTGAAAGTTCTGAAACATCGACGAAATGAGGGCTAGACTCTATTTCTGTTGCGAGGGTTGAGGGGCATCAGAAGTGCAGACTGGGAGAGGGATAGTGTTGTTACTGGCTCTGGACTATGTAACTGAAACCGTAATTGAGCTTGACAATTATCTGCGACTAATACAATTTTCACTATTGCACAAACATACACCCGAACTCCAGTAGTCGTCGCCATAACTAACACTGGTCATTTCACCGGTGACAACTGTGCGTGTAGCTGAGAGCATTATATGCCACCTCTCAGATATGGGAAGCGGAAGGAACTCATTATTCGGCGAACAGGAATGATTTACCTTACGAACCTGGTTGTCCATGTTTTTGCAATAAACCTGGCACACAGCTTGAAATTGGTTGTCCAGAACATCATGACATAGGTCAGCCGCCCAGCCCTCCTGATATTGACCAAGTAGGACGAGCTCGCCACCTAACTCCCCCAAGAGTTCACCAGCTGGATAAGTTATGACAGGTCTACTCTTTCGCCCATCTCACCAGCTGGGACGATGAGCAAGACAACTCGCGAGACCTTTGTGACTGTACAGTCGCAAATTGGTAGCGAGCAGAACTTGTATTGTCGCTTTGTTGAAACAATCGAGTTTAGGTCATGTGGCCATTCCATTTGCTAACCAGATGGCTTGACCCAGTTACTATATTTACTTGCGTCCAAATATTGGCAATGATGTCAGTGAAAACACTGCTGTCGTCAGGCCAGTTTATGTAACCGTATGGAGCTGGGACTGGTAGCTTGCAACAACGCCGAGGACGACTAGCACGACGACTGAGTGCTTCAGTTTGGAATGAATTCGGAATAGTAAGCCTTTTCTTCGGTCAACAATATTGCTGACGAATGCCACCATCTTGAAGAAAAGTCTTGGGCAACTCCTGAACCAAAGCTTTGCCAGCGAGTGGGTTACTGTTGAGCATTGCCCCCAGTGTGTCGGAATCTAGCGGGAGCGGAACAAATCGTCTGCTGAACCAGCGCGACGTCAATTTCTAAATCGCCAGCATGAAACGAGGATTGAAGCTGAGATTCAAGTTTCTTAACGTCCTTTCACGGCGAGTTCAATGGCCACTAGAGACATATAGTTGTCAGCAGATGGCTATTGAAAGACCTTCGACGAGAAGAATACTTTTCCTCCGGGTAGTCAGATGTGTGTCACAGCATGATACTTCACCTTGTCTGCTCCCCCAGTGAATTTGGCACCACAAATACCAGAGGGCAAATCATACTCATCTTCAATGGCACGAAGTTTTTCCATGCCAATGACGATTTAGACGCATGCTCCTCCAAGCGTTCTCAAAACATTTACCTACAGTTTGTTGCGGCGAAAATCTTTCCACTTTTGATTTGGCTTTGTTGTCCACGCTTCAGCTTGGTCTGGCCTACATGCTCGGACTGATAGCTGTTTCCAACAATGGCTACCTCGTCGTGTTTAGCTTCATCAGCCATTATCGTGGTGTTCTCATCTTAGGATATGATCCACGCAGCTATATCCCAAGAGAGTCATCCCCTAACAAGAGCTTCCAGACTGATCAAGATCTGCTTTTCGCCACGTCGCCAGCCAACCAAGACCTCATCTTTGCCAATGGTGAAGCCAACCCTGTCATCAAAGGATCGGCGTACGATGCTGTCGGGTTTCTCCCTCTTGGCGAACCCAACGAAGACATGGAGCCCAATCATGATGTGAACGATGAGCAAGCGGCTAATTCGCCTCCATGCTTTCCAATCGCAGCCCAAGTCGGGACAGGGGTTTCAATCTCATGGTACAAAGCTTCGGTTAAAGCATGGCTCAGCTGGGGGCGTTGTGGGGTTTCTGACCATAAACAACTATGAATTTCGTACACCAGAAGGCTCATGTTATCAAGCGCAAGTCAGACCATTATTAACCACAAACATGAGCAAGCGAGAAAAGGGGATCGACCAGTAGTGGGTCAAGAATGCCTTACAAGCCTTTCCTAGCGCCGACTCGCTTCACATCGTCGAAGGCCCATGGCATCACGAGCCCCCTCGTGTCCGCGACCAAGAGCCAGTCTAGCGCCGCCTCAGCGACCTGTAGGGTTTTGAGCATCACTCCTTGAGCGCAGCTGACAGTTTACTTCTTATAGCTTCATCTGATCGAGAAAGAATTCTCTTCCCTACTTGTCCTACACAACGGGCTCCAACTCACGCCAGAGCCTGCAACAACTCCAAATACTCTCCATTCCTCCCCCACGCCAATGCCACACTCTCCAGAACCCTCCTCCCCTCCTTCAATATCCGCTTGGGCGCATTCGCAGAGTAAATATCCCCAACACCACTGATATACGCCTTCAACACGCCCGTCCTGACAAACAACTGCACCATCTCATCATCGTTAGGTCGGTCCAGCCTTATGAACGTGGGATTCTCGTCGTCTGATCGATCAGGCGATATTTGACGCGTCACACTCCCGCTGCGTGGTTCACCTCCAGGTCTTCGTGATTTACTGCAGAATACGCTGTAGGCCCAGAGAGTCAGGGTCGCCCAGAATACACAAGGGGGTTCGTAGAAGGTCATTTTTGCGTAGCGGCGGACGTGCCAGAGGAAGCAGCCGCAGTGTAGAGCAGCGAGACGAGCTTTGGACTGTACTGATGTTAGCATCCAACGAACTGTGAATACGGACGACTTACGCCATCTTGCTGAGCCCATTCCGATATCTCCCGTTCCGCCTGCAGTGCCTCCTTCTGACTCGCAGCCTCTTTCCTCAAATGCTCCGGCGCCCTGAGATACTTCGCAAGCGTGATTATCGCTCGCCGTGGAACAAGCAGCACAACCCGTGAAAAGTGCAGATGCAGAACCGTAGGGTGCTCAGCCCCAAGCAACGACGCTATGGTGGCGTTGGCGGCCCAGTGAAGGGTATCGACGCAATCTAGAGCAGCGTTTCGCCAGTTTGAGTCCGAGAGCTGAAGGTGTTGAGTTTCGTCGCTGCGAGGTTCGGGGTTGTTCTGGGGGATCCAGGATGAGAGAGGACGCTTGCAGTAGGTGCTGACTGTGGTGTATTCTTGGTATACTGCGTGCAGGAGGAGGATGCGGGAGAATTCGCCGAGGTCGGCTTTGGCGGTTCGTTCGCGGAAGAGCTTGCTGATGGCAACTTCGAGTGTTGGGTTCGCTTGTAGCGCGTAAGCATGAAGTTTTGGGGGAGAGGTGGAGTGTAAATTACCGTCGACGCGGCGATGGAGTTGTATCCAATCTGATGAAGTTCCTTGAGACCAGAGACCATCGTGCGGTAACATCAGGTCCGCGACGTTGAATGTGCCAGTCTGGTGGTCATCGAAGAAGTACCGTCCCATGCGATCTAACAACTTCTGTGTGTCAGCCTCAATACTGAAAACACGCAACAGCATAAACTCACCCAAATGAAATAGCACAGTCGACGCCAAGTCTCATCTTCAACCCAGCCTCGCCATTTATCTTCGTCTCCTTCACCATGACCCGAAAAGCCTTGTCGAGATCGATAGGACGTGATGACTCTCTGCAGACTTCCCATCCTCTCGTAAGCGGCTTTTTGGAGTTGATTACCACCAGAGTATAGCAGACCAACTTGACTCAGTACAAGAGCCTGAGCCAGCGGTAGGCTGAGCTCTGATCCTTCCAGTTGAGCGACCAAAGTCCTTCTGAGAAATTCGTGGAATGGTACGACGCAGGCGTGGATATCCGCTGTAGCTGAGTACTGGCTCCCGATGACGCAAATCGCCAGAGCAAGAACCCAGTTTCCGTTAAGGTCTGTTGAATGAGGATGAACAAGAGGGATGATCGGGTCGAAGTGTTCAAAGAAGAGCTTGACGAAGTACTCGAGCAGCTTCAGTGACGGAAAGTCAGCGGAGGCATAGGGCTGATGAAACATGGAAGATTCGAGACACGTTTTTGCAAAAGCGTCACAAATCTTGCTGTACGTCAACTCTGTCATGAAGGACTCTCTGTACGCTTCGTCTTCGAGGATAATATGACTCAGATCTGGGAACGAAAGCGAGTTGGCTTGGAGGCCTGAGTCTTGGGAAATGGGGGGCAGCTGGGTGTATCCTTGAAGGCCTGGCGGTGGATATAGCTGCTTTGACTTGGCGGTGCAAGGACGTCGGGCACCGTTTGAGCTCGTGGCGTAAAGATCTCCGGGTATGGTGCGTCCAGAACTCATACTCAACTGGGGAGAAACTCCAAGGCCGCTTCCCGGGGAGAGCGATGTTACGGCTGACAAACGACGTGGTGGGGCATCGATCATGGGAAAGCTGGGAACTGGCTGATCTATCATGGTCGCGTTACCAGCATCGAGCGGCTGGTTCATATCTAGGCCTAGTATTGAGTAATAGTTTGTCTCAATCTGATTGTCGTACGGTAACCAGTTGATAGGGAAGTCCCAGTCAATGTCGTAAGTGGACAGATCATAATCAAAACCCGGTTGCGGCTCATTCCCGGCACTTTCAATGAAGGGACTGTCTTGCGAATGCGGTGTTTGATGTGAAGGTAGCGCAAGCTGCAAGTCTGATGGTACGTGCTGAGGCTGCGACGCGTGATCTACTGTCTCAACTGGACTGATGAGAGTTTGGTTGGGAGTATGCGCAATGGCACCAGCTTGTGAGGCCGGGGATGCGTCGATTGTCTTATCTCTGGTCTGGGGATAAGCGCATTCGAGTGCCCTGGTCGAGCAGCGCAGACACGGAAGGTTTCTCGAACACTTCTCGCGTGCCCTAGCGCACTCCAAACACGCTCTTCGCCGCCCAACATCGCGTCTCGACATGGCGGACGGATGATCGTGGATAGCTACATGCTTCGTCAAGATATCACTTCCATCATATCAGTGCCTCTTCCATCAAACGACTCCGCGCCACGTACCTACGCGTGAAGCTCTTGTGACAGACATCGCATTCAAATCCCCGCAGGCTATCGTGGCTTTTTTGGTGTCGCTTGAGATGCTCTGGTCGCTTGAAGCTTCTTGCACACTGTGAGCATTGGTACTTCTCCATTGCGGAGAAGGTTTCGGACGTTTTTAAGCTTGTCGGAGCGGAATTGATGTTGTTTTGTGAGGATGGTTTGATGCAGAGCGAGGTCGGGGACTTCCCCACTCGTGCATGGACATATCGGGCTAGAGTTGGTCTAGAGTCTGGGGTAAAAGTCACATCGGATGATCAAACTAGGCGCACCAATCCTGGAACATTATGGAGTTTTTGGACCATCTCCGCTTCATTGAATTGACGTCAGTTTTCTCGACATTCGGGAAAATGAAGACGAAATGCAATAGTGCAATAATCATTGTCATTACTATTTTGAGCCAATATATGTTGCAGTTCAATTCAATTGCGTCAAGTTGATCATTGTCGATATGATTCGATACCTCAGGTAACATATAGCCGTCAATGGAGACTCATCACGAGAGAAGCAAAAAAAAAAAAGGCTTTTCGCCGCTTTATCTAACCAGACCTGTTTCGGGCATCAGGCGACTGCTCAATCAACTCTCATGATCACTTGATCGTTTCCCCTCTTTGAGGCGGTTGGTCCCCGGTGGGAGCTCCGGTGGGATATCCGGGCCTCCCACCACGAACTAACGGTATCCACCAATTAATCAACAATCGTCAGTGATGACTCGCATACAATTATCAACAGCAGTATATCATGGCGGACTAGAAACATTTCTGAGATTCAATTCCGCCATCTTCACCTCGACATATCGCCAACATGTCTCATCCACAGTCCTTCTTCCATCATACCACCTTAACACCAGGTTCCCTCCTCCACCGTCGAAGGGCCACAGTCTCAAAGACAACACTGCACACGCAGCTCAAACGACTTCGTGAGACAGGCCGCTACGATTGCTTCAAGCTGCAATGGCATGAGATCTACGCGGACAAGTCCATGTGGCCTGTCCCCTTCCATCTCTTCTGGGACAGCGACATAGCCAAGTGGATCGAGGGCGCTTGTTACTTTCTTCATGATGAGTTTGATGCTGAGATTGACGCTGCGGTGAAGGATTTGGTTGAGATGATTCGAGGGGCGCAGCAGAGTGATGGATATCTCAATGTTCATTATACGGTTGTTGAACCGGGGAAGCGGTGGACGAATTTGCAGGATATGCACGAATTGTGAGTCAAGTAGCCGCATTGTTGTGTTTCTTTACTTATTTTCTAGATACAACGCTGGTCATCTCATCGAAGCAGCCCTCGCCCATCACCAGTACTACAAGAACAAGCTTCTCTTGGAGCCCATTGAGAAATACGTCACCTTGATTCACAACACCTTTGGACCAGGCGAGAATCAACTGCACGGATACCCGGGTCATCCGGAGATCGAGTTGGCTCTGTTCCGCTTATACCAAGTGACCGGAAACAAGGACGCTTACGGCCTATCCCGATACTTCCTTGAAGAACGAGGGAACCACAAAGGTCAGCACGGACAGCATTACTTCGAATGGGAGTTGAAGCAGCGTGGCCAGAGTCTCTACCATCGACCTGATTCTTACCCCGAACACGCATCTCACTGGTACTGCCAGGCTCACCAACCCATTCTGGAACAAAAAACCGTCGAGGGTCATTCCGTACGCGCCATGTACCTCCTCACCGCCGTAGCCGACATGCTCTGCATCGACATATCCGGCTCTCAATCACTCTCCTCCCCATCATCCTGGAAGGACGCCGTAGACCGCCTCTGGGACAACATGGTCGCCAAAAAGATGTATCTCACCGGCGGTATCGGCGCCATCAAGCAATGGGAAGGTTTCGGACGCGATTATTTCCTCCCCCAGTCCACCGACGAAGGCGGATGCTACGCTGAGACCTGCGCGTCCATTGCAGTCATGATGCTTGCCGAGCGAATGCTGCATATCGAGCTTGATGCGAAGTTTGGTGATGTCATGGAACTTTGCTTGTACAACAATGTCATGACGGCAATGAGTCTTGATGGAAAGGCGTTTACGTATGTCAATCAGCTGGGGAGTTCGGAGAGTGATAAGAGTGTGAGGGAGGAGTGGTTTTGGTGCGCGTGCTGTCCGCCCAACGTGACGCGTTTATACGGGTCGCTGGGGGGATATTTGTGGGATTTTGGGGGGGAGAACGGGAAGCGGGCGTTTGTGAATGTGCATTTATATACTAATGCCGAGTTGAAGTTTGGGGCTGGGGAGGGAGAGGTTGTTCTTCGACAAGAGACGGATTGGCCTTGGGATGGATTAGTCAAGTTTCGACTTACAAGTCCTGCGGCGGTGAACACCACGATACGGCTCAGGATTCCAGGCTGGTCCCGAAATCAGTATACACTGGATCCAAAGCCCAGCGAAGGTAGTGTTCACTTGCACAAAGGCTATCTCACGCTCGATCCAGCCTACACAGCAGCACATCCCGTCTTCTCGCTGACCATCGGTAACTTCACGCCTCGATACATTACTCCGCATCCCTACACTAACCAGCATACTCTGACACTTGCTCGAGGGCCACTAGTGTACTGTATCGAGGATGCAGATAACGCCTGGGAAGACAATCACTTTAAGGACGTTGGACTCAAGGCTGGTAGTGCGGTTAAGGAGGAGAGGCTGTGTATTAGCGGGACGGACGAAGAGTATATTGCGTTGAGGACTTCGTGCTGGAGACGCAGTGGGAAGTTGGATGAGGTAGTTTCTTCGCCCGGTTTTGTTGTTGAGGGAAAGGGTTCCGGGTTTGATGATGAGAGGGTGGGTGTATTTGTGCCGTATTATCTTAGGGCTAATAGAGGAGGCAACGGGCATATGAGAGTTGGACTGCATCATATACAGGGCTAGTTCATCTCTTCGAAAGAACATAGAAAATATATATCAAGACCATGATTGAATCAATTAGACTTGTTACGTTCTTCATATCGCTCGGATTTCATCCTTCCCAATTATTATAGGTTTGGGTCGAAGCCGAAGTTGAAAGATGAGTATTGGACTACCATGAAGATCTCAAAGACATCTCAACGACAAAGTTTGCAGTCATTCTACTCTAAAAACTTTATGTACTTCTCACTCCTAAGCACAATTCTATGCGGAAATGGCTTGACACGAGAAATGACACCCGGCAACTGCTCATAGCCAACATCAATCTCATTCCCCTCACCATCCGTCTCTTTCTTAATCTCAAAAACCGCCAATGTCTGCGCAAAACTCAAAAACAAAGTCTGCTCAGCGATCCACCGCCCCGGACACGCTCTCCTCCCAAAGCCAAACACAAGATCCGACGGTGAAGGTTCGTTATACGGCTCAAAATACCGTTCAGGCTTGAACTCCATCGGATCATGATAGACTTCAGGATCGTGTGTGAGAGACGCTGCAGCTGGGAAGAGAAGAGTGTTCTTGGGGATGAAGTACCCGCGGTATGTATCGTCTTCAGTCGTCATATGCGGGAAACCCATTGGAGCGAGGGTGTGCCAGCGGAGGACTTCTTGGGCTATGGCGCTGATGTAAGGAAGGTTTGGCTTGTCGGCGAAGGAGGGGATGCGAGAGTCTCCTATGATGTTGTCGATTTCTTCTTGGGCTTTCTTTTGGACGTTGGGGTTGAGAAGCATGGCTGCGAAGAAGGCGAGGAGTGTTGCGCCGGAGGTGTCGGTTCCTGCGTTCATCATCGAAGCTGCAGTCCATGCAATGACGCTTTCTTCCTCGGCATCGATCTTGCGGTGAATGTCCTTTATGAGACCTGCAACGTAGGAAACATTATCCTTACCATTAGCCATCTGATCCTTGACGTATTGGTACGGATCCTGGACGTTTTGCAAGAGATGCTGCCTGAAGAGTTTGGCGGTCTTCTTGAACCCAGCGCCTGGCATCCAGTCTGGAATGTGTCGGAGCCATGGGATGAAGTCCACCATCCATGCACCTGGAGTCGTGGCCTGGGAGAACTCTTCCATCACGAGATTAGCCATTGTGACGATGTGATCGCTCTTGCTGGGGTCTGTCTCGTAGTTGTACAGAATGCGGAGCATGATGGAGCCGGATAATCTGGAGGCTTGTGAGCATTTGCTTTGGGAGCTGTGAGGAAGACGTACTGGTTCAAGTGGTCTGGAAGATTCTCACTGTTGGGGTCCTGGTGTAGTCTCTTTAATAGCTTGAGAATCTCTAGTTCTTGAATGGGCTCGAATCGGGTGATGGATTTGGGGCTGACTTGGGTAGCTGTGAGTTTGCGATGCGTGCGAAAAGTTCGATTGTACGGCATCAAGCCCATAACCCCATCATACCCAACGCTACAACAGCTCGTCAGTATATCATACAGTCAACTGGGTGTATGGAGCTTACATATCGCCAGCAAAGACGAGCTTGGGCCGTGAGGCACTTTTCATGGCCCGCGTCTCGAGAAGATCCGTGATGACCTGTCTGTCATGCAAAATAACAAAATGCTGTCCAAGCACAGTGACTGAAGTGATCGGGCCGTATTTCTCTTTGTGGCTCTGCCAATGAGGCCATTCTAGTGTGCCGGGTGGCGGGAGGTCTCGTATGTTACCCAAGAAGGGCAGACCCTTGGGACCAGGTGGCAAGGGAGGTTTCTTGGATCGTTGTACATGTTTAACAAAGAGAAATGACAGTGATGCCACAATGACAGTTATTATGACAATATAAACAGACATGTTGAAGGATGAAGGCAAAAAGTCTTTGTTATGGAGTGGATTATAGAGGGCAACACATGGTATTTAATCTCTGCTTCCTCATAGAGTAACCTTTTAGGTTTACTATACTGACTCCCTTGCGCTACTGCCTCGACTAAGACGTCCGTCTGACATGGATCACTAGTCTTGATCTTGGCATCAGCGCCTAGAAGATTATCTCCGTGCCTCTCCCGTGCGTGGTTGCAGTCAGATTTTGGGGCTATGAGCGGGACCATCCGCTTTGGCGTGTTTTTGATTGGGCAATTGAAGATGGGACAACTCGCAATGGGCTTCACCTTATTGGGTGCCATATTCGCCGGCATTTGAATCCTTTGACTGTAAGAATTGCAAGATCAGCGCTGAGGGTAATGTGAGTCTGTCCTACAAGTCACTGTCTTTCTTCAGGTAGTTTCAGATTTCTTCATTTACTTTTGACATCGCATTGTTCTCCCAGATGTCAATCAACAGTCTGTCATCAGCAATATTTCACGCCCCTGATATCAGAATTTATTGATACTGCAAGTTGCTCGTTCAACACCGGAGGAGACTTGTCTATTGAAGATGCTGGCAGCATCAACGTTTTGAAATCATGAGGGTCGGCACCGGCTTGAGAAATGTTCCGTTGATCCCGAGTCAAGGGATTAAATTCAGCTTCGAGGCTCAATTGCGATGGGGAGCGCTGGCTTTGGCTAGGTCTGTGCTTTGGGGCCCCACCTTTTCTGGCCTTAGAGGTCAAGTGAATAAGATGCAGACCGACAAGGCTGATGTCTTGATTCAAGAGGTTTCTCTATGTAAAAGTATGAGGATTTCCATCTGAGCAGACGCCCCTCAGATCGCACCGCATACCCATCTCGGTGCAGCAAATTCCTACTCCTCCCGCCTTTGGATTCTCAACTCACCACCTCCATCTTCACCTCACATCACAGGACTCATCCTGTCACCTCTCGGACCGCGCTTCGCAAGCGATAGAGAAATACAACCAGGTTCGTTCATTTTACAAGACTCTCATTCATTCTTTCTTCTGTGTTGACTGGCTGACACTTATTTGTAGCCACATTGTGCGACCGCCCAACGTGGTAATCCGCGCAGAGTTACAACTCCTTCAGCCAGCGGCCGGCATCATCATGGCCTCCAACAACAGAGATCCCGTCGTTGGATCTGTCGACAACGATAACTCTCCGATTGTGCAGCGTGCAATTGCCTTCGGCAAAGCCATCCCAGATTTGGTGAAGGAGTGTGAACGAGCCGGAGAAGCGAGAGCCAGCTCACGTCTCGCTTCAAAAATCGATCAGCAGGAGTCTACCATCAAAACCCTCGAAGGCTGGTTTAAGCTTTCAGAGGAGAATAATGCTGAGCTCAAAGAATGCCTCACAGCCTCAGAGAAGCAAATCGCTTGTCTCAGAAGGCTCCTTACAGTCTCGAAGAAACGCACCGCTGAAGTTAAGGCAAAGGCTCAGGTCGATGCTGATGCTCGCATCGCTCAGCACACGTCTGATCTCGAAGCTCGCAATGCGCAAATGGTCGAGACCGTTGCAGAGACCGTGGAAAAGCTAAAGAGAGATGCGGCAGCTCGAGTCGCCGCCGCTGAGACTCATTCCCAGGACTGCATCGACGAATACCGGGACAACACTGATTCTCAGTTCCGACAGTTGTCTCGGGAGCTTGATCGTCACATTGACATGCTTGGCCTTGCCCGTATAGTATTCCAGTCCCCCCTCCCGAATGCTCGAACTAAACATGTGCGCAGGAAAGCATACCGGATGGGTAGCACACAAACTGTTTCTTCTTCAAAGTGAGGTGAAGAAAAACACACGCGTTCACAACAAAACCGCTCTAGCGGATTGTCTGAAAGAGATGTTTGAGGAGCTCGCTAAGTACAGAAACGATTGCGATGTCTTCCTCGACAACGGCCTCGTAGACGACGGTGAGCCAGACTGGGGGCCTGTACCTGACGACGAGGGTGGCGCTCTCCTCAACAGATCCTATGGCAAGTCCTCCATAGCCACCCCAGCCAACAACATTGAAGAGCGTACTAACCAGCCTCGGGCCCCAGTCTCCCACAGCAATGACGACACTCACAATGAGCAGGCCAGCCGTAAGCAAGGTTCTCTTTTCGTAGATGATCAACAGAGTGATCGAGGCAATCAGAGCTTCACCATCAAAATTGAGGATGGTGACGACAACCAGCAAATCCTCTCCGGTTTGTCTCCATCTACCAAGCGAGCTAGCGACTCTGACGGCCAGGCCAAACGTGGTGGCAAGCGTCAGCGAACAAAGTAGGGGCAACAACCAGACACGGCACTTCCAGTATCCTTCTGGCAATGTTGATGGATTACTGGTTTGGGAGATCGTGTCACTGGACGTAGAAGGGGAGACGGGGTAGAATGATCCAAGGCTGTCTTATCGTCGTTATCTTCAAAGATAATAGAGGTCGCCAGGAATGAATGGAAGGGTTCCTCAGCATACTCAATTGAAGATACCAATACACCCACTTTACTCATTTATTCTCATCTGCTCGCTTTCTGTTATCAGGTCAAATTGCTATGTATATGCATCTTCTGTGCATTGTCAGTCACCTGTCGCGTTGACTTGGCGTTCTCTGAGTGTTCCAATTGAGCGTAGTGCCATTTTCCACTTACCCGGGACACTCAAGTCAATTGAACCTTTTCGACTCGCGAAATTTTGAGAATCGCAGCAGGTCAGTTAATCCGCTCCGCGCTATACAGAACACTGCCGGCTTATTCCCGGATCCCCCGAAGGCCAGACTGAAGACGAGTTGAGAGACTGCACATCATTGCTATGCGATATGAATAAGTCGATATCTTGATTGAAGTAACAGTAATGATTTGTCCTTCCGTCTTCGTTTACCTACGATTTCTTGGTGATAAGCTAATTATCGCCTCGTCATTTGTGTCGGGAATAATACGATAGAAACACGTTGGAGCCGGATCTCCATATTTTCGGGCGAGCTTGCGGCCCGACCAGCGCAAAGCTCATCGACGCGACCTCGGTCTGTTATTTCCATGCAAGGATCCCCAAGTCACAAGCTTTTCGGGAGTGGACTTCGGCATGTTTTTAATTAAAACAAGATCCAAGTTTGCAGTGTTGGGATGCGACAGTGGAACAGCCCCATGTGTCAAGGTTTTGGCTATGGCTGCCTCCTTGAATGCCGTGTCGCGTCGTGCCGAGGTGGCTGGTTACGCCTCGCGAGAATGGGAAAAGGCACATGGCGCTGTTATTGGGTTAAGTATGGAGTAGCCAAGGGAACCCAAGGGAGGCCGGTAAATGCTGATCATTGGATGGTCATGCTGTTTCCGCTGCATTATTTGTGACAGACGCGTGGTTTGCTGCTTTAGGCTGTCCCTTGCTTGTTGGCTGGTCATGTTTGTCTCAAAATACGGTCGCTACCCTATGACTCGACGATGAGTCAACTTTGCGCGTCGAATACCAGCAACAAACACAGTTGAAAGGGAAAAGCATTAGAGTGGTAAGATTAAATAAATAATAACATCCATTTGACCAACAAATATTCCTAAAAAGTGATTGGTATGTGACGTCGCGGCAATGTTGAGGCAAGCACGTGGTTAATCTCCAGACTTAGCAATCACCACAGACAAGACACTGAATCTGTCACGGTCGCATCATTACCACGAATGAGAAAATGCCATAAAAATAACACAAATCGCTTGCAATTAATTGACAAAGAAGATCTAAGAGTAAAGAAGGTCTAAATACATCTAATTAACCCACCAAACATGTACATGAATTGAAACCCCACTCATTTTGCCATCGCAACTCCAGAACTTTTTAATCCCAAATTTTTACAATTACATGTCCCGCCATTTCATACATAATAAAATACACGCTAAACCACAAAGAATCGAGGGTATCCTATGATGTACAAGTAGCCAAGCTTACAGGTCAAAACTCCAAACAATTGTGACAAAGAGAAACAAAATTAGAGACGGTTCGTGAGAGCAATGCCCGGCGATGCAGGGCGATCAAGCTCAAGACGGTGCATGTGCGCGTCGAGAGCACTGACGGATGTAGACGCGCCGATGGATGTGTGTCGCTTGTGACGCGACGTCTTCTTGGTGACGCTCATCTTGCGAGGGCGTCCGTTCTTCTCGGCGGGTGACTTGGGGCACTTGTCGTCGCATGTAGCGGTCGAGGAGATGGAGGACGTGGATGAGTGCGTGGAAGTCGTGCTGGCGTAGGATGAAGCGCGCGAGATGGAGGAGTGGATGGACGAGCGCGATGACGCTGTCTGGGGACGCTCGGCGATGTCGGAGAGGATCTCCTGCGGCGTGCGAGGCTTGTCGTTCACCATGCCCAGACAGCGCTGCCACCAGCCCTTGTCCTTCTCATCGGAGAACTCAACCATATCACCCAGCGCCTCCTCCGCACGCTCGGTCTTGTCCTCGTCGAGGCGCAGGGCACCGTGCTCAGAGGCCAGCTCCAACAGGGCCGCTGCGTCGCAGGCGTCGCGTCGCTTGCTGTTGTCGTTCTCGTGAAGGCCGCAGGCGTCCATCTTGAAGATGATGAGGTCCTCGAGCGACGTGTAGGGCAGGGTCGCTTCGTTGGTGACGTCGCGGACGCGCTTCGCTGACTCGGGGAGATACGGGCTCAGCCAGTCGGGGATGAGCTTGACCTCGATCTCCCAGCCGCTCGTGTGGCGGTACAGAACGGTGCCGGACTTTTCGACGAGGGGACTGATCGGGTGGCCGACGATTTCCTTCTTGACGCGGCCAGGGGAGGAGGATTTGCTAATAACCAGGTCGATGCTCTACAAGGTTCAGTGTTAGATGGTGCGTAATAGTGGTCGCAATTGAGGGAGGACCTACTGCTATGCGATTCTGGCGCGAGAGATACTTTGCGACAGCCAGATCGCCAATGACGGCGAGTCTGGTGTTGTCCAGGCCGGGAATGTCGGCGATGAGACGGATGATGTGAAGTGCAGCTTGTTCAAGCTGGGCGAAGCTTAGTCTTTGCGCCATGGTCTGCACAGTTTGCTTTCTCTCACAAAAGCGACTAGAGACTTCGCCCGCTGCGTGTTCAAAAGGTATGAGATACAACGAGAACCCCTTCCATTCTGTGCCTGCGCAGTCCCCTAGATATAATATGAATTGGCTGTGTTTTTTTTTGTGCCGTTTGGTCCCTGCGTCTACGGCACAACCCAAACAGTGCCCAACTTGGCCATTGCTACAGGGGGTTCCAAGGATTCTGCCAATGGGATGGTCTGTGTACCTGACCTGCCAATCTTAAAATCTCAGGGTATCCCAGTGAATTGCCATGGCTTCCGCGCGTTGGGTTTCAATGCCCAAGGGAGGGGGGATTTCATCTTCCTTGGAATGCGGTTTCTCGGGCGAATCGAATTGACAGCGATATCCTTGACAATTTGTTTTGTTGACTCGAGAAAGTAAGGCTCGCACCTATTTCTTGGGGAGACGAAAGGATCTCGATTATTGGAATGAGTGTGCTGGGAAATGGGATTTTTCAGCATTGACCTGAGGGCAGCGCTGACACGAGCTTGAAGCCAGGATTTTCTTTTTCTGTCCCTGATTTTATTCCTTTTTACTCAATATCTCGAATATTTCTCGGGCAATTACGAGGTAAATTCTCGTGGAAAACTTTTATCGCATGAGTTTTACGGGGACTTTACTCTTAATTGTCCCGGGTTGATCCAATGTGTTTTGATCCAGGCATTTCAATCACAGGGCGAGGATCGTGATCAGCGGCGTAGTGAAACAGGCTGCGCAGTTTCAGGCTGACTCTTTCGATAGCGCTGGAATGAGCCCTCCCTTGAAAACAATTCGAGTCATACAATGAAAATTAATGGGCTTTTAGATTTCCCCAGGATCACGGGCCGCAGCGGATTTATTTCCATTGACTATCCACTCCATGCACCTTGCCCGATTGAAGACGCTTGCGTAGATGCTCATGGATGACGTCGTGTACCCTACCTACAGATAAACATTTGAGGATCAATTAAGCCAGCCATGTATTTATCTAAATATGCGACACTTGGAAGAATTGACCTCTTGCTGCGTTGAAATGATTTGAACTGCATGTCACTAAATAATTGAGTTGTGATATCGCCTTATTGGCATGTAAACAGAGACAATATCAGAATTAGGCTCATTGGACATGACAACCAAAAGTCATCTGGTCGGCAACAGCCTTCGTTCCCCTAGATTCAAGCATCGTGCAATTGAAGTTGACTAACAACTGTTTCAAATGAAGACACGGCGATGCGAAACACTTGAAGCTGCCAAACGCGGTCAAAAATCACCATGGTTGTCCATAATTGTAATGTAGAGTCAATACTGTCAGACTCTCAGAGCGCTCTGCCCAGGGCAGGTTCAATTAAAGCAGCATGCTATATTGACGACGCCGTCCATATTTTCCAATAAGAAGTTAATACTTTAAGAACATCCGGTATGGTGTAGTGGCTAACATTTCGCGCTCTCATATTCTGAGGGATCAGTACCGCGGAGCCCAGGGTTCGATTCCCTGTACCGGAGTTTCTTTTTGCCGTTTTCTCTATCAAGTCCTACTAGTTCATGTTTTAATTATAAACTACTATTATTTATCCTTATGTACGCGTCCCCTTTTTGTTTCTCTACTGTATCCATAATAAATCTGTAAGCATCAATAATATTGTCCCTCAATGTCCTGCCGTTGACTCCTCCGAAAATCAGGCCCCAGAATCTCCTCCTCACTCTGATTATCACCATATCCCCTCTCCGCCCCTTTTGCAAACACCTTGTTCTTGTTAAATGAACTTCTCACGCCCCTCCGCTCATACTCTTGCACGGAGGCTTCGGACGTGCTGTCTTTCTTGTGTACCTGCGCTGGATACATTGTACTCCCACCAATGGTTTGAAGAGGATATGATGCGCCAGAGTTCTGTTGATACTTGCTGCTGTTGCGAGAACTCCATTTGCTGAAATACTTCTTGTAAAGTGGTCTGCAGACGGGGATGCCGATGCAGATCATTGTTACGGTCATCTCGGCGGCGGACCAGACGATCAAGCCTACAGGGTCCTCTGATGGATGTTAGTGCTGATTCGTACAAGGTTGAGAGGCAAGCGTACTTGTGTGATTCGGACTCTTAAGCTTTGGGACTTCAAGAGTCCTCTTGATACCAAAAGCCCCAGCACTGAAGCATCGTTAGTCAGTTTCGATTAAAAATGATCCGGGATTCCCGTACATGACGCCAAGACTGAGGCTGCTGAGAATGACAATCTTCTCTTTCATCTTCATCTGCAACCCCCAGATAAACAACCAAGGGAAGCCAGCCAGAAAAAAGTCCACCACAACGCAAAGAACTGCTCCCGTTAGTTCTATCCTCAGCACGCTCGCATGAAGAACTCACTGCAGAGCAACATGGACGCAGGAGCCGTGTCCACCGTACAGCGTCCACCAGGTATAGTCCTATCCCAGAGATAATTCGGCGGCGTGCACTGCAGCCAGTACACAAAGCAGACAGTAATGGAAGCGCAGATCAAACTAGCCATCGATATCCAAATAGCTACTTTGTGCCATTGCTGCTTCACCAGGCGAAGCAGAAATAAACCAAGTGACCATTTCGCTAAACTCATTCCTACTATCGCGAAGCTTTGACTGACGGCTTCGAAGATGAGCGCGGGGGCTAGATCGGAAGAGTTGTTCTGGATGACATCGTCCATATCTTGGCCGACGCCGTAGTCGACTGCGACGGTGGTGAAGACGGTGTCTAGGAGGAGGAATATCTACTACACGTCAGCGAATTTCAGTTCGATATTGCGTCGCAGCTTACCCAGGCTAAGTTATAGACATGGTCGTCGATGCCGAGCGACTTGACGATAAAGATTCTCGTATACGCCCTCAGCACGACAAAGACTAACGCAACAACCGTCAAAGCCCACATGGCCCCGATGACCCTGGGCCCTTCCCCTTTAATCGCCATGATAAGTATATCTCTGGGAAAATGCGCTGTGACTTATAACCTGACAGTTCAGTCCAGTCAGCGGGAGAAAAGTAGCCACTTAGATGATTTTCGCGAAGAACAGAAGAGGCAGAACCAACAGATTTCTTTCCCAGCGACGCAGAATAAATACAAACACACCGTACGGGTTCATTCCCAAAGCGGCTATTCCAGACTCGAGATGGCGAAATGCCAATGCTATTGATACAGACACTCGGCATTCCAAGCAGACCCAGCAAGTCGGATAGCAATCCTGGTATCGGCACAGGCGATACTTCTCTTGGTTCCTCATACGGCTTTAACCCTATTTTGGTGACATGGCTTGGTGTACGGGGGATGCGATTGGGTAGATTTCAGCCAGTTTGCTCATGGGGCGCTATTTCGCGAGGGAATTGGAATAAGCATCATGGCGATCTGACAATAGCTTTATGGAGGGTATATTGCGGGCGCTTGTCAAGATGATCTGATCTGAGATGTATGTATATCTTCAATGACACTGGAAGCGATCTAGCTAGAGCGCTCTCGACGACGCTACGATAATGCGCTTATCGGAATTCCACTGTTCAGCGCAGTTGAGATCTCTATGATGTCGATTTAATTGATCTTAGTTCTCGTGTGTGGCCAAAACGGTCTACATTCCGTTGTTGTCTGGGTCGAGACGAATGTGGCGTTGGCGACAATAGAAACCTTGGGTGAGATGCTCCGCTCTACGCCCGCGCTAGAGCTCTACAAGTGGATATCAATCGCGAAATTTGATCGTGAGTTTAATAGACTTGAGATATTCATTCTTGGGGGATCTATATAAATGATGTCGCGTATGACGATGGCGCGAAGATTGCTCTACGAAGTTGATACCGACTCGGGATTAGGACGGGCCTTATTCCGCGGAAGCGCTCAAAGACCGCACTATTGCCGACAGCACTATGCTCTGTATGGTCAACCCGCTTACAGGTTCACGGCAGACCCTTACGCCCTGTTCTCTCCTACGCGATTCTAGCTCTACTGGGATAAAAGTGTCGACGATTGATCTCAGCATGATACCTGCCATGCATAAAGCTATCGGAGAAGTGACTGTAGCCATTGATCCGGATAGCTTGGTCTTTTAGTACTGCCGCAACGTTGAACCCAGCCTCTTGAGGCTCAGCATGCCCCTAGTGTCGCGGAAGCAGTATGCGCTCGTTGGATTGAATCAGCCCTAGATGAAGCCGTACATAACTCGATGAGATGACACTACCTTCAGTGTTAAGTCTACAAGTAGCTTGGACTTTCCGCGGGAGAGTTTTCGCTGCTTATTTTGTTCATTGGCAGTAGAATTCCTCGAATATCATATCCTGGATCCCGGCATTAATCGGCCATCAACGCTAGAGTTATTCCCGGGGCCGTCATTGAGATGTATTGGGAAGCCAGTTCGATATCTCGGCGAAAGGCCGTAAAGTGCATGTCCTAATTTTAGAACAGTTAGTCTTTCTGGGGAAATCGCCCAGAATTGGCAATCTGTCTGCTATCGTGGGGGTAAAGACTATCTGTAAGCTCCAGGGCTTAGACGCACCAGTCAGAGCTCCTTCATCCGTCAGCAACCTTATCCCAGCCGTTATATCGACAACGTTTAACGGCATCGAAGCCGACGGGCTTGCTTTCAGGTTTGGCTAATGGTAAGCTATCAGCAGCGACAAGACTAGCAAAATATCCAAGAAGCAGGAATCTGTCAGGGATATAACAATCACTCTGGATCCTATTCTTTACCAAACACAAAACGCCCACCAGCACTCAACTCCTACGGTCAGACGACGTGTAGCCCGTGATAAAGCATCGGAATTCCGTGCTTGCAGGATCCTCCTCCATGCAAGTCCAGACGCACCCATAAAATCCATCAACATGCACCGATCGCGATAGGGCGATGTAACAGATAAGTGGCAAGCTGCAATAGGCTAATCCAGATCTCCAGAACCAGATCGAGAACAGTAAAGCTCGGTGATGGCCAGAATCAGACGATGCGGTAGGGCTAGGAAATGCAACCTGACATCCGCGATAAGGCATACGTCGTCGATCTCCCATTCTAGAGCCCGCTTATCACGCGCTCAGTCCGAGCAAATCGCGGCCGACCGTTGCAGGCTCGTTACAGGGCCTCGAGCGGGTCATTCCACCATTTGGGATAAAGGTGGACCAGGGGTTGAGCAGTTCCTGGATGGAGACACGCGGCGGGGATTGAGTGATGCTGACATGTGTAATGAGGATTCCGTCTAGATCATAAGACAGGTCTGAAAGTTGCGACAGACCTGCCTATTCAGTAGCACTCGCGATTGATAGCGCCAAGATGACGGCCAAGAAATGCATCATGAAATTTAAATCCGAAACCCGAACGCCAAGTGACATTGCGTGCGATTCACCGGAGAATTATCACTCGGCGCCGAGAAAATGGCCTATCGTACCCGTCTTGGCCCAGCCTGTCAAAAACGCGGCTCTGCACTGGCAAGTAACCCGCATTTCACATCTCAATTACGAGATGATAACAAGGTGTCAAGCACGATATCTCAACTGTATCTTGCACCATGGCCCAAACCCCAAAAAAGAATCTGGGGGAAAACGTTTTCATTACTTGATAAATTGGAGAAACGCCATTGGGGAAAACTGAAGTGGGGAAACGCAAGGGGAGGGAGTCCGAGGCGCTAAGCAAAGGGTCCTCTGCACTGGGAACTTCTGGCCGGGTCTGCGACTTCAACTGCAGGGGGTGAGGTTCAACAATCTTGGCGGGTTCCAAAAGGCCGTGGGGCCGCTAAGCAGCGTCAAAAGTTCCGACGCCACGCGCGCGTAGGTCTTTTCTTGGCAGGTTGATTAAACGCGCGAAGCAGACGAAAGAAAACGTTAGTAAAGGAACAGTTGGGTAATGTCAGATTCGGTGGTGGTCGACTCTTACATAATAAATAGAGTTCCCCCGCGAAAAAAGAACCTTGTTTGCAAGCTTATCTGGAGAAGAGCCAAAAGGGGAAGCTGAGTGTTGAATCTGTGAGGTAACGAGATCCGTTTTACGAGGTTTCGACATGGACGCGTGCGTCTGATGTTTAAAATGTTAATGTTAATTCAGTGGGGACTGGGGACGTTGACAGGCGATATCTGTGCATGCAGTTTCTGAGCGAGGTAGCATCGTGCACTGCATGCTATCGCATCATTCAACATTTAATTGATAGATTGCCACTATCTCTCTTCAATTGATCTTGAGCGGCGGCAGTGAAAATTCGTTTAGCTAGGCCGGGAATAGTACAAGGACATATTCCCGAAGCTGTAACCAGTTTAACCGCTTTAGGAAGGTTACGGTTACATGAGCTTTAGGGTAAAAAGGAGGTTGAGGGCGAAGATGTTGGAATGAGGTGCTGAGATCAGGCAATTTTGGAGTTCTGGAGAAGGATTTTGATAATATGAGATTACTGATCCAGATATGGGCTTATGAGATTTCTAAATTACGCGCATATCTTGATTCGACTTGATCGTGACGACATGAGAGTAATGAACAAGCACGAGACTTGCCCCTCCAAATGTCACCGCCAAGACCCCCATGACACGTTCAAGGCACCACTCAACGCTCAATCCCTTTGCAAAACGGAGAGGCGACGATGATCTTGTCGCATTGAAATCACCAACATCCAATTACAAAGCCAATGCAGGCGAATTGGCTTCAGCGCTCTTGGCGTATTGGCAGCTGAAGACGCCACGCTACGCCTCAGTGTCGGCAGCTGGTGGCTTGGCCCAATCGCAGCCAAGATGTAATATTCGGAGCCGGAAGACGCCCAGATCCGACGTCCAAGCCGAGGTCCTTTAACACCTTTACAGTCCTTTAAGAATTATTTGCATTGTTCAATGTCACTGTTGCAATTCTAGACATTCTTTACCAGGTTCTTCCCTGATGGCAAACCACTTCTCTGGGTCAAACAGATACGAGCCTACCATCTGAAATGTTCGAGAACAAAAGACAGAAGCAAACACCTCCACTTTGTTCGGCCGACGTTACGAGAATGTCGACCTTCCCCGTTGGGTATCATGGCAAAAGGACCGATCCCGTACAAACTAGTGCTCGGGCCAATCCCCGCATGTGGCCTAACCTCCTTGCAGGAACTTTTGTCGTCAAAAAGGCCCTGCTCTCATTGGTCCCGCGGGCAGATAAGGTCGTTCTCCACTAAACAACTCTGTTCTGTAAGGTTACTTTGACCTGCGACTCTGGGGTTTTCTGTATCAAGCTTGGATCGTCACTTCGTTCGCTTTTGAGAAGGTGGCAATCAAGGGGACCCATAATGGAGCGATTGCTCTACCCCGTAGATAAATCGTCTCATGTATAATTATCCTTCACATCCCCGCCTCAGACCCAGGCCTTTCTCTCATCCCTCTCAACCCTTCTCTCTCTCATTTCTTTTTGACAGAAAGATCGTCAAAATGACCACCGCAGGTCACCTCGACACAGACGCCATCGCCCGCTCTGGTCTCGCCGACCCAGAGACGCACGGCATCCCCCAGATCGCCGGCAAGGGCTCCATCGACGTCACGCGCCAGCGCTCCGTCTCGGACTCGGACGATGAGCTCCCCACGGAAGAGGAGCTGCAGACGCTGCGCCGCGTCTCGGGAAAGATCAAGTGGGCCATGTACACCATTGCCTTCGTAGAGGCCTGCGAGCGCTTCTCGTACTACGGCTCTGCGGTCCTGTACACAAACTTTGTCGGGCAGCCGCTGCCTGAGGGCTCCAACACCGGTGCGCCCCTCGATCCCGATGGCCAGGCTGGTGCGCTTGGTATGGGACCCAAGGCTGCGCAGGGTATTTCTCTGTTCAACCAGTTCTTTGCCTATCTCATGCCTCTTGTTGGGTAAGTCTCATTCTCTCACGTCGTTTGTTGTCTGTCTTTTGCTAACGTTTCTCAAAGTGCCTGGATTGCAGATGCCAAGCTCGGTCGTTTCCTCACTCTTCACATCGCCATCGCCATCTCTACATGCGCTCACGTCATCCTTGTCGCTGCTTCTTCCCCCACTGTCATCGTCCGCAAGGATCCCGCTTTCGGTGCTTTCATCATCGGTCTCCTTGTTCTCTGCGTCGGAACCGGTTTCTTCAAGGCCAACGTCTCTCCTCTCCTCGCTGATCAGAATGAGGACACAAAGATGCGCGTCGAGGTTCGCAATGGCGAGCGTGTCATTGTCGACCCCGCCGTGACAAACACTCGCGTCTTCCTCTACTTCTACCTGGCCATCAACATCGGATCCGTCTGCGGTCAGATCGCCATGGTCTACGTTGAGAAGTATCATTCGTTCTGGCTCGCCTTCTTCATCCCCACCATCTTCTTCCTCATCGCTCCCATCGTCCTCGCCCTCAACAAGAAGAAGTACAAGCTCAAGCCCGCTACTGGTTCCGTCCTCTCCAAGTTCTTGCGCATGTTCTTCTACGTCCGCAAGCGCAGCTCTTTCTTCAGCTTCAACTGGGAGCACGCCAAGCCCTCTCAGATTCCTGTTGACCAGCGCCCTGCTTGGATGACTTACGATGATGCCTGGGTCGATGAGGTCCGTCGTGGTTTGATGGCCTGCAAGGTCTTCCTTTACCTGCCTGTCTTCCATCTGGCTTACAACCAGATGACTGGTAACCTCACCACTCAGGCCTCCACCCTGGTTCTCAACGGCGTTCCCAATGATGTCATTCAGAACCTGAACCCTATTTCCATCGTCATCATGGTTCCCCTCATTGATCACCTCCTTTACCCCGGTCTCCGCAAGCTGGGTGTCTCATTCACCCCCATCAAGCGTATGACTGTCGGTTTCATCATCTCTGCTCTCGCCATGGTTGCGTCTGCTGTCATGCAGCATTACATCTATGAAAAGAGCCCCTGCGGCAAGTATGCCAACGGTGATGATGCCAGCACTGGTAAGAAGTGTGCCCCCGCCGACATCAACGTCTGGGCTCAGTGTCTGCCTTACATCCTCATCGGTCTCGGTGAGATCTTCACCAACGTCACATCTTACGAGTACGCCTACTCCAAGGCCCCCGACAACATGAAGTCTCTTGTCATGTCTGTCAACCTCTTCATGTCCGCCTTCGCCTCCGCCATCGGCCAGGCTTTCACCCCTCTCTCCGGCGACCCTCTCCTCGTCTGGAACTACGTCGTCGTCGCCGTCATCGCTTTCGTTGGTGGTACTGCCTTCTGGTTCAACTTCAGACATCTCGACGCTGAGGAGGACAAGTGGAACATGCTCAAGGCGTCTGAGTTCAAGGGTACCTACCAGCCCAACGCCCTGGAGAACAAGATTGCAGAGGAGCATGAGGCGCCTGCTGCTCCTAGGGACATTGAGAAGATGTGACTACCTCCCACTTGTAAAAGTTGCTATAAATTTAGTTGTTGAGATACCACCATAGTCTATGATTAGATTGCCTGTTTGAGCAATGTCAATACATATTACATGACTTTAACTTTTGCCTGGTTGACGTGAAGAAATCTGTTTTGTCTCTTGAACTGTATTTGTAGATCGTGTTTGCATTAGAGAAAACTTGTGCTGGTAACAATAGGCTTGATTCAACTGAGCCATTGTTATACGTCCATATGAATCTAAACGCTGTCAAAATTTCATTGACTTTGGCTCCACTAATCAATTCATGCATACAAGGCTTATTATGACTTTGGTAGACCCTCCAACACACCAAGCGCTGATACAGACACCAGAAATCCTTCATGTTGCCGTGCTCTCAGCAGAGTTGGTGCTTTAGAAGCAATAAACAGCTAGGAGAGGAACGAAAACCGCAAGACCTCTATCATAAATAATCAAGAGACTTGGGTGATTTAAATTGAACTGAGGACAAATTAAGAATATATTTCAATGAGTTTACTTTCATATTTTACCTTGGGCTCTGATGTCTTGTTGCTCTGAAGACAGTTACTTGCATGGAGTCGATAAGGTTGCGATAACAGATAACAGATAACAGATAACAGATAAAAGATAAGACAGATATGCACATAGCGGGGTTCATATTTACCAACAACAATCAAACGAAGACAGACAGAGACCAAACTTAATCGTAACGCAACGTTCATTTTTATACAAGACATGTCGTAACAACGATAGTATGACGCATGTTACTGGCTGTGAGGATGAATCAATTTACATGTCGGAATCTCATCAGCTCTTTCGTCCATCTGCTTTTCATATTTTCCTATTTTCGAGTCTTGTAGGGCTATGAAAGGGCCACTAGGCAATTGACGAGAGAATTTATTGTTTTGCGTTGCTCAACTGTTGAATTTGTGCAAATTGAGGCAGTGTTCGAAGATACGAGGTTTGTTGAAGATGGAGGCAACAGAAATGTGAATACGGAATGCAGTTTGAAATCCGGAAATAACACGGAAACGTGATTATACCTGTTTGCCCTCGTAGCCAACACCGTTCTGCCCTTCTGCCCTTCTTGACTGCCCATTCCATACAAGAGACGCCATTAAATGTCCCGCTAGATCCCCATGTAATCCTCACTGTCCAGGGGAGATCCAGCGTTGGCGTTGGCGTTCTTGAGAGCCCTCAACGGACCACGTCCAACCCTCGACTCAAGATCCTTCTTGATCCACGCCAGCTTCGGCTTGACCCGTCCATTCGGGAGAAAAACATTCGGCATCCCTTCAAAGAAGCCTTTTCCAGCGAGAGGGCCGTCAAGAAAGACTCCGCCGGTGGCGCGACGTCTCGCAGGAACAGACTGCCACATATTCTGAGCGAGCTCGACGTCAAAGTTGGGGGTTTCCATTGGGGGAAGGTTGAGGTCGATATTCAAAGCCTGGCGAAAAGTTAGAACAGGGAGGAGAGAAGAGAAGAGAAGAGAAGAGAAGAGGAGAAGGGTTCGGACCTCGATTTTGGCAAGCTTTGCGTGGCGTTCAACGTGACGCGCGAGGCTGCCGTTGCGGTTGACGAGAATGGCTTTGCAGACGGGGCAGTTCTTGGAGGAGCTGCGGATTTTGTTGGCAGATCGAGATTTGGGAGGCGAGGAAGAGGGGAGGGACTCGGAGACAGGAGATGAAGGCTTGCGAGGGGAGGAGGGAAGAGGTTTGCGCTTGAGTCTGGTGTTGCGAGTCATGATGTTGAGCTTTTGTGAAGGTGATGAGGAGGGGTTGAGAAGTTTTGAAGAGTTCAGGTAAGTTCAGATGATCTTTGAAGAGTTTTGAGGAGATTGGGAGAGGCTAGAAGGAACAATGAGAAGAGGGTTGACAAGAGATGATGCTCTAGGTACATTTGTGGATGCATACGAAGGAGTGAACGTGTCACTGTTGACAGGTGCTGGGTCAGAATGGGTCGAATGAGAGTATAAGCGTACGGAAATAAGGCGCTGTGGACTCAGCCGTAGCATCAGAGTCAGACTAAGTGAACCACCAAGTCAAGCGCTGCTGGAGTCATTGGGTGCTGAACGCACCTTCACCATGAGATTGCAAGCAACTAAGGACTTCAAAGAGAAAGCAAGTGTCTTCGAGGCTGAAAGTCTTTTGGGTGTAGTTATCTAGTTCGCTCCGTATCCCATACCCATCCCAAGAGCATTCGCCTGCCCATGCCCATACCCATGCCCAACGCCGTATCGACCTCCCCTGGGTGAGGAAATAGAACTTGGGATCTCAATCCTAAACTACATAAAGACTTGGGTGAAAGAGCCCAAGTTTAGGGTGCCTTATGACGAGTTTAGTCTAATACCCCATATCAAGGTCTCATGTTCTCCTACTTCCCAGGGCCCCCATTGCATCAAGCTCCCCGTATCTAGCCCCTAAACGGGCGCTTGTTGCCGCCCTTACGCTCCAATGCGCTTCCAGGTCTCTTCATCGCACCGCGTGAGATCTCTTCAACACGCTCCTTGCACTTATCCTCCAGCTTCGCGAGCTGACTGCAAGACTCCCGTAGATTTCGATAGTCGTTGGGCTTGAGACACTCAGCATGAGTCGCAGCGCTTACGGCGCGGTGAGCAGCGGTGACGTAGTTTCCTGATCCTGTGATTAGATCTTTACGATATGTAGTATGGTTATTGTACTTACGGACTTCCCTGGCAAGATCGAGCAGGGAATCGGTCGCTTGGTCCTTGATCTGCTTCTCTAGCTCGCCGTTGCGGTCGGTGAGGCTGAGGATGAGCGCTTGGGTCTCGTCGTCGGGATGGAGGTTGGCTTGTCCTCGACCGGCTTTGAGGCCAAGGTCGTAGGCGCTGTTGCTGATGTCTTCGAGGAGATTCTTGTGTTCGAATGCAGCGACGAAATGGAGCTTCTTCAGCTCGGAGGGCCTTTCGTTGGAGGGATCGCTTGAGGAGCTGTTGGAGCTTTGGGATGACATTGTGTTTGGTGAGAATGTTGAAGAAGTGAAGTGAAGGGAAGTCTACAAGCTTGAAATTGATGTGTTTTGAACGCGATGAAGGTTGTAAGAAAGAGAAACAAAGAAGGAAGTGTGATATAAATAGAAGAATCTCAATGGGTCTGGGTAGGGTTGATGTTGCTGTGAATCACAAGTGCTGATGGTGTTTCAAATAGAGGAGGAAAGCCAGCGATCTCGGCGCGTTGAAGGGAGATGACACGGACTTCACCTTTTCGTCTAATGTATTTCTGTGGATCTTCATCTTTGCACAAACTGATTTCAATCTGCGCGCTTTGCATCCTCAACTCCACAAACAACCAACAACAAACAACAAACACTTGACTTCGCATGCCTACCACTCACGCATCACCTCAAGATGCCTTTATACTGTCTCTCCAACAACTCCTCCTCGAAAGAAGATGATACACCAAACCCTACAACATCCTGCAACGGGCAGGTCGACCCTCCATTTCGACTCGGGCTTCGGTTCCGCCCTCACGATGGGACTACAAGAGCCCAAGTATGTACAGAAATATCATCAACAAACGCTTCGCGCCTAACATGCTGCAGGATAGAGACTTCATAAAGCTCACGAATGCGCCAGCGAAGGTCCCAATGCATCATCGCGACCTTCCATGCCTCAACAAGGCCGCGCGCCTGGTAGAGAGCATCGTTGCTGCCTTCAAGGAGGTGGAGCAGACAATGCCACTTGACCTTGCAGTAAAGCTCAAGCAGGCTGCCGTACAGACGTTGGGAATCACATCCACCGCAGGTCGTATCAGCAAGACGAAAGTGAGCACCCTAATGCCATATCAGAGATTGGCCGGGAATCATGGCATCAAAAAGCAGCTTGGCTATCCAGACTGGTTCTTCATGGCTGCTTGGCTCGGCCCAGGCCACCCGTTTCTCGAGTCTATTCGCAAAGACATGTCAGATGTCTGGGGCGTAGAGTTCCCAACCGACGCCATCATTTATCCCGCGATCCTCAACCGCGAAACCGAAGAGAAGCTTTTCAACGGAGAAATTGCCCCTGCAACCAACGAAGAATCCCTTGACGAGCGTGCAAAGGCCATCATGAAAACAATCAACGCGTCATCTGTCAATGGTCTCAGCGCTGCTATCAAAGATCATCTCCCAGATGCCTTTAAGGATTTCGGGGACAGCAACAGAATGCACACATTGGAGACCAGCCTTGCCTCGACAAACCGCGATCTCGAACACGCAAGAAAACAAGTCAACAGTCTCGAGAAAGAACTCGCCGAGTCCAAAACACTCCAAGCGAAGACCAAAAACGACATTGAAACCCTCCGAAAAGAGCTCAAGCAGCTCAAAGCTGCACAAGGCTCAACTAACAACGTCAAGAAGGACCTCGGAGTACTCCGGGCGACAGTCACCGGTATGGAAGCCAAGGTCCTCAAGGGGGAGAGGGACATGATTACCTTGTGCAATGAGGTCGCTCAATCAGCCGAGAAGGCAGAAAAGGCGGTGGAGACTGGGGCTTTGGTCCTGAGTGTTCTGTCAGCTTCTGGAGGTCAGAAGCGAAAGAGGGATGAGATTTCCTGAAGGCCAAAAACTTTCTAGTCCAAGGTTCGCTAAACTTAGATTAAGACATACTAGATTTATCTGGGTTTTATACAGTTTGCCTAGGTTATATAAAATCTACCCAGGTTTTAGTAAATGTATACTAAATTATACGAAACTCATCAAAGTCGTCCTGTCACCTAGCCTAAAGATCCCAAGTTTTGTCCACAAGGATCAACCCATACAAAACTCTCGACGGCATACTCAAACAGCAGTTCATGGAGATCAAAAGTATGTATTCATAAATCGTATCCAACACCGTCATATATGGTATATCTCAATGACAAATCCAACGTACATAATCCACCCAAGATTCAATCTCAAATGCCAATTGAAACAACCAAGGTCCCAGTGTCTATCCAAAACCTAGACCTTACCCTGTTTATCATCAATGACCAATAACCCAGCATCAATTCCAGCTCTAGCAAACCTATCACCCAGCACACCAACCGTGCGCTGAAAGTCCCTCTCAACACCAAAGTCCTCAGCAAGAACTTCGTCAAGGAGCGTGTGCGCACGACCAACGACGATCAAATCGCCAACGCTCAGACGAGACTTGCCAACGGTCTCGCGAGCGTGAGCGACAGCGAGGTCGGGAAGGTTGCGCACTGAGTCAACAGAGATCTCGACAAAGGTCACGCGGCCCTCGAGCTTGCCGGAGGCGTTGCTCTTGGCGGTGTTGAGGAGATCCAAGTCGCTTGCGGAGGGGACACTCTCGATGTTTTTGCCGTCGTGAGCATCGTGTTCGTCCTCGTTGAAATGAAGATGGATCACGTGGATTGAGACATGAGGATTGTGAGCGAGCTGAAGGGCGAAGAGGAGAGCGGCGCGGTCGTCTTTTCCGCCGATGAAAGGCACGAAGATGCTCTGGCGCTGGTCAACAGGCCTCTGGATGATAGCGCCATCGTGAGCGCTGTGAACTGAAAGACCGGTGCGGGTTCGGGTCAGAGTTGGCTTCTTAGACGAAGAATCGCTGTGAGGATTGCGATTGATAAAGATACCGGTTGTGCAGGTTGAGCGTTGAACAGCGGCAGCAACGTAGTCGATGTATGTTCGGCTAAAGAATCGGTCGTTGGGGTTGCCGGTCTCGGTCAAAGCAGCAGCACCAGAGCTCTCCTCAGCCAGACCTCCGTAGGTACTCCAGGGAATGAGCATGAAGTCGGATCTGGCTTCCTCGGCATACTTGACAATGGTCTCTGCGTAAGCGTTGGTAGGAATGATGGAGACCTGGCCAGCAACAGCTACACCGTTGAGACGAGAGAAGGTCTGGAACGCGGAGAATACGGCATCACGGGAAGCAAATTCGTCAAGCTCGGCAGACTGCATGACTGAGGATGTACGGTCTGTCAACTCCATGAGACGCACGCCGCGAACTTCAAGAGGGCGATTGGGAATTGGCTGGGTCTTGTCCTCAGAAGTGGAGTCGGCGGTCTCGATGCTTGAGTCCGGAAGAGCATGCGTAGTCTTGCGAGAGCCTCCGAGAAGCGACACGAGGTTGAAAAGTCCGGGCAGGGCGTCGAGGCGGAGATGAAGAATGAGGCGATGAGTTTGAGACTTGTCGAGAGCCTCTTCCATTTTGTGCTCAGAAGTTTGAGCTTCAGTCTGGAGAGGGTTTCCGTCCCAGTCAATCTCTCCTCGGCGCCACTTCTCGACCTTCTGGCGATACCAGACAGGGTAGAGCCATTTAGTGAGCGGGGAGGTTGTCACGGTGGTAACCTACTCAATCAGCGGTGAATTGGATGAGTAAAGCGGAGAAAACTTACGACTGCCATGACGACAAACATGGTGAAGGTTCGGCTGGATAGAATGCCCGCTTGAAGACCAATGTTCTAGAGTTGTTAGCGCCGCGCTGCTTCAATGACAAGTAACTTACCAGCACGATGAGTTCTACGAGACCTTTGCAACTCATCAAGGCACCGATAGTCAAGCTTTCTCGCCAGAGACATTTGGTGAGACGGGCGGCCAGTGTACCGGCGATGATTTTGCCAAAGAAGGCGCATGCAATGATGGCAATGACATATCCCCAGGTAGTGCCATCGTTGAGCAGACCAAGATCAGTATTAAGACCAGAAAGCGCAAAATAAAGAGGCAGAAGTATAGAACCGACGAGATCTTCGATCTTTTCAGTCAACTTGATGGCAAAACCACCGTCGTGCGGACATATGAGACCTATGAGGAAAGCGCCGAAAATGGCGTGAACTCCAATGGCGGCTACAGTATGTTAGATATGGCAGCTAATAAATGAGAACGGCTGTCTTACCTGTGAACCAGGACGAAGCCAAGACGAGAAGAAGAGTCAAGGTAGTGATGCCCTGGGATGGGCCATTCTGGATACTGTCGGTGCGGCGAAGAACCCAAAGAAAGACTGGCCGAACAGCATACACCAGGAAGAGAACCCAGGCTGCTGCAGTCAAGAAGACATAAAGCGCCGTGAGGCCATTGGCGTTGTTGACGAGAGCGACACTCAGGGCGAGAAGAACCCAGCCAACAACATCGTTACCAATGCCCGCAGCAAGGACAGTGACACCGACGGAAGTTGAGAGGAGTTGAAGCTCGGAGAGAATACGGCAAAGAACCGGGAAAGCGGTAATGGCGAGCGCAGTTCCAATGAAAAGAGCAAAAGTGCCAAACTCCATATCCTTCATGGTTCCCTCATCGCCGTATTCCTCATACAAGCCCCAAGCAACAGCAACGCCAAGACCAAAGGGCAGCATCATACTAGCCAATCCGACGCTGACAGCAACGCGCCAATTGGACTTGAACATGCGCGTATCGACTTCGAGACCGACGAGGAAGAGGAAGAGCAGGAGACCGATGGTAGCAACGTTGCTGAGGACGGGCATGGACTCAGTGGGGAAGATGTTCTCCTTGAAGCCGGGGATGCGCATCATCACGGAGGGGCCGAGGACGATGCCGCCGATGACTTCTGCGATAACACGCGGCTGGCCGAACTTGGAGAGCGGCCATTGCAGCAGGCGGCAGAAGATGATGATGATGAAGGCCTGCACGATGAAGAGCGCTATGGGGTCTTTCGGGTTATAGTGAATCGGATTGAGGCCTTCGATGATGCCGCCCTGGGGATGTGCGCCCGTGGCAGCAGCGGCTGCAGCCGTCGCGGTGGAGGACATGGCGACTCGGGGGGTACGCTCGTGTCGCTTTCGGTGTTGGAGGGTCGAGACGGTGAAAGGTTGAGAGAGGAGGGGAGAAGAGAGGGGACCGTCAGTCCTCTTTTGTGTCTGGGGAGACGACGAGGATGAACTGAAATGAAATGGAGGCGGAGCTGGAGGTTGGTGACTGTTCCCAAAGGGCGGGCGGCCTGGGTGGGGAAAAAGCCAAGGGTCTAGGCTGTCGTAATGGAGGGTGCTGACGCTAAACCCGAATCGCCCTTGTCAGAAGCCCTCTTCTCGCGTTACCGCTCTAAGTTTTGCAGTGGATACTTCATACAAGGTTGATTTCTTGTTATTTAGTTGCATTTTGGCCGACGATCACTGACTTGTTGCATTAGACGTACGTTCTGTTCTGTTCTGTTCTTTCGCGTCGTGGCCCGATAAGGTACAGCGCTTAGCTAGAGGTTATTCGGTGGAGAAGTTGGGGAACCCTCCAGAACGGTCTTGGCGGGTGAAACAGCAACAAGGCTTGTGATTGTGACTGTGACTGTGTCTGTGTTACGATAAGCACGTCAATTGCGGGCGCATTCAGTATCGCAAACATTCTTTCAATTAATACGGGCGTTACAACCGATACTTTTGGTGCATCTTGAGCTTGGTGCTTGGTGCACGAGATCAAAGATGGTGGTCAATGTGACACTGGAGAAATAAGCTTGTTGAATTGACACTGTAGATCTCGCAAAATGTCTCATCTCAAATATCTAGTCCATTCCATTTCTTTGTCGCAGCTTGCTTCGACTCGATTGCATGTGATGCCCTGCCCTTTCATCTCCATTGGACCCCTGTTGCTCACGCGCCTTTTTGGTGTCTCACCGCTCCACGTCTAGACCCCGCCGACCTTGTTGGTGGGGATATGATGTGATTGAGGCTGGGTCAACTCGTGATGCCAGTGTCACAAGCAGATGCGGGGAGTTCGCTGTTGCATCACGCTAAGGGTCGATTCTGACGGAGACAAAAAAGCGGATGACCTTGAACCCCATCGACGAAAATATTTAGGTGAATCTTGCCTTGGCTGACGGGACTCTTTGCAGAGTTTATTTTGGCATCTTCTTCCCAAGTCTTGAGCTTTTTTGCTACCGGAGGCCATTCTCCCCGCTGGATCCCCACGATGCGCACTCCGTAAATGTTAGTGGCTCGTGTTTTGTTTCTGGGCATCGCGGTAATTCATCAGCCGGGGTTGTCAGCTGGATCGGAGCCAAGATAAAAATATGAGCTAAGCGGATCTTGGCGAATGGCCAATCAGGATTTCGGATCCTCCATTACACGAGGACTAACTCCAGTTTGGACAAATTGAAGCTATTCCCAGATCCATCATTATTGGGTAGCAAGCGATCTCATATTTCCCTCACTTTCGTCTCAATTCTGATCAATCAACAAACGCACCTTGGCATCGCGGACTCTACGGATCTTTTTATTATTACCCTGTCCACGGACATATATTTATGATGAAGCGAATGCGCGATACCAAATGGGCGGCGATACATTCCGTAGAGGACGAATCAGTATGAATTGCCAGGTGTAAGGTGGAAGTCCAGGCAACAAGATCAATTGATTAGGGCGTGATGGACATTTGAGAGACATCGAAAGCCTTTCAAATCGATAAGAATAAACGCCATATCGTTCAGGGAATTACATCGTACAATTGAACGGCAATACTCAGCCACGAGCATGTTAAATAAAGTTATTTTAAGCATCGCAGCCATCTTGTCTATTGTCGCCTTAATTCCTGGCACCCTGATCACGTCTGAGAGACACTGCGACGTACTCGCGGAAGCCCAAGGTTCGTCCTGACCATTGATTGCCCTTGCGCCATTGACGATGTAAGGCGTTAGATATGCAACTGCTCCAGGCTGGCTTCGCCTTAAAAGATCGTAGGGAATGGACAAGTTGGCCACAAGTGGTAACGTATCGAAACGGTAAAGATTCCGGATGAGCCTTAGTGACAGAAGTGGACGTTGCAGGGAGCAAATGACGCACGAGTCAAAGTTAATAAAGCACGATATGGGCGACTCAGGTGAACGTTGTTGTTTTTAAAAACTTCATTTGAAACTCATAAAGGAAACTATTGTACCCATCTGCATCCAAAAACCCCAAACTATTCAGAACATCCAAGCAATCTTCTCCCCCCAGTCCGAATCTCCATAGCCATGGTTGATGAATGGCCTGACACGAGACTTAGATCCGCGACTGTGCATGTATACACATCAACCAATCACTCAACATGGCTCATACTCTTCTCCTTGATGTCAGCATCCTGGTCGAATCGTCGCTCGGTCACCTCATAAGGATTGACGTAGGTCGTAGCAAACTTCCTCGCGGAGACTCCCTGGTCGAAAAGCATGTCCAGCTCAGCGTAAGAGCGGTCCTTGGGCTCAGGAAGTCGGAAATAAGCCCACAGAAAACACAAAGCGCAGTTACCAGCCCAGAAGAACGCCGACTTGGCTCCCCAGTTCCAAGCCGTAGGGTTCAGCGAGTACAAGCCGATGATGTTGGTGTATGCGACACCGACGATGTTGTAGGCGTTTCGCGCCAACACGATGGTCCTCTGGCGAAGTCTGGACGAAGGCAGCTCGGCGACGAGGGAGTAGCAGACAGGACCGACGGTGATGTCATAGGTGAAGGTGTAGACGAGAAGCAGCGATCCGATGGCCCAAGAGTAACTAGCTGCCTTTGCGGGAATGCCTAGGCAGCCGGTGACGAAGAGGATCACAGTGAGGGCGAAGAGGCCCCAGACGTAGATCGTGCGGCGGCCTACACGAGCCATCAACGGCCAGGAAAGCACGGTACCGACGAATCCGAGGGCGAATTGGGCGATTGTCATAGTGAAAGCGTTAGACTCGGCGAGACCGGCTTGTTCGTAGAAGTATGTCGAGTTGCCCATGAAGGAGGAGCCGCAGATGGTCTGGCAGATCCAAGTCAGGCATGCAATCTCAGTTCTGCGGAGGTTAACTCGTCCCCGGAAGCAATCGAGGTACCCGGTTCCTTCGCTAATCTTCTTCTCAACCTTATCAGTGTGGACCATCATGGCAACGGTATCGTCAGCATTGACACCTGTGCCCTTGCGCTGCAGACGCTCAACAGATCGCTTAGCGTCCTCAACACGGCCCTTGCGGATGAACCACCAAGGAGACTCGGGTGCGAGCAGCACAGCGATGAGGATCGGGATCGGCCATACCCATTGGACAGCAAAGGGGATCTTGTATGACCATTTGCTATCCAGGGTGATGACTCCCCTCAGCACGCCTGAAGCAATGAGTTGTCCGATGACCCAGCAGAGATTGACGTAGGTTGTGAGGTAGCAACGAAGGTGAATCGGGCAAACTTCAGCCGCGTAGGTCGTGGTCAGGGTCTGAAAGACGCCCCAGGGAAGACCGCAGAGGATCTCGCCGGCCAACAGCATCGACAGGCTGACAGAAAAGAACTGGATGAAGATGAAGGCAGTCATCATGACGAGCGCTGCCGCCAGTACCTTCTTGTATCCGTAACGGTCCGCGAGCCAGCCGCTAACGTACAGGCCTATAATCTCGCCGACGCTGGCGCCGTTGGTGAGGCCGGACTGCCAAGCAGCGGAGATAGAGTATCCTCCCTTGCCGTCCGGGTGGCCATAGTACTCGTTGAAGGGCTTCATGGCGTAGAGGTTGCCGATCAGGATTGTATCGTAGCCCTCCATGATGATGCAGGTGGAGAGGGCGATTGACCATCCCATGGCTTTAGGATAGGCCCGGAGACCCTCCATGAAAGTCATGTTATGTTCGGCGGCGGCGGCATTTTCGGCGGCGGTAAGGATGCCACGAAGCTCTTCGCTGTCGTTGACCTCGTGGATGTGCTGAGCTGCGACACTCTCGCGACGGTCGCCCTTTTCATCAGGCCCGTTGTTGTATGCCATGTTGGTGATTGTGAGAGTACCAAATGATCAGAATGGTAAGGGTAGATGAGGTGAGAGACAATTGGAATTCTTGATGAGCTGTTCATGATTTTGAAGAGGTGAGGGGGCATGCCTTTATAGATGCAGATCCAGTGCGCACGCGAGATTTCAGCTCAAGCCGAGTTGAGAAGTTCAGAGAGAGTATTAACTCGATACGAGCAAGCGGACTCGAAGCATTGACCAATCGGTAGACCGTCTGGAGGATCTAGACTACCCCAAGTTCTGCGTGTGGAGTCGCGGGGACCCCAAATACCAAAATGCTTGGCCACGCGGCTGCAAACTCTAATACAGGGAGAACTCGTCGGTCCGACACATCGGCTGACGGTTTAATTAATCCTGTTTACCTGCCGCGAAAAAGACGCCTCTTGAGCAGGCTGAATCTAGCCTTGACAGTAGCGTAGCGATCTAAGGGAATAGGGAGAGTAAAGTATGCATCAGATGCATGTTCTGTGTTGCGGGTGGCGCCATGGTAGCGGCCAGAAGCAGGCAATTGAACATGCGATTTCATGCACCGGTCCGAGTATCTTGAAAGCGTTGAAACGTCGTTTAACGTTCTCCAAGTGATTGCAGAAATTGAAAGGCATCAACACAATTCATTATGGCCTTGATGTCTCTTTACCGGATGGACTTCTGTACTCTGGGAGACTTAATCCTTCCATCTCCGACTGATCTTAATATGTCTAAAACAATAAATGGAGAGACTCAATCTACGACGTAGCTACGATCGGAGCGTCTCCGCAGATCCCAATACACAAACGCGGGGAAATGTCTCCTGCATCATCTCCATTCGGCGCTGTACCACTTTGGAGTTCTCGTACCAGCTAATTCCAGACTTGGTGGTTCTGTACTAGTGCCGACATCCCGTCCCGGATAACACGGCAAGCCTTTCACGAAACAGGCAACACGGTCAATCCACATGATGATTTTCCTCGGACCGACGAAATAAGGGAGCCAATGGTGTAACTTGAAGACAGACAGATTAATAACGCCACGTTCGATAACGTCGTAGAAGCCAGGTCGCAGTTTGCGGGGGAACGAGCAGCGATGCTGACTGGTAGCCCGTCGGGCCGGGTTCGTTGCGGTGGTAAGTGAATGGCTTCATCCTAGCACGCTAGCGAGTTGTTGGAGAGAAGAAATGCTACGAGATGAGAAATTGCGGAATGTGGGAGCTGAAACCGCTGGGCTGATTATGTAGAATCCCTCAAGATCTTGGGGCGCCTGAAGCTGGCCTGAAGCTGGCTTACTTACTGTAAAGTTGAATGAGGGGTAGTATCTCAGCTTTATGCTGTAGCAATTGATCAGACATTGCGGTGTATGTCTAAATGGTGAGCTGCATGTGTATTTTACAGTTAAGACCTGTCGCTGAGAGCTTAAATCAGCACAGAGAACTTTAAGGTGAAATATCAGATGTATCTTTCATTATTATCTGCGCCGTCAGCCGGGAAGCCGTGGCTTGACAATTCTCATTGTAACAAGATGGATACAGAGGTCTATATTTACAAGATACAACAGCCTGAACGTCAGTCAGACAGATAGCATCTGCTGAAGGCTGCCCATCGACGCATGCCTCTGTCTCTCATTGGACAGTAAGACATATTGGCCAGTATGCTCTACAGGCCTCCCTCTCAGCCTTGGCCTCTGGGCAGAAACAACATTGCATCGACGGGATTGCCAGCTCTTTGAGTGTCGCCAAGGAATATTTTACCTCCCAAAGTCTTTATACCCAAAGACCAGGTTGCACTAGGTCCTTCATTACCTCATGTAAATCGCAGACTGCCTACAATACTAGGATTCAAGTCCTCGCGGTTTCGGTGTATCAGCAAGTGCTGGTGGTAAGGCCGTGCATGCATGTTGCAGAATCTCGAAGACAATTGACAAAAAAAGTACCCTTTAGTTAAGCTGGCTGATGTCGCTTTCTATAAAGATGGCAGATACTTATGTCGGATGCTTTCGAGGGTACCGGAGATGGGAAATGACATGCAAACTTGAGTCGTGGCATACATTCGTGAGCGTTGGATCCTCTAGCGGAAGCTATTGATTGGGTGCCATTAATAACATTAGTGAACGAGTAGTTCTAAAATTTAGGCCCATGAAAACGGGGAATAACGTAGAGCCCAAATCGGAAACTCATGCATGTCAAGAGACGTCTGTTCTTAGATGAAGCCCTAGGCTCACCTCACGGCGTAATTCCCGAAGATCAAGATGCCATTGCTATTGGATCGCGGAGAATGTGTACCTGGGAACTTGCTGATTCCTATAAAGTTTGTGGCATAGTCAAACCTGATATGGAAGAGGGTAAAAGACATAAGATTGAACTAGATTTACTTGACATAAGGCAGTTGTAGACATAAACCTGGTGTTGGGTTGTGTCCTTGAGACTTGTGTAAAGATTCTACTGGAACGTTTATCTACAGACATTTCGTTCCACTTCTACTCAATTAATCAGGACTCATTCTATAGACAAAGCGAAGGCATCTTTTCCCCTCCCTAACCAACATGTTGTACACTTTTTCTGGTCAAAACAGCAATGTAGCAGCCTTTAATTCGGATGGCAGTGACTTACCCTGAAGAGGCCAGCACTCCACCTGACTACCTGCGTAGAGACTAGTATGCGCTTAAATGCATATTTGGCAGAGCGACAAATATTTACTTCAGTAGTATAGTGAAATAAACGGCCATACTCAAGACATTGTGTTGTCATTGCAGAGCATTTTGTGTCATACGAGTTCTGGGTAAGCGTTGACAGTGTGCCAGATGCGCTAGCCCGCTCCAGAACAACTGAACCAGACACGGCGATTCAATTGACCAAATACTTACCTACACCCTAAGAACAATCCGCAAACTGACTTGATCGATATTTCCGTGTCGAGGGATATAGTCGACAAGTAGATGTAGAAAGAATACCTGTCGCATTGACAACGAAGTCAAAGGATGCGCCCGTTGTAAGACTCTTACGCAGCGCCCCGTAAAGCGCCCTGTAAAATGCCTCAGCGCTGAAGCTTATCGCGCCCATCTCAATTGCTCCAGTACTCGATTCATTCCAACATACTCTGACATTCAGATTGTCGCTAGATATCCTTCGATATTTTTCATCCATTGAAACTCTCTGTCCAGTCTACAGTCAAGTCTCTAAGTATTTTGCTTACAGAAAGCTATGCGCCGTCAAGGCTTGAACACGGGTCTAATGAAGGGAATGTCACATTAAGTCTCCATTTTCGGCCAGACATACCACTTTAGAAATAATGCCATGATTTATGTCTAATAGGAGCAAGGTTACTAAACTGTCCATAACCTGACAAACTCGAGGCCATCCGACATCAGCCTCTTCGAATGGGAGGCTGCACCATTTGGGTTATCAACTGGCGACCAATCGAGTACAGCACCAAGACATTTCAAACAGCTTCGTATATCTAGCTATATGTACGAGTTTGAGGCGTTAGAAGAGTTCTTAGGACCCAGCTCAAATGTAAAGTCCACGTATGAGCAAGATACCTTGAAAGTTTTGCCGTTATCTTTAATGGTCAGCCGTGCCAAATGGCAGGGAAGATAGTAAGGACAACCGGCTTTCTTACTAGTCGTCCCAAGATTTTACTCTGTGAGTAATTCAAGGGTAGTTTTCGGTATATATTGAAACACGCTGACGGTCAATTGATCCTGTCGGGAATTGGTCCTATCCCAGACGAACTAACGATTTTTTAATCGACCGACGACTGCTACTCTGCTCTTCTTCCCTTTCTGTCTCGTTACGCAGCATACAGCGAGTGCCTGTAGACCGACAGATAGTGACTCCCTGGCCTGGAAGATGTCGTTGTCAACACCAGACTTTACGTGTTTTACGAGGGGAACTCGATGACTGCAATAAAGGACTATAAGTTTTGGGATTATGATCAGCATCTAGTTCATACTCAAACCACTCTGATTTTATGCAATCCACGAAAAAGAACATAAATTTGAGTCAGGTTGCTATATATATACTATAGACTCATGGCTGGTGTCTCTAAAGGAAAGCAGCTTAACTTGGGCAAGTCTTGCTGAGAATTTCTGTAAACGCTGGGGTTCGCCACCGTCTGCAGAGGGATCTCAGGTTAACGCGCTATGAACGACACCAATTCCATCACACTTGTGCTTTTCTATTAACTCCCTCAAGTTCCAGCGTTAGCCGCTTCAGTAATCCAAGAAGGTATCCTTACGCCTGACATGATAGGGTCAGAAGGCCTGTTAGCTTAGTATAATGAGGCTATGTTCCAAGGTCTTCAACTAGGTAGTGTGAGTATTGATACTAGAGTACGTATGACTAACAAAATCCTAAACCAACAATGTTCCCTTCCGAAAAAGCCTTCCAGTAATATTTACCTTATAAGTTACTGACCCGCCATTGAAAGCAACCAGTCCAGTTAAATTAGTCTTGAAGTCCAGTATGATATACCCGTCGGTAGGTTTAGCGATCGTACCCTGAACATTGAATGTGGCGCCGTAGTTCTCTCTTTCCAATTGATGGCCTGGGGTTGTGATGATGTCAAACTTGTCACTCCAACCTCTAGCAAATTTGGTGTATGATCGACGCACGGGCTTCGGGCCCGATCCGTTGATGAGGTCTAGGAAGTACGAGTTGGTAGTGTACCACAGTTCTCCATTGGTCGGGACCATGATTCGCGTTGGTACTTTGCCTGACATAATCACAAAATCGCAAATGTTTGCATCTCACGGGTTATCCTTCGGACCATACATCCCAGGGAACCTATATATCCAACCCGGTGTCTTGAAGTCCCAAGCGTCCCCCTTTCGTCTTTCGAAAGTGACATTCCACACCGCGTATGTAAGGTTGTAAGGCGGACCTGAGCGCTTTTGGTGCTTATTCAGAGTCTCCGTGTTTCTAATACCCAAATCGAAAAAAGCAGGGTCTTCAACAACAGGGACAGAGTCGTCGCCTTCGAACTTGAAATCGTTTTCGAGTAAAGAGTCTTCAAGAGCCACAGGAGTGGCCTTGGCCAAGCTCAACAGGAATAGCAGGAAATAGAGAAAATTCATGTTTGTGGTGCTTGCTAAGTAATGATATTGGTAGGAGCTGAGTTTATATGGTGAGAAGAAGTGAATCTAGGATTATTGCTGGGGTAATGTAGCTTCTAATATACCCTTATCACTTAGTAGTCTTGCAGAGACCGCATTGTTGCCAGCAAATATCCACTTACCTAATTTGGTAAGGTGTGAGCTTGTCTAGCTCTTTGCAACTCAGAGTTTGTGGCAAATGCCAGTCGCTTCTTGCTGTTTTTAATGTCTCAGGTTCTAGAAGAAGAGGTATATCCAATAGCTTTATCCTCTAATAATTAATAGTATAGCTTACATTCCACTACTTACTGATACTGTGGTTTGGCTTTAAGCCACTTTATACTTGTGCAATAAGCTTGTCCTTACTAACATTGTAGGTCTCTCTACTTCTCGCCTAGATTCATGACGGATTTCGGTAGACAGAAAAGGCTTGAAACCTGGGCAAGGCCAAACTCTAAGTCTACTCACAGTGGAACAAAAAGTGAATCTCCTCATGCTTGCCTGATTTTCAAGCCTTTAGCTGCAGTCCAGGCCTTTTAGCTTAGATGGGGAATTTGAACGCATATACCTATTGACTGTTTAGTTGCAACATGGAGGCTTTATGCTTTTCTAGTAGATTTTGCAATTAACTTACTTATAAGCTTAGAATACCCTAGCCAAACACCACAACGCCATGAAGAACCGAGCAAAGTAGGAAGCAGAAGCGAAATCCGCCTCATCCTGGATTACATACTATCGAGATGCCCAGGTCATGGTTAGCAGTGACTTTGGTGTATGCACCAGAAACGTCAAGCCCCATGAAAGTATCAGAGCGCTCTTCATCGTCTTCCGGGGCGGCGATTCTATCCTCAGTAATGATAACCGCATTGCCTCTCATGAAGATCTCGTTGAGACGGTCGAGAGCTGGTTGGATGTTCACGAAGCGGTGGTTGATTTCGGCAGCGTTGGAAACAAAAGTGAGGTCGCCGGACGTGCGACGAGCCCTCTTTACTGAGCGAGCTTGATCAGACGATTGGACGAGTCTGACGGTACCGATACGAGGTTCGGTAGTAGTTGAGTTGGTTGAAGATGATGCGGCTGAGCTGGACAGTGGAACAGCGTTCGGCCTGAGCTGACGAGACGATGGATTTGCATCTTCGTCGCTAGTCCAGTCGATTACTAGAGACTTGCGCCCAGTATGAGGGGCGCGGGGACTGAACACTGGATCTTCGGGGCTAGACGAAGGTCCCGGAAGAGCTCCAGAGCCACCAGCGATCGATTCATTAGACGTCGCAGTAGAAGATGCCGCAGGGACGGAAAGGAGGTGCTTGAGAGCCTCCATTGTACGAGCATCTCCGAAGTTCTGCTGAAGAAGTTGAAAGAGCTGACCCATAGAGTCGCAAGGTGTAGACGACGGAGGAGATGAACTGGGGACAGCGGCAGGAAGTGGGGCAAGAGCTGAAAGTGATGCGGCTGCAGCGGCCGCCTCCTCACTAGCAACTGCGGCCCTTGCCGCTGCCAAGTCAATAAGGTCCGGGCTCTCGATACCGTGAACACGCAGCATCCATTCCTCTACATCCTTGCGAGATTTGAACTTCCTGACTATGTTCAAGGTCAGTGATGTCCATGCATACATCCATATTGGGGGCTACATACATGATGCTCCAGGATAGCACCGGGTCAGGATAGAGCATATGTGCCAAATTGTCGTTATACCCTTCAAGCGCCCATCGCCGATGCCATACCAGCGTTCTTCGTCAGCTTTGAGTTGTTGCTCGAAGACCTTCGGATTCTTCAAGACCTTGGCCTCATCGCCATTTTCTATGCTGCGCGAAGGCTTCCTCCTCTTCTCAGGGGAGTGCATACTCAGTGGCCCTTCGCGCTTGCCGGAGGGAGACACCGGCTGTGAAATCTCTTCGAAGTTGAAGCCCGAAGGTTGGGCGATACCACCAACGGGAGGCGGTAGCAACAAGTTGCTGAAAGTAGGAAACATAGGGCAGAAGAACCGCTGGTAGTAGAGGGTGGACTGGCGGTTGGAACGCTATTACTAGGAGTGCTAGAAGTAGGTATAGGCGGAAGAGGAGGCGGCGCAGATGTAGCACTAACTGACGCATCAGGTACAGACACACCAGGCAAAGGCGTAGCTGGTGCAGACGTAGCACCGGCTGGAGGTATGGGTGTCGAAATGATACCAGAATCCAGAGGCGTGGTAGAAAGAGGAGCTGGGGAAGAAGGAACGCCAGGAGCGTCGCTAACAGGAGCAGGGGTAGTGTTGGCTGATGCAGATTTATCTGCCTGTTTCTGTGCCTTTTTCTTCCCCTTGTGCTCTCTCCAGGAAAAAGGCTTTTTCTTTCCGCTCGCACCGTCGGGCTTATTACCAGTTTCTTGTTGAGAGGTATTGGGTACTAAAGATGGCGTACTTGTCTGGGTTGTCGTTTGCTTGGCGGCGCTGTTATTCTTGTTTTTGTTGTTGTTCTTATTGGCCTTCTTGCTATTGTTGTTGCTGTTCTTGTTGCTGTTGTTATTGTTTCCTTGTTTGCCCCCTTTCGGATCGCTCTTGGCCTGGGTACTGCTGCTGGGCTTTGACTGCTCGGCCCCGGGTGCTTCGCTTCCAGCCGGCTCGTTGTTGGCTGTGCTAGCTGTATCAATATCCATATCTGCAGCGCCACTATCACCATAACTTCCAGAAGACTGACTAGCACTCGGCGTCGAAGATGATGTGGTGTCTGTGTCCATCTCCATGGCCATAAGAGAGTTGCCAACGTCACTGACAGAAGAGCTACTAGCATTGGCTGTCAAGGGCTGACTGTTGGGGCTTGGAACTCCTGTCCCCTCGCTGCGCGGGAGAGGGGCAGTATCCGTACCGGTCATGTCTGCGTCTGGAGACGAAGAAGGTTTCTTGGAGGTGGCAGGAGATGATCCGATTCCCCCAGTCTTCAAGAAGTGGCCAAGCGTCCGTTGCCCAGACTCCTTGGATAGCAGCGCTTTCGGCCTACCAACCGGTCGTTTCTCGGCCGCCTTGGAAGAAGATGCGCCGCTTTGTTCACCAGACTTAGCAGGCGAGCTTTCAGCGGGATTCGCCTTTGCCTTCGCCGGCTTAGTCTTGGTAATCGTTGGAAGAATAGGCTTTCCGGTCTTGGGCAAATGCTTAGCCCAGTGAGGGACGAGCTGTCGATACCAAGCCGACGCTCGGTGCTCCTCCCTGGATAAACTGATTGTGCACTCCGGTGACCAGGTGACATGAGGGCCATTGCAGTTGCAGCAGCGAGCAGCCGCCTTGCAGCCCCTTGTATCATGGGCACCTGAACACCGCCCGCACAGCATGACACTGACGGTGCAGTCATCCTTGAAATGGCCTGTCTTCCAGCATCTGTAGCAAAAGAGCGGAGTACCTTGAACGCAAAATGGTCTGATTCATGCGGTTAGCTCTTAAAGTTATGAAATGCAAAGTGGTAGCCTTACACAATCTCGTAGTAATGACCAAGCAGAGTCACGCCTGTGAAGCAAAGCTGACTGACAAGATCGAAGTCCTGGGTCTTGAGTAGCATGCGTTCGTATGTTACCTTCGCTTTGATGTCTTTTACACCCAGGGCTTTGAGAAGAGCTTCTTCCAATTCTTTGTGTCCCATGCCTCCTTTGGACAAGTGTGGCACCAGATGCTCGACGTGCAGGGTATAGACTGGCGAAAGGCAATAGACACCGTGCTCAAGACCGAAAAGCTCACTCATCTCTGAAATGTGCTGCCGCATGTACGCCTCTGACTCCCTAGTCAAGAAATTGATGATGACTTGGTGTTGCTGGTCGGCGGTCTTGGGAGCCTTCAGCTTGATACTTTCAATCTTCCAGCCTGAGCCCTTTTCGCGAAGCTTCTGCGCTATCTCGGTCGGGTTCATCGCGTCGAGCTTTTGGAAATCAAGGGCGTCCATCACGACCGTAATGAAGCCCGTTTCGTCATCAATCGCACCATCGAGGTTGGCAAACATCCTGTCCTCCAGGCGGTGCAGGTTGCTTTCCAGATTGCTAAGACGATCATCAATCTTGCCGAGGTAGCGCTTGATGGAGTCGTCAGACTCGTCGGCGGTGCCTTGGATGGCGTGTTTGAGACATTTGATGTCCTCTTCAATGCTGAAGAGACGCCCGTTGAAGACATCAAGGGCCCTGATGTTCCCGTGATCAAGCATGCCGGCCTCGTTGAAGCGTGCATTGATATCATCGAAATGGCTCAAGCGCTCATTGATTAGATCAAGAGCTAACATCGTTTTAGAGCCGCTGATCTCGCCGACCTCGATTTTGAGCTCAGAAAGGCGATCATTCATGTTGCGGAACTGTTGACACATGAAGTCCATGATTCTGCCCACCATAGCCTCAACCTTCCCATATTCTGGAGAGTCAGGTTGAAGGTTTGTAGTGGGTGAGATGTAGCTCTCACCACCACCGAGGGTCGACTGTACAAGATCTGACGACATGACGAGAGAATAAAGTGGATAGATTGTTTGGATGTAGAAAGAAGAAGGGAGATAATCCTAAGATGAGGAATATACTGATTATTCTGGAGGCAATCTTTAGCTTAACAAACTTGGGGTTACAGCTTGTGTCCCCAATACAAAATGCGGATCAACTGATATTATAACTCTGTCACGGTTCCTCCTGGTTACCTTGATCAGCTTCACCCCAGCAGTACCCAGCGACTCATAGTGCCTTTTCTCTCTTTGGGTAGTAATTGGCTCCTAGTTGCTTTTCGGGTTTGAGGCTGGGTGGGGGTTGGCGTTCTCATCGGGACCTGTTACTGCTGTAAATCACACCGGCGCTAGTCTCATTTGGAATCATGGGCGGTGACTCCGTGACTGGTCAGTGATCTTATCAATTATGCCAAGATCTACAGTTCAATGCCTCTTTTTAGATTTTGGTTTTGCTTTTGGTAAAAATCCCCCTTTTCAGTGCATCTAGCTAATCGCGTAACGAACAAAATTGCAAAGCGCCCCCCGGTCCATTATGCTCTCAACATTTTACAGCCCCTTAATTTCACATGTTGTCACTTCCGAGGGCCCCGATGAATAACCAGCTCAACAAACTCGAATCAACGTATAAGCCCCCTATTCTACACTGACAGTTGAGGAGCTGACCAATCCGACCCATGCATTAGCACGTTCCACTGAGTTTCTTTCTTTGTACCCAATTAACGCCTGAACCACCGACCACAATCTCACAAGAAAGGGGCTTTTCAGGTAAAGATTGGCTACCTGTTACTCCTGCATCGTACGATTATTCGTTGCGCGAGATTGCGACCGGCAAGGTCAGCGTCTGATGCGATGAGGGAAGAGGAAGCCATTGAGACACTGTACAGTCATATATTAGGTCGACTTATGAACCCTCCTGACACGTCCATCCCAAACCACATCTCTCATTCTTTACTTTCAACCATTGTCACTCTGTGAAACAACAAGATTGCTCATACTCTTTTCAACTAGAGCGCCTGGCTTTACTCCGTTCATTTGCCCTCCATCTGCTTCTCGCTGCTACTTGCCGCGCAAACTCAATCCCTGTTCCCATCGCTCCTGGTGTCTACTCTTGACATTGCGCAAGCTCAACGCGCACCGGGAACGATGGGAAAGTCTCAGCGGCGCAAGAAGCGCCTGAAGGAAGAGGAGTTTCTGGCCCGCCATCAGCTCATCATCGATCAAGCAAACTTCAAAGGCTCTTTGGACCGTCTAAATCTCTTTCAAGCGTACCAACGTGACGGGCGTAACGGTGGGACAGCTGACATCATATGCGGCTCCGACCCGTCCCCCCGGACCCCATTTCGGAGTACTCGGGACTATCACTTCAGCATCAGCCCTTCTAGAGCCCTTGTTGAGAGTGATAACCCTGATGATCCAAACCGCGAACGCAAAAAGCCTGGCAAGAAGAAAGACGGCGACGACGACAAGGAGCCCGTGCGGTTCAGTCGTGTCTTCTTCTTCGTCCACAAGTCAATCCCGAGAAATCGTTGGAATGTTGAGTATCATGAGGGTCCCAATAAGGACATGCTGGCAACTCTTCATTTAACGACGGCCGACGGTCCGATTGCGATACACTCCGTGTATAACGTCAATCAGGACGATGTGAAGATTGACATCGAGCTCTTAGCTGAGCAGACAACTCGCGAACCACGCAATATCGTCATGGGAGATTTCAACTTGCATAATATATTATGGAGTGGCCCTTCATTGATGAACTCCTCCCGGGACACCCCAGCTGGCCGGTTGCTGGCGCACGAGATGATCACAAAGGCCAACATGGCACTCTTGACGAAGCAAGGTACTATCACATATACCAGGGGCAAAGGCGATGACGACGAACATGCTTCATGTATCGACCTCACCTTCGTCAGTGACTGCCTACGCTCTCAAGTTACTCATTGGGGTGTCTTCTCAGATAATCCTTGGGATGCAAGCGACCATCGTCCCATCAGGACAGTCCTTGAGATTACGCCATATAGAGACGACACAGAGAAGTTTCAGCACAACAAGGTCAAACCTGCAGTGTTTGCCGCCGCCATCAGAGAGGATTCGTCGCGTGTTCGCGAAATGCCGCTTGAAGATGAGAACGATGTGAAGGAGTACATTCCAGCGCTTCTCAACCTCATTTCATCCGCCTCTACACGCACCACCCCAACCTGTCTCGTAAACCCACCACCAAGACGGAAACCGATGGACCCTCATCTGAGACAGCTACTGCTTGGAGGCGGCGTTGGGTCAAATGTACCTGCTTCCGAACTCGACTTCAAGCCGCCGCCGAAGAAGCCAACTCCGTGGCGTGAGCGCGTTCAACAAGCAGGCGAGTCACAAGAAGCCTTTTGGTTTCAGACAAAGTTGGCACGCCAAATGGCACAAGACCGGATTGTCAAGTGCATGCCGCCGCTGGCCGATGATAACGGTGTTGCCACTTTCTTCAGTGAGGAAGAAAAACAGGACAGGATACGATGCAAGACATGGACAAGAACCAGCGATCTCGATCACCCCGTTGAGATTCCATTCCCCACACTGAACGACACGGTGAAGATGAATCGAAAGCTTCGTCGCTTCATCGAGAAACACCTCACAGATAAAGATATTGAGATTCTCATCCGGAAGCTACATAACCGGAAGGCTCCAGGACACGATCTGATTTGCATCGAGCAACTCAAGATGGCCTACAAAGAACTTGCTCCTCTCATCGCACGTCTGTTTAATGCGTTACTCAAACTCGGGATCTTCCCGGCAGAGTTCAAAACCGCCATTACCGCAATCCTTCCAAAATCAGGGAAGGATAGATACGACGCAGTTAATAGCTGGCGCCCTATTGCACTTCTCTCTGTTTTGGGAAAGCTCTATGAGAGGATTCTTGCTGAGCGCCTCAAGAAGTTTGTCATGGACTACGATTTACTTCCTGAGACTCAATATGGCGCGCCTGGAAAGTGTACTACACATGCCATTCAAAGCATGATAGGCATTATACATAAAGCCTGGTCTCGGAAGTTAAGCAAAAAGTTCAAGAAACGCTGGAAGTTTATCAAGGAGAAGGTGACCATGATGGGGCTTGATGTATCTGGGGCCTACAACTGCGTCGACCCTGCACTGCTCCTACAGATGCTTGCAGACCTTGGAGTGCCCGATTCTTTCCTTCGGATAATGCATTCATATTTCTCCTACCGGGTCGTCATTCTCAAGCTGCCCCAAAGCACATCAAAAGCATTCTATATGCTCATTGGCATTCCGCAAGGTTCGCCCCTCTCTCCGTTATTATTCCTCATCTTTACCGCACCTATTCTCCGCCAAATCAATGACGACAGAGAAAAGCTTGGCAAGGACAGAATCAGAATCTTTTCCTTCTCCTACGTTGATGACACCTATCTCATCGCCGTCTCAAACTCTTACGAGAAGAACTGCATCGGCTTAAAGATATTCCATGATGAAATCATTAAATGGGCTTCATCTGTCGGTCTGACATTTTCACCGCAAAAGTATACCGTTATGCATTTCCGGGCTCCCAACGACCCCGATCCTCCCTGCGAACTTCTTCCTGATATCGAGGGACTCAAGGACAACCCTGAAGCGCTCAAGCAGGATAAGCTGAAGGTCCTTGGAGTGGTTCTGGATCCGGCTCTCACCTTTGCTGAACACATCTCCAACCTTGAGAAGAAAGCCAACAACACAATACGGCATTTCCGCATGCTTTCGGGGCCGACTTGGGGTATTCGGCTGTCCCAGACGAGGAGTTTCTACATGTCCAAGATTCGACCCATCATATCGTACGGGTGCGCTGCCTGGTTTCTTCACTGCCCTGGTCGACGTGTACCATGGTCCCTGAAGCCGAGGCAGATTCAGAGACTTGTGAAATTACAGTACAAGTGTTTACTGCTGATCTCAGGGGGTATTCGTGCAACCTGTGGTGATATGATTCTCAAGGACATCAACATCGAGGGCATTCGTGAGTTTCTGTGCCGCATGTCCATGTCTTCACGAGCCAGGGCCCTCAAAGCTCGCAAAAATGACGCGTGGTTTGAGAAGCCATTGAAGATCCCCAAGGATCCGAGTTACAACGTCACCGCGTATCAGATACTCGACGAAGAAGCATACAAGTTGACCGGTAGATCGGCCAAGTATTTCCGCAAGCGCCAGAAAGGCACCGACGAAGCGGCATTGAAAGCTTGGAAGATCCCAGCCAAGCGCAACGCCGCCGTCAAGAACCAAGCGAAGTGGGAAGCAGAAACGAAGTGCGCCTCATCCTGGATCACCTACCGTCGCAAGAGAACCGCTCGAGTTCGCACGACACACCGTCCTGCCGCCGTCGAGGAGAAGCGAGGCCGAGTAAGCTTGAGCTACTACAAGGGATTAACTCGTCCGCAATCTACACTTGCACTACAATTGCGCACCGAGCGCATCGGGCTCAACGGATACCTGAGCAGCATCAAAGCAACTCGAGACGAGAAGGTTCCAGGAACCGAGGACGTTATCAGGCATCCCATAAAGCCAGCATGCACGTGCGGTCATCATACTCAGACCGTCTATCACATGTTCATGCACTGCTCGGATCTTCATTCCGCCAGGTTGAGGTTGATTGAGCGCATTGGAGCACTCAACTGGAAGACGTTGCTCACTACCCACCTCAAGTTCGCCGTCGACTGGGCCATGGTTTACTTCAACCTCGGCCAGTTCAAGATTGCCAAGGCGGACTCGATGTTCTACATCCCAAATGAAGGAGGTTAATCCCCTCCTTCCAAGGGGTATAGATGAGACAGAGTTTGTCAGACTGTGTTACAAGACTACTCCACATCCTTTGGCAATGTTTAAGTCCCGAGGCTTCCTTATTTAAGTGTCACGACTACACACTCCATGCATCCCTTTGGAGCCTTACTCAATCTCTCCATCTATACGCCGACCTAGAGATTCCTCTCTGGATTCAACATCTGAAGAGGGATTTCCCCAGTTTAAACCACTGCTTCTTCATTGATATCACTTTAACTGGTGCGTCATGCTGGTCCCCATCATCAACGAATACTGACACGATTCAGCAGTTCTCAGACGCAAGGTCGATTGGTCACGTGCCCAGGCACGTGCATTCAATTGGTGGAGGTATGTCTCATTGTCTCTGCTGTTGACTCTGGTCCAACTTACTTAAGCTAGTCGTCATTGACTTCAGGTCAATTTGACTTTCGCCGACTAACTTACACAAAGTAAGTGAGCTCCCCCAACCATCTCATCATTCCGGTGCTCTCACTAACCACTGTTCTGAACCAGCAGAGTCAACCCAATTCCTTCAGTACGTGCGCTACCCCCTCGTCTTCGCTACTTTGACTTTGCCTCACAGCGACAGATTCTGACTTTGACAGAACCTTCGGTCCGTAGGGCATCCCTCCTCCTCCAGGCTTCACTTAGCCTTCCTGTCCGTCTCAAGTCTGACATGTCTTAGCAGAACCCCGCCATTACCCCGCGTTCATCCGTATGTCCCTTCTTCTTCTCCCCTCACCTTGACCCATTCACCCATTGACACTCCCTGCCCAGCAGAACTCTGTTCGCAGACACATGTCCGTAAGCCAGTGCAGAGCCTTCTCCCTATCTTCTCATCAAGCCACCACTGACCAGAGCTATCTTAGCAGCTTTGCTTTCATGGTCTCAGACTATGACCGGCCTGGTCTGTATAGCCCTTAATTAGAGCGTTGTCTGTATTGATAGACCGTTTACTGACTCAGAATTACTCTCTAGTTGACCCTCGTACGAGCGGGAGGACGCCGAGCACACATTCGGCTTCAATGATCACATTCTGTAGCCACTCTTCGTGGCCGGCTGAGTTGTAACTTCCCTATCAAACTGTATTGGATCCTTTACTAACAAGCTCTAGCAGGCCTGAAAAGGCAGCTAGGAAGGTAGCCTGGTCGGTCGTCAGGGTCCTGCCTTGCCTTATAGCTTCTTCTAGGTCCCTCAGTTGCGATAGCTCTTCAGCTAGCCAGTCTAGGGATATCGTACGAGATAGGATATCTGGATCCATACGACTGATCATATCAATCAGGGTACAGTCAAAAATAGCCATCTGTAAGTTACCTTAAATACCTTGATAATCCCCAATTAATAACATCTGTTATTAGTGACTAGGCTAGACTGGTTCCTTGACGAGAAGTTCTTCTTGATGGCTGCAGCCATCGTACGAAGCTTGCGGCATTCGTGGCCTGCAGCTTCTGCCAGCACCGATTCGATCGCATCGATAAGGTCGTGGTTGGTTGTACGATAGGCCTGATTGGCCTGCAGGCTGTTGCGTAGTAAGTTAAAGTACAAGTTTCGCTGGTACTCTACACTCCTCTGACCATAGTTTTCCTAGCAGCAGGCATCGTGATGGTGGCTATGATCGATGTTAGCAACTGTGACTAATAGGTATGTAAGTTGCCTTTGCAACTGCTACTAAAACCGAACTAACCGAGTTGAGGGAAAGTCAGGTCAGGGAACGTACTTGTGAGTTTGCGCTCGATCTCTTAGTTGGGTAGGGTCTAACTGACCTTTAAGTGGAAGTGTGATAGACTTAGCCCGGTATGTAAGTATACTCTTTAATTGCCTCCCTCTTATATCTAAGCTCCTGTCAAGTCTCTGTCGATAATGACCTTTTATTAAGGTTGAAAAGGTCGATCTAAGTGTATGCAAGCTTTCCCCCTCTTTCCCTGTTGCGCTAGAAGCTGACCTGCAGTGTCTTAGTCTTTTGGGTAGGGTGCAGGAAGAAGGCTGACACAGCTGCCGAGGGGTAAGTATGTGCCATTCCATCTTGGTATCTCATAACACGCAGCTAACCAATAGTGGACCTGCAGGCGGTATTAATACTGCTTGATCAAGGCAGCAATTGCGCCACTGAGGCAGATAAACCTTATACGATTTTGACCTTTTGAGATACAGGCCTACTATAGGGGCCTCATTGTTTAAGCCTTCGTATATAAAGTTAGAAGCTCGATAGCCTCATAAGGCTGACAGCAAGGGAAAAAAAATAGATTGTGCTATGGGTCGCAAAACTCTCTGGTCTCCTCTCTCCTGCTTCTGTGAAAAGTCTATCTGACACCTTCGTGTGATTGGTCGTATCGCATGACTCATGATCTCCACACCGCCAGCTATAAAACCTCGCCCGCCCCTCCAAAGTCTTTTACCTTTCAATACCATCATCCTCGACTTTACCCTTCACCATCGTCGCTCACACCACCATGGCTCCAAAAGCCCTCACAAATCTGCCTTCTGAGATTCGTCAGCAGATCTTCAGAGAGTGTCTACAGGTAGATGGGGGCTATGTCTACGATGTTCAGACTGATAAACTGACGAATGCCGACGGGACCGCGATTGATCTATCCCTTCTTTATACTTGTCGCTCGATCGCAAATGACACCAGGGCGATGCCACTAGCAGTCAATACAATTCAGTTCTCGACTGTCTTCCGTCAAGACTGGTGCAACTTGGCCGGATGCTTCGCTCTTGCTGCTACCACTCACTACGTTCTGGAGCAAGACTTTGTGTTTCATTTAGCTAAATTCATCACTCCTGAGATGTTCACCGAGCTCGAGTCAATATGCCCGGGCTTTCAGCAACTACTTGAGTTTGAGCTCGTCGAGCACAACAGATGGATACATGAGAACAACGACCCTGGATACTATTTCCAGACCGTCAAATTTCGACCAGCTGTGTGCAGCATGGTACGACAATTTATGAAAGTGGTCGACATGTTCAAGATCAATGGGATGTCTTTTCATCGTCCCTTCCGTCTTCTACACACTGAAGCCAACGCAAACAACGGCAGTGGTTCAAGTGATCGCAGGCGGCAGAAATGGGTCCAAGGCGAAGTTCGCGAGGCTACATCATATTGTCTGAAACTTATCTCCGAGACGCAACCTGATGAGTTTAAGAAATATGTATACAAATCTCTACCCCATTGGATTGGAATTCGTCCCGCCGACGACTTTATCCACTTGAGATTCAACCTGTGGGATATCCCTTCTCAGGAGCGAGTGGCGCATATGATGGAGTTATTTGAGATTGGGCCGTTTGTTTGGGAACTTCCAGCTACCTGGTACTACACCCCGCGCAGCTTCTACGATCAAGTTGTGAAAGGTGCCCCGCAAGATCGACGGTCTCCAGAGTTTGAGAAACCGGATAATTTATTGGAGCACTTCACCAGTCGATGTCGTGAGAAGCTAAGGTTTTCTGCCACGGCTGCTGCAATTCGCTTTATTCAACAACTTACAATTAGCCAGCGGAAGCAGATGAGGAGTATTGTATTGCATGAGGACTTGCCATCGGTGAATCTGCCGTCTCGTCATACCCAGGGGTTAATTCCCTTTTTGAAAGAGAATCACATGCTTCGAGTCGAGCGTCGTGCCAGTGTTTTTGGCTGTGTAACAAGCCAGCGTCCCCACTCCATCATTGCTTATATGGACAGTGATGAGGACATACCCCTACCGACAGAGATTGCGAACCGAGAGTTTGAGGCTAGCATATACTACTGGCTCCTTGACGCTTTCGCGGTGGCGGATTCGGGCGTTAGCACCAATTGCTTCACTTTTGTTTTAGAAGCTGGGCAACACAGGGATTACTGCGCTGACCTTTTCCAGAAGGTGATCCAGACAGAAATCTCCAAGTCGAAGGCTTGGAAGATATGCTTGGATACCGGCCTCTTGGCATCTTTAAGACAAAGTACACGTGACCGCAATGCGACCAGATTTGCAAAGGACCCGAGGTTTGAGAAACTCATTGATCAGTTGGCGAACCAAACATCGAATTTGTGGTGCGACTTCAACCCCGGGGCACCATTGGATGTAGAAGCATTGGTTGAGGATGTCAAGGTAAAGCACGGGGAAACCATTTCGGATAAGTGGGTGAGCAAGTCGGATTTCGACGTCATTCCTTTGCCATATGATCTATACCATGATACAATGGTGGCTCCGAATTTCGAATTTCAGACCCGGCAAGAGTATATTGAGTCACGGGGCGTGAATGATAACGCGGAAGACTCATAGGTGACTTGGATAGATAGACTGTCTAGGAAGGTGCTGCAATTTAAAGGAGATCTTGGGACGCTAGTAATCGACGGGGTTGGTGGACGGCATGTAGTAGAAGGTGAGTGTTGGATTTCGAGACTGATACTGCATATCCAATGACTACCTGAATCATATTTCTTTGTCCTTTAAATTTGAAAGATCCGTTAGCCAACATGGTTAAATCTACAGCAGGCGAGTGCTTCTATGGAATCCGTTCAAAATGAAGGCCTTTTGTATTTAAACTCAAGAAAGCTGAAGTCTAGGATAAACAAGTTTTATTTATAAAATAATAGAATAAGGCAATGTATCAGACTATGTTACACATAAGCCTCAAAAGAGCCCTACGAGGCACAGTCATGTTGTATTACTGCTACGTTCACTCCGAATCCCAAACGTGGACGAGAAAGGAAGCTCAAGGTCAATGAAGACAAAGGGATGCGATGAGTAGAGAGCATAGGTCATCAGCATCAGGGCCTCATAGATGAAGTAAATCTGCAGGCCATCTTACAACAACTCATTCTAGAACTTGGCTGTCTCAAAAACACCATGTCGTCCTGCTCCACTACTGAAATTCGCCGCGCCCTTCACACTCTCGGTCGTAATGACCTTGACCCCATTCTCAAACTCATTCCTCAACGCATCCTGAAACGACGATGCGTTATATACGGAGTAGTAACAATTCGCCCTGTCCACATTCATGCACTCCTGCGGAAACATCAGAAGCTGCTTCGCAATCTTAGTCGCCTCCACCAACACCTGTCCCTTGGGTACAACACGGTTGGCGAGTCCAAACTGCAACGCCTCCTGCGCCGAGACAGGTCTTCCAGTGAGGATCATGTCCATCGCTCGGCCGAGGCCGATGATAGCCTGTAGCCGAACAGTACCGCCGTCGATGAGGGGAACGCCAAATCTTCGGCAAAACACACCGAAAACAGCATCTTCCTCGGCAATGCGCATATCGCCTATGAGCGAGAGCTCCAAGCCTCCAGCGACAGCGTAGCCCGCAACGGCGCTGATAACGGGCTTCTTCACCTGCATTCTTGATGGGCCGATGGGGCCGATGTTGCGGTCCTCGACTTGATGGCTCGGGTCGATGATTGGGCCAAGGTAGCTGTCAGTTCCCTGCGCGGGGTTCCATTTGGCGACTTCGTGGAGATCGAAGCCTGCGCAGAAAGTACCGTGTGCACCGTAGATGATGCACACCTTTTGCGTGGCGTCGTTCTCAAACGCTAGGACGGCGTCGGTGAGCTTCTTGGCTGTAGGTCCGTCTATGGCATTTTTGCGGTGAGGGCGTGAAAGAGTAATGGTTGTGATTCCATCAGGAGTCTGGGATACCTGAACTGCTTGAGGCTCGGTATCAGACATGTTTGAGATGAGGGAGTTGTTATAAGTGCTGAGGCAACGAGGAAGAATAACCCGTTCAAACTGCCTTTTATAACCTGCATCGGCTGGATCGGATCATCAGTCCGTTATAACCGATGGCCAGTTTACTGTTAATTATTATTAATACGAGGGGAATGTATACTGAAGGGCGTGGCTCATGAAGTAATTGGACGTCTCCCCAGCTTTGACGTCTGCACAGGATATTTTGAGTTTAGCGCCATCCGATAGCCTCGGCAATGAGGCTGTCCTTATGAGGGAATCTTGGAAGAGGTAGGTAGATGCAAACAGACGCTTAGCTTTCATTCCAAGATGATTCGCAATTAAATCTACGAGGACTCAGAAGCGAAAAGAGTAGCACTATCGTGATAGAAACTCGTAGGTCTCTTGTCAGGCTTGTGAATGTGAGCATTGTCGGGAACACTTTAATCCGGTCTGGTCTCATCAGTCTAACCGAATCCAATCGTCCCTGAACTCGCAACGCGACGAACATCTATACAATCAAGGATACAGTTCCTGCAACCATGGAGTCAAGAGAAATTAATTCTGGCCTCCTCATGCGGCTCCTCACTTTACTTCTCTACAACATTAACAGAATACCATGCGTCCGCCGCCTACGAAAACATCCAGAGCGTATCCTCCTAGTCTCATCCAAGCTCTGTATCAAAGCAACCGCTTTCACAACGCTGACTGAAGCAAACACCATACAATTCGTTACGAATAACACATCAATACCAGTTCCAAAGTGTACTGTAGCGTCTATATACTTATGGAAAGGATCCGGGGTTGGGATCTATCTCAAAATTGGACGCAACGATCTGACGACTCTAAAGCGCGACTTCTCGCGCAATTGAAGGCATTGATCACAGAGCTACGCAGCATTGTCCCACCGGATGGCGTTGGTATCTCCAACGTTAATGGGGGTCCCATCTTTGACCGGCGTCTTCCTGATAAATCCTTCTGGGTTCCTTTTGCAACAATTCAAAAGTTTCATCGAGAGTTACGTCGTGGTCTTGAGCTTAGAGATGGTGAAGGAGCCTTTCCGGGTCTAAGGGAACTCATAGACTTTCACAATGGGCCATGGGAGGGCCCAGTCTTCACTCACGGTGACCTAAGCAGTCTCAATATTATGGCTGATGGGGATACGGTGACAGGCATTGTGGACTGGGAGTCGGCTGGATGGATGCCGCCATACTGGGAGTATACATCAGCTTGGCACGTTAATCCACGAAATACATTCTGGCGCGATGCGGTCGACGGGTTCCTGACACCTTTACCGCATGAGTTGGAAATGGAAAGAATACGTCGGCAGTACTTTGGCGAATTCTAACTGGGCCCCAACATACAACTCTTCTACGATTTGAATTCTCCGTAATGCCAAATCCTCAAGGTAAAAGCTCCTTTTCTTCAAGAAGAGTGACTATACGTCAGCATCGGACTGTCCTTCGGCAGCTTGATCATCAAATCGATGCTGCAAGGCTTTCTTCTCAACGTACCACAAAGCCGCATCGCGGACTGTTGTATAGTCTAGCACCGGAGTTCCCAGCGCCTTACTCTGGGTCTGCAGGGCTACGAGTGCCTCTTTGGTCCATTCAACAAAAGTCTATCCCGGCTGTCCCCCTCACGGGTACACTCCTCAAAGTAGCTTCAAGTCTCTTCAGGCTTGAATACGAACTAACATCATGAGGGCAGACACAGTACCAGTCTCATGCTCACTGAACTCCTAGGCTCACTGCGTACCACTATAGATTGTTCTTCAGCAGGGAAACGCTTTCCGCGCGTCTCGCCGTCTTCAACTTTGCGACCGACTAGGAGAACCCAGTTATATCTGTTACCAACTCGTCAATTCAGAATAGGCCCTGACTGTATATGAAGACTAACTTAAGCTACCCGCCAGTCTCTTGCACAGTACCCTCTCGAGCACACAGTCCGCCATGTAGACGATTTTCAATACATTAAATGCTGCATGTCTGTCATCTATCCACGTAGTGACTATAGCGATTCTTATTGAGTGTCAGGTGATGAACAATGGTGTCAAATGTGGGCTAAGTTTGGGCTCTGGTCGGCTTGTAAAAGGCATAATAGAGTAGTACTTATGAAGACTTGATGGTGATAATAAATCCACTAATAGCAATGTTGAATTGGTAATATCCCAATGGGCTGTTACCTTTCACAGGCTCTTTAGACAAGACACCCTTGCCCCGTTTTTGCAGCGTTATGTCGCTGAAGACAAATAGACAGTCAACATCGTCGACGAGGTCCATTAAGCTCACTGGCACTGCTATAAATCACCGTTGCTAAAGTTTCATCCTACGATTTATTGAACCTACTTATACTTTAGGAAAGACTACAAAACAGTGTTGATTACGCCAATTGCTTCGATGATATTCTTTTATGCCCTACCCTACAAGGTATCAACCCGAGGAACGCGATTCTTCGCCCTCAAGACATGCCAAGCTTCTGACGCGTAATGATAGTCACCTTGAGCGTTATCAGCCAGCTTGGAAGCTTATGAGATTCCCCGGAAATAATTAGGTTGCATAGTCTGCCTTTATGTGCCCCCCTGCGTCAATTCTCAGCTTCACGCGTACGTGATTCTGGTCTTTGCTTTGATTCGCTGAATTTGCGTCTGACTCATCAGCAACCACATAGCCATTCGAATCCCAACACCATTTTTCACCACCTACCTTGAGCGAAAGCGCCTAAAGCCACATAGTTGAACATATTTGGGCCACTCGCTCTGGTAATCCGCTCTTCAAGCGCGTAAAAATGGCCGCATTCCTTCGGAAAATACAATGGCCTGGCAGGGCATGGAAGCCTCTTGTCTTCTCCAGCCCCGATGTCCCAAAAGTCCCCAAAGAGGTGAGAATAGAGGAAGAGCGGTTCCCTGACTACGTCGCGTCTCGCTACTATCCCGTCAAAATTGGGGAAGTCCTGCGCGACCGCTACCAAGTTGTCGGGAAGTTGGGCTTTGGAGCGAGCTCGACCGTTTGGCTGGCACGGGACCTGGAGTAAGCCACTCAAGACCTTTGGAGGCTGCTAATGTAGGAAACTCTCTGCTAATATCAGGCAGTGGTCGTCGACATGTCGCGCTAAAACTCTTCATTAATAATCAGTCCATGGGACAGCAGCTGGAGAATGAGCTCGAAATGTACAAGCGCATCTCTGCCTCCTCATCAAAGCATCCTGGCCGCAGCGCGGTAAGAGAACTGCTTGAATCGTTCGATGTTACGGGGCCCGATGGTTCTCATCGGTGTCTTGTTCATCCTCCGCTCTGGGAGAGCATGTGGACATTCCTAAACCGCAATCCAGTAAGAAGACTACCGCCAGTGGTCCTCGCTGTCACCTTGCGTCGACTCTTTCAAGCGCTCGATTATCTCCATACAGAGTGCAAGGTTATACATACAGGTATTGTTACGTAGTCCTCCTCGGGACTGGGACATTTTCTGACGCATTGACGCATAGATATCAAAGGAGACAATATCATGTTCGGTATTTATGACGACTCAGTATTCACTGCTTTTGAACAGGAAGAGCAGAGCGAGCCGACTCCACGGAAGGAGGTTGACGGCAGAACGATCCACATATCGCGAGAACTTCGAAAACCCAAGGACTATGGCGGGCCTGTTCTATGCGACTTTGGCTCAGCTGTTGTAGGTGATGTAGAACATTGCGAAGATATCCAACCAGACATTTACAGAGCTCCTGAGGTCATTCTCGAAGCTCCTTGGTCCTTCAAGGTGGATATATGGAACGCAGGATGCATGGTAAGCCACTCAAAGCAACGTTTTGTGCACTGAAGCTGATTGCTTTTTGTACCAGATTTGGGATATCTTTGAAGGTCGGCATATGTTTACAGGGCATGATCCCGAGTTCCAGAAATACCGCAGCAGAGCACATCTCGCTGAGATCATTGCCCTCCTCGGCCAGCCGCCATCAAATGTCCTTGAAGCCGGCAAGGCCAGTCGCAAGTTCTTTACAGACACCGGTAAGTAGTTCCCAAAGTACTTCAAGAAGTTATGCCGTTGCTTAGAATCACATTGTTAGGCGATTTCCGTAATCAGATCCCCATTCTAGAAAGCACTTCTCTTGTTGAACAAGAAATCAGCCTTGAGGGTGAGAGAAAACAATTGTTTCTTGCCATGATGAATAGGATGCTTCAATGGGATCCGGCTAAGAGAGCATCAGCAAAAGAACTTGCTGAAGACCCGTGGATTATGGCGTATATGTAGTACAGCTGGGAAGTTAGCAACCGCGGGAATTGCGATTTGTATCAAGATGTGTTGATCAAGGACACTACTTCTACTTGACGGACCGGCTACGTTTCTTAGCATTGCTGAAAAAGTAAGAAATGGAAAAATTTATATTGCTGTAGATGAATATCATGTAACTAACTTCTCTCTGCTGATTTAAGCTCTCAGCCACAAGCCTTAACTGCAAATGGCACTTCTAGATCTTGTGATGACTCCGCTACCGCTCTCCGACCCGGGCACGCTATTCACAGCCGTGAAGCCCGCCGATAAACCCAGGACGATGCAAGCGATGCCTATTAACAGTTTAACTAACCTAGTACCTTGGACAGCTCTAGGGTCGCTTCCCGAACCACCCACGCCGCCGAAACTTGCTGACCGACCGAGGATGGTCCTGAGCCCCATTCATCGCGTTCGTCGACCCGATCTGAACACACGCCCCAGCGAAGTCCTGCCAGATATAAATGAAGTTGAAATGAATCACCCCTGCTATTCTTTTGCGCCAATTGAAGATGATTGGAATCCGATGACATGACAAGTCCGGTCACGCATATGAACGTCGAGAGACGAAACGCAAAGGCTGAGCTCGGACTCGGCAAAGTTCGATCAGGGTGCTGAAATCGCAGAACCCGGCCATGCCCAGATTCTTCCATCTTTGCCATCGAAACCGATGGATATGTTATTTTATGGCCTTGTCATCAAGGCTCGTTGGTTGCCTCTCCATAGAATAGAACGACTGGTACTCTACCGTCACTAACATGGTCCCCGTGCTGCTCCAGCGAGACAAAGACCATTCTCTCTATCTCGTACTTGCCTTTCAGCTGCAAATGAAGGGTTCGCGGCCAGAGCTACCAGCCTCATATCGGTTTATGCTTGCTTATGGCTGATCAGAATTAAACTGGCCAACCCCATGGTTCCCACAGCCTAATGCAGCCAGAGCCGGTATGAGGGCCAGACGATGCTCGACGGCTATTTATGCAAAGTGGATATAAGAGACTAGGCAGGAAGCAATAGGTAAGAAGTGTTAAGAGAGCATATCTATACACTGCATTACTTCTACCTGAGGGTTAACAAGATCCTGATAAAGTTAAGAGATATAGCAACAACTTATAAGTGTATGCCCGGACCTTGACTTTTCTCATCGTCTCTCTACAATCGCTAACTCGAACGCAAAGGCCGTCGTAGGATCCTTATGCTTCATCTTCAAGCTAAACATCCCCTCCTTTACGACCTCTTCCCTCTCCTCAAGATCAAGCGGGCTATCAACACGCCTGAACTTATCCCCATCAACAACACGAAACGCCAATGTCTTGACTTTGACTCGTGTATCATCTGTTAAGCCAACTACATCAATGGACCAATTCCCTGATCTTGAACGAGTACCAGCCAATATCCGCACAACATCTTCCTCAACAGTCGCATAGACGTCCAGCAATCCATCTGAACTAGCAGTAGCCTTCAGACGTTGACCCTTCATGCTGGAGGCGTAGTACTTGTAGACCTGATACTCAGCCGTCGGCCAGTAGCCTTCGCCCTCGATGGCGTAACTACCGTCACTGCCGTTCGGCTTACTCAAAAGACCTAGTATCATTAGTATCTGAACCACGGCCATGTTGGACAGACTTACCAGCCATAAAGTCATGCAAGGCTCCAGCAATCGCCCAATTGCCTCTAAGGCCGTTTGCATTCTCTCGCTCAAGACCAGCAATCCACCATGCTCCTGCAGAAGGAACCTGTTCTCCATAAACCGCATACTCGTTGATGTTCACATCTTGCGCTTTCTCCAGAGGGATGCCGTGCTTGGATAACATGTCGTAGAATGAAGCCATTGAGCTCGCCATGGTGACTGCTTCGTCGCCGCCCTCCATGTGCCAGGACCATTGATCGGGTAGGCTGTCTTTGCAGCGAGACAGGAAAGCCGACCACCATTCATGCGATACCGAAGGAATGGCTGACATGCTTGGACCAGTGATGCGAGTAGTAGGCAGTACTTCGCTACGAATATGTTAGAAGAAGTTTATGTACCTGAGGAGCAACATACCGAATCTTCTTGAACGAACGAGTCCAGAGCTCCAACCAC